CGAAGTGAATAATGATAAATAGATAAAGACCAGTACACGATAAAGTTCCCGCATTGAGACCGCCATTAAAACGTCTTAGTTATACTAGATTTGGGTGAAATGACCAAATAAGTCCACGAAACGGGAATGTATGATGTAAGAGGAGGTACCGTAAAATTTAGTTAAAAGTACCCTGGAGATGAGGTACATCAGAGGTAGCGGGAGTGTCAAGAAGTCTGTGTTGTTCGTCGTCAATAAAACGTTTATCAAAAATAGCTAAAGCTACACATTGTGAACTGCAGTGCTACAAACATCACTAAAATAACATCGGAAGACATAGAAGAAATAATCACTGGATATTTTCAAGATTCACTCATTAAAAAGGAAGCCCAAGTTTACACCTCACAATTGAGGTTAGAGTATCCAACATTATTTAACGTTAACTTGACAGCAGGTAAACAAAAAAAAAAAAAAAACATTACCGTCAGTCGGCAAGCTGACAAGTAACTTGAGTGCTGCCATCACATTTGTACCAATTCGCAATTACGTTCCGTTCCATACAATTTCAACCGACAATATGGATGAGCAATTTCAATTATTATTTGATAAAATGAAGATAGAAATGCAGAAACAGACAAATGAACTTAAAGAATCACTTACAAAGAATATAATGGATCGGATAGACGAAAAAATAACTCCTATGATTGAAGAAAATGAAAAATTGAAACAAAAAATCTAAAACTTGGAGAGCGAGATTGAATATTTAAAAAAAGAAAAGAAAAGTAACAACATAGTTATTTATAGATTAGAAGAGAGCGAAAAATCGATATTAGAGCTATTTCAAACCGTTAAGGATATCTTTAAAACATACTTAAATATATGTGTGGAAGACAATGAAGTGAACAGACTATACCGTCTAGGAAGAAATAAAATCGAGAGCAAACATAGACCTGTGCTACTCTCATTTACAAACGGGTGGAAAAGGGACCAAATTTTAAAGGATAAAAAGAGTTTAAAGGGAATCTATATATCGGAAGATTATTCTAAGGAAGTTATAGAAAAAAGAAAGGCTTTTCTACCACAGCTCCTAGAGGAAAAGAAAAAGGGAAATATCGCTTTTTTGAAATATGACAAATCAGTAGTTAAAGAACCCACCACCGACAAAAGGAAAAGAGAACTATCTTCTTCACCACAGTCGACGTCAACCACTAAACCTAAAAAGCAACAAACGATAAGTTCTATAAAAACTAACAGGACAAACGCTTTCGATTTGATGAGAACCCGATCAAACTCTCTCACGGACATCCTAACACATAAAAAACAATAGCCATTAACAACCGGCCAACAGATAAACCAGCCAAATTATGAAAACCAAATAAGAGAAATAACACAATCTCCCCCAAGCCGACTGGTCCTCGTGGGGGATAGAGACCACAACCCTCCAACAATGCAGGAACACAATTGTAAAAGCAGCCACAGAAAATCAAAATTTTATATTGCAGCCCTCAATGTACTTACACTGAAAAACGACGAAAACCTTACAGAATTAATATATGCGTTAAAACGGATTAAATGGGACATCGTAGGCCTGAGTGAAGTAAGGCGAATGGGTGAAAGAATTACTTTCCATCCAGACTTCCTTTTGTACCATATAGGAACGACCCCAGGTCATCATTGGGTTGGTTTTATTATCAAAAAATACCTCGCAAATTATGTGGAGAGCTTTATTGGAGTATCAGAGCGAATAGCAGTGATGAATCTTAAAGTATCGGGATTTAAAGATTTATGGTCCATCATACAAGTATACTCGCCTACGGAACAATCCGATACGGGATCAATAGATTCATTCTACCTAGAGCTAAATAAAACAATTCAAGACCATGCTCACAAAAACCTTCTTGTGATAGGAGACTTCAATGGCCAAATTGGAGAACGACAACCAGAAGAAGACACAGTCCTGGGACCATTTATATACAGAAAAAAAACTAGAAGCAGAAACGGAGATACGCTTATAAATTTTGCTCAAGAGAATGGCGTGAGAGTCCTAAATACAATGTTCAAGAAGAAAGAAAATAAGATGTGGACATGGATATCACCAGACGGGAAAACAAAAAACCAAATAGATTTCATAATGACTAATAAAAGTAGATACTTCTCAAACATGAAAGTCATAAGCAATTTCAACTTTAATACCAACCATCGGATGATAAGAGCAGAACTGATGACAACCCCGCCAAAAAATCCAAGACCAAGAGCTAATATGATGAACACAAAACCTAGTAAATACCAAATAGCCCAAGCAGGCAATTAAATAACAACAAAACTTATGAATTACAATAAAAAGACAACAAACATGGAGGTACAAGAAAAATACAACTGGTTAGAAGGAATAATCAAAACATCTATCCAACACGTGACTAATAACAAAGAACTATCTAACAAGTGGATGACTGCCAAAACCATTAACCTTCTTAATCAAAGAGCTTAACTAATGAATGGAAAAAATACTAACAAAAGTCGAAAACAAATAGCAAAACTGAGCAAAGAAGTTAAAGAAAGTATTAGAAAAGATAGATATAGGAGAAGAATGGAAACAATAGAGAGACACATTTTACAGACAGGAGGAATAAAAAAGGCGTTTAAGGAGTTAACTAACAAAAAAGACTGGATTGTACAGATGGAAGACAGCAATAGATTGAAGGAGAATCGTAGGCAAGGCATATTAGGAATTGCAACATTATACTTCAAGAAACTGTATGAAAGTACTGTATCTGAAAAAGAAATAGAATTGTTAGAAATCTCACCCACACCTAGCATCTTGCAGGAAGAAATAGAATTTGCAATAGAAACCCAAAGAGACGATAAAGCACCAGGGCCCGACGGAATAAGCAACGAAATACTAAAACAAGCGAAACAGACAATAACACCTATTCTCAAAGAAATCTTCAATGACATAATTAACGCAGAAACAATTCCACAGCAATGGACTAAATCTAATATAATCCTTCTGTACAAAAAAGGTGATCAGTACGATATCGGAAACTACCGGCCCATAAGTTTGATGTCCAACCTGTATAAAATATTTGCAAAGATCATACTTAAGCGAATGAAAGGCAAACTCGACGAACAACAGCCAATAGAACAAGCAGGCTTTAGAAGAGACTACTCAGTACTTGACCATATTCATACTGTTAGGCAAATTATCGAGAAATATGCAGAATATCAACTAATTTACTATATAGCATTTGTCGACTATAGCAAGGCATTCAACTCGTTAATACATACAAACATCTGGGAGGCGTTAAGAGAACAAGGGATAGAACATAAATATATAAGATTGATTAGAAATGTTTACAAAAACAGCACAGCGTGTATTCAGCTAGAGAAAAAAGGAGATTCATTTAAAATACAGAAAGGTGTAAGACAAGGAGATCCTCTGTCTCCAAAACTTTTCTCCGCTGTTTTGGAGATGATCTTCAGAAGCTTTGAATGGGAAAAGCTGGGTCTAAATATCAACGGCCGCACACTAACACACTTAAGATTTGCCGATGATGATATTGTGTTATTTGCAAAATCACCAGGAGACCTGAATAGAATGTTAAACGAACTATCATCTGAGAGTGAAAAAGTAGGACTAAATTAAACCCCCAAAAAACAAAAGTAATGACCAATGGAAATAAAATAAGCATAAATATAGGTGAGTCACAGATAAGTTATGTTGAAGAATATATTTACCTTGGACAGCTGATATCACCTACAGATAACATAAACAAAGAGATCAAGAGAAGGATAGCAAACAGTTGTAAAAGGTATTGGGGTCTAAGGGGAGTAATAAAAGACAAAAACCTACATATAACAACAAAGAGCAAATTATTCAATGTCTGCATTCTACCAATCTTAATTTATGGAAGCCAAACATGGGCCATTACAAAAAACTCAACCAACAGAATTGCTAGTTGCCAACGAGCAATGGAGAGAAGCATGCTAGGAGTAAAGAGGGGGAATAAAATAAGAAACACTCTCAGTAGGAAAAAAACCAAGATACAGGACGTAACTATAAAAATAAAAAGGCTAAAATGGAAGTGGTCGGGACATATGATCAGAGGAAAGGACAAATGGAGTAAAACAGTTACGCAGTGGTACCCAAGGCAAGGAAAAAGGAATAGAGGTAGACAACAAGTAGAGTAGCCAGAGATAGATCAGAATGGAGTAGGTTGGAGGAGGCCTTTGCCAAATGGCAAACGGACTTTCAGGAGATAAAGAAGCACCAAATACACGAATTTTAATAATTAAATTAGTTAGTAGTTAGTAGTAAGTTATTGTGCAGTAGTTTAAGTAACAAATGTATCCTTAGTCCGAATAAAAGGCTTTATTATTATTATTATTATTACCCTGGAGATGAAAGAAATTGGCAGAATTCTTTTAAGAGAAGCCATTTATTAAAGAAAGAAGAAGATGAAAGAAACCTCTAATCACATTTAAAATTAAGCGCCGACATTTTTCATTCAAAAATACCTCTACTTCTGAAAATAAATCAACACTTTATCTGGGATACAAATTGGTTAATAGGCTAAGACCTAGTTCATAATGTTGTCAAATTTCGAACTCATTAAAACTGCTATAACGCTATTGGTTTCAGCATTTCGCTAGCCCTGATGGTATAATTATTAATCAGAACATTTATTCCACGAAAATGAATTAAATAAATGTTTTATTGATTTTTATTTAAATAAAGCACTATATAAAAATATTATACTCTTTTGTATTTTTATTTTCGTTTAAATTATCAATATCAATATCTATCTTAGGCAATATTAAAGCTTTTGCTGAATTACATCTTTTACATTCATACATATTTTATTTTGAACATTACTTATCTGTAAGTAAGAGCCAAGAGTTGAAACATTCCATTCTCACATTAAAATATTTATGTAAATTCATAATAATTTGTAAAGTTTTCCTTGAAGAAAGAGAAAATGAACATTGCAATTTTTGAAAACGAATCGAACTTTACTACTCACTTAGTAGCCGGTACTTCAAGCGAATTTTCGCCTTCATTAACTTTTACTGCTTCCGGATTTGGAGCGTTTTCTGACACATTCACAGAGTCCTGTTCCGTCATTTCGAATTTTGTTTTTCACAACACAGACCAAAAAATTGCTAATGCCTGGACGGCTATAAAAAAAAAGAATAAATCACTTTGTTTTTAATTAGTCAATTGCACGGTTGTAATACATGCGAGAACTTGAAGCAAAGTGGACGTCAGAATGACGATTATCAGGAGTAATCATGTTCATAATCATTTTATCGTTACGTTAATTGTTCGATTATTATATTCTGACTGTTTTATTTTGATATACCAATTGAATAACTTGTGATTAGGCTGCGGTACACTTTTGTTCTTTATTCAAATACTACACGAGTTCTCAGATGTTGCCGTCCCCATATATTTACTTTGAATGAAATATTAAAATTCGTAGAAAAAGTACGAAAAGATTGTCGCCGTTGTGGGAATCGAACCCATGTCTTCGGCATTCGCGGCCTGACGCTCTAGCCACTGAGCTAAACGGCTGATTGCAAATTTTAATGTTCAATCTTAAGTGCAGAAATTAGCACTATAAAAAATTTAAATTTCTTTGAATGAAATAAATTTTGCGAATAAAATTAAAATTGGATTATACTGAAACGTTTTTTATGAAATACATTTTCAGTGTGTATTTCTTTAATTTGTAATGTTTGTCAACACACTTACTTACTACTCAAGTGTTTTAGATACATATCTATGCTATACACTTCACGTCGGGTGAGCCGCTTGCTCGTTTAGGAAAAAATTGCCACAACGTTACTTTCTAAAACACTGCTGCGTATGTCTACGATGAAATGGTATCTATTTATGCGGATACAACATATAAAAACATTATATAAATTTATTTTCCTGAGTATTTTTTGAAGAGATCATTACTCAGCTTAATAGATGGCGTTGTAATCTATTTGAATACTTTGATACATGGTTTACATTTTTGGTGAATATCTTCAGACATAAAACGTAGCAAAAATAACATTTGCCTAACATTCCACCCCTGTTGTTGGAAATTATGCCTTCAATAAATAATTATAAATTGGTGCTCTAGATTAGTGTACTACAATGTGATATCATCAGTGATATCATAGTACTTGATATAATATCAGTGAATTATCGCCATTTATGATGAAACGATTAAATTTTGTGATTCGATTCCACAAATCAAACGGTACATTTTTATTTCATTTTACTCATTTTAAAAAGCCAGGCTTTATGTTCGAGCATAATTATGTAGGTTCTTAATTGCGTTACTAAAATTAAAATCTTAAACTTATCCCTGTCTATAAAATTTGTCTTCATTCATTCAAAATATAATAAAAAGTCATATGTTTAAAGCTACTCTTAAAAACGCAATTTTTGTTATAAGTATTATAAAATTTTAATCCTAAATCTGTAATATAAATCTGTTGAAGAGATTTATAAGGTAATTTCAAAAAGGCCTGTTGCTTATATTTTGGGCTGATACGCCTAGAAATAAAAACGAATGCCTTGTACATGTCCGTACATAAATAATGCACAAGTTGTGTCCTATATTTCATTGCCAAAAGTCTGTTCAGAGTGATGGCTAGGGGACGAGAATTATCTGCTGCGATCTTTTTATAAGCAGATACAAGCAACGCACAGTGATATTTAAAAATAAAAGACGTATAGAGACACTATTTATATTTTATTACGTTAATTATGTAAACCTATTATTACAAAGAAGTTAAGTTCATACTGAGACAATTTTATAATCTTTGAAGCACTTTTCTCTAAAAAAACTGTTTATAGTTAATTAAAACTGGATAACTTCAAGATTCGACTGAACACAGATGTTAAATAGAAAACTATTTTCATTGGAAAAAGCTTAAGCATAGATTAAAAATTTAAAGCTTTATTTAAGATGGCGCCTTACTGGAGTCGTCAGCTGGTTTATCTGTCACAATATCGTCTTCCCGCTCGTACAAATAACTGGTACCAGGCGTAGTGCTGCTCGAGCCATAAATGTTCAAACCAGCTTGGTTATTGCTGTACTGTCCATATACCGGTTGACGGTTATCGTTCTGACCGTATTTACCATCGTTGCTATTATCCAATTGACTGACGCCACTGAAAAAATTAAATGAATGACTAATATTAATTTTGATATTAAGCAAAATATCTAAGGTATAAGTAATTGCGGTATAAGGAAGGACTGTCTTACTGTCTTTGACAATGTTGTTTTGGTACTAAGAAACACAGATTTTTAAGGAACTTATTTATTTATTTATTTTTGAAGTTGCTTGGATCTATTTCTCAAAACCACAGAGAAATTTGATTATTATGAATTGTTACAAACCGACTTATGTTCAGTTTGATAATTGTTTTTGATGTATAATGGCTTAGAGAGTCATTACTTTAACACGCTAGTCTTGCTTAGGTTGCAGAAAAATAGACAATAAAACATTAGAATAATTAAAGATTTTTAAGCTTCAGTTTAGAGCTCTGTGGTAGAGGCACACGTTCCTCTGTCACTAGGCTGTATCTAATGAAACGTGATAGTTAGGGGCTCCCATACAACATACATGATTTTTTTGCCTGTTTTTACAGCTAATTGGGGCCAATTAATTTCATTTTGACAGTGTATATCTATCCCGTAAATGGTAACCATTATTATACTAAAAAAAATCCTTTGCGAGGCTACGCATCTGCAACCCTATGGGCGTTGTAAATGTCCATAGGTAGCAGTACCTAGTTAACATCAGGTTGAACCGCCAGCTCGTTTGCCTACTTTTAACACGAGAAAATAGCCAATATGTAAGCCAATTTGTATGCCATTGTGTATGGGCATCCATTTTGCTAACAGTGACATCTGTCATCAAATAATGTACCTATGATAGTTTACCATAACATGTAACAGATGTCGCTAACGGGTGTCTTGAAGTGATCGCTTTGTTTAAGCTAGTCCAGTGGAGAATTAAATGTAACTAGCCATAACCTATATATTAATACGTGAAGCAAAAGCTTTGTATTCCTTTTTACGAAAACTGCGCTGACGGAGGAGTATGGAATCTCCTACACTTACAGAGCATAGAATGCTAATATTTTTTTTAAATTACGCATAAAAAATACATTAAATCAATAAAAGTACACACACTATACACACTATCATGTATGATTAATTATGGTCGAATTTCGACCACTAGGCGACATTCGTTTGTGGAGGTTTCCGAGCAATCACAGAGGTTTCGCCAACAGAGACCTCTGTGGAATTATTAGTGGAACTTCAAAAGTTCACTCCTCACCTTTGGTCTCGGTACGGTCTCCGCTCCCCGACGCTGTGCCAGCCGCTGGACTGGCCGTATCCGGAACCGAGGTCCTGCCGGTAACCGCCGGTCTGGGCGTAGCCGAATGAGCCCCTGTAGTCTGCTACAGGGTCTCTGTACCCGCTGGAATACCCCGCGCCCTGCCAACCAGTGCTCTGCGGCCTGGAATTTTTGAAGTTATACTTCTTTTGCGTTAGGGAAAAGTGATGAGAGCAAATTTTGACGATGCACGCGCACACCGTCACTAAAAACCGACACCCTGAAGTTAGCTAGACATCTACGTATGTTTGCGTGAGAACTGACAACTGTATTCGCGATATTTATTTTGTGATAATTAAATAAACTTTATTTAACTAGATAATGCGTTATAAAACTTTCAATGTGTTAAATACCTTTTTTCTATTGTTAATGTCGTTTTTCTCTACAAACGTAGAATAAGGCGAAAGATAAAATTTTGAAAAGATCTTGTTACGCCAAAGAAGTATAACTTCTATGCGTGTACATAAGTATTTTTAAGTAAGAAGATGGCCAGCGAGCTGGCGGTTCATGTGATGTTAAGTGACAACCGCCGCCCACGGAAATTTGCAACAACCATAGCATTGGTGAAGTGTTGCCACCCTTTAATAAAGTGGGCCCCGGCTACCTCAGTCACCAAAGAAATGCAGAAGTATAAGTTTACTCTTGCAAAAGAATAATGAGTTTAGTACAATAATGTTTACCATCTACTATATTACACATTATTATCCTGTGTTGTAAGAGCGTTTTATAAACATCAACTTCACGTGGACAAACACCCAGATCGGAAACAATTATCTGTGGGTTACTCAAATACTTGTCCCGTGTCGGAATCGAACCCATGACCTCCGGCGCCGAAGCCAAAACCTTGACAACTACACCACGGAGTCATCAGGTTGTTGTTATGCTACCTCGTTTAGGAAAAAATCATTGCAACAATAGGAATATATGAGTAGGTTGTCAACTTAAGTCCGTTTTTACCCAACTTTAAGGGACACCTAAACAAATTTAAGTGCTAGTTTCGTTTTCACCACACCGCCTAAATGTCACCTGAAGTCTTAAGCATAGTCGAAACCTTCAATTCACACTACATAAAAGCCTTTGCGTGACTCTACCACGTACATAGCTTTATGCATTCGTTATAATACGCGTATTTTAAGTTTTTTTTTATTGTATCATACATAATCTCTAACACATTAAATATGTCTTAACATATATTTTTCAAGAATTTAAACTGCGAGTTTTATCGAAGTTATCGCTGTGCAACTTTCGAGTTTAATAGCCGTTACTGGCAACATCAAACTGCTATGTTTTAATTGTGGCATTAACCTAGCGTACTCCTGGCGAGGCCAGTACTGGCTTGAGGTCTCTGGTCTCCCCGAAGCGAAATAGTAGCCCCGGCCGCCCGCGTCCCAGCCCGCCTGCCCTCGGTAGGTCTCGTCCCAGGGCCTGAAACTGACCGTAAGTCAGCGTAAGAGTAACAGACTCTACATGTATGAAGCTTTTCATTAACTTTATAAGTGTGCCCGTGAGTATGAGTAAGAGTAACTGACTCTATATGTTCCAATCCTTTCATTAACTTTATAAGTGTGCCCGTGAGTATGAGTAAGAATAACCGACTCTATTATGTTCCAAGCCTTTCATTAACTTTATAAGTGTGCCGGTGAGTATGAGTAAGAGTAACTGACTCTACATGTATGAATCGTTTCCTTAAATTTTTAAGTGTGCCCGTGGGTATGAGTAAGAGTAACCGACTCTATTATGTTCCCAGCCTTTCCTTAACTTTATAAGTGTGCCGGTGAGTATGAGTAAGAGTAACTGACTCTACATGTATGAATCGTTTCCTTAAATTTTTAAGTGTGCCCGTGGGTATGAGTAAGAGTAACCGACTGTATTATGTTCCAAGGCTTTCCTTAACTTTATAAGTGTGCCGGTGACTATGAGTAAGAGTAACTGGGTGTACATGTATGAAAAAATAATATTATAAAAAAATATTGTTAAAATAATCTGTTCATAAAAGTCAAAACTGAACTAGTTTTAGTCCTAAGCGATCTTTGGACTGGTAAATTTGTAAAATAGATGGCAATCGTAACTGGCAACCACAAGACAGGCTTTGCCTAGTGTGATGCCAACGCACAATGTAATCTGTAATTGTTTGTCTTAAGTATTTTTTTAAGCATAAGCTTGAAATTGACATGGAGTAAAAATAAAGTTACAATCCCGAACCGCCTTTCAAACTCCCTGCTTAAGAGAACTGTAGTCACCAAAATCGGAGCATATTGAAATGTTGCGGGTTGAATTTGAAACAATGAAATGTACTCTTTACTGCAAGCCTAATCGGATATCTTGTCATGGAGAAAACAACTAGGCTTCCAATGCTCCTCAATTATTCGATTTAGTGTTCATGTCGGTGACACGAATACAACGCGATTTTCACGATTGATGTCTGTTTCTGACGATGTTTCGCAAATTAAATGCAATGATACATGAAATACATGAAATAATCTTTATAAAAATAGGCTCGCTATCAATGTATTAGTGTTAGTATTTGAGATAATTAAAAAAAAAGTCGGTAGTAGTTGCTATGGCATAGCTGTTGACTCAGTTGATTCGCATGAAATAATCTTAATAAAAATAGGCTTGCTATTTAGTGTTAGTATTTGAGTTAATAAAAAAAAACTCGGTAGTAGCTGCTATGGCATAGCTATTGGCTTCGGCGTCGGGTCATGGGTTTGATTCCTACGTGAGGTAAGTATTCGTGTAACCCACAGATAACCGTCGGAATCTGGGTGTTTTCTCCCAAAAAGTATTGCTGCCAGGCAGGCGGCCAGTCGTAAAAACGCCTAGCGAATACCGTTCACAATATGACATCTACTGTGCCTACTCCCTACCTATGTGGATTTGGTAATTTAAATCGATGATGCAAAGTAGAATAATGTAAACTTAATAACTTCTGGAAGAATTAAGGAATAAAAGTTATAATTCAAATTGACTATATCGTCGCAATCGCAACACGATGATTTATTTCATTTCAAGAAGTTTGCTACGAAAATTTTCACAGGGGAAATTATATTTAATTACTTTATTTATTACTAGGTATGCCCACGACTTCGTCCGCGTGAAACTCTAAATTAAACAATCTAAAATAAAAGTAGCCTAAATTACTCCTTATTACATCAGCTATCTGCCAGTGAAAGTCCCGTCCAAATCGGTCCAGCCGTTTCAGAGATTAGCCGGAACAAACAGACAGACAAAAATTGTAAAAAATGTTATTTTGGTATATGTACCATGTAAAAAGTGGTTATTTTAATATTACAAACAGACACCCCATTTTTATTTATTTCTTTTTAAATTTATTCAATTATTTTGAATTTGAAGTTTAATTAATAGTACCTGTTGGACCGTTTTTGGTAAATCATGTATATTGGAAAATAAAAAAATAAAAAATAAAGAAAATGATCTGGTATAGAAAAAAAAGTAGGTAAATGATTATTTTTTGCGGCGAAATTTACTGTCGTATTCGAATGATATTTTTCATTCCCTGAAAACAGGGATAAAAGGACATTTTCTAAAAATGAAACCTACCTAGATCGATTTTTCGCCCCCGAATCTACGCACATACTAAATATCATGAAAATCGCTGGAGCCGTTTCCGAGATTCCGATTATATATATAAGAGACATATCAAATTTATCAGACATTTCGATACAATTTACATACAATATATTACATTACAATACATTTATTCTATACAATATTTTATGATTTTAACTCGAAGGATATACAAGTCTTAATCAACTGGTTCATAATAATTAATAACTGTATATGTTAAGAAATAAACAAAATAAATCATAATTGAGTAAGCTGGATAGGTAATAAAACCGTTTAAAAACTTTAAAGTTAAACGGTTTTATTTTATGTACACTGAAACTACAATATTGTATTGTCATCTAAATTAAATGTGTGTACCAAATTTCAGATCAATCTGACAACCGGAAGGTGCTTAAATTTCAATTTCTAATTTTGACCCAAATAAATAAACGAATAAATTCCGTACGGGTCGAGCTAAATAAAACCGTTTAAAAAAGAACCCTAATAAAACCGTTTAAAAACTTTTAAGTTAAACGGTTATATTTTAATGCTTTTTTTTTGTTAAATTTTTTTTGTTAATATTGTATTGTCATCTAAATTAAATGTGTGTACCAAATTTCAGATCAATCTGACAACGGCAAGGTGCTTAAATTTCAATTTCTAATTTTGACCCAAACAAACAAATTCCGTACGGGTCGAGCTAAATAAAACCGTTTAAAAAAAGAAAATGCTGGAAGTTTAAATAACAGCTGCCGCCATATTGGCGGGAAATGAGACGACGACAAAACTGTTAGGTTATATCGTTACAATTTCATTGTACTCCATCATTATACATGGCTATTGAACACGTGCGACAATGGATTCTAGGCGAAAGCGTAAATTTAAGCATTATTCAAGGTATTATTATTATTATTATTATTGGCACTGTTCACTGTACTATGACACCATTCAAAAGTAACGGTATATTGGTCATTCGAGTGTTTGAGGTAAATGAACTACATCAATATTAAATAAATGGAAACAAGCAAAATGAATGTAAAATAGTTTTCTAATTGTATATAGTTTTCTAATACGGTGCATTGATACGATATGTTTGTAATTTTTTTTTATCTGCGTAAAACGTAAATGAGTTTTTGTTAGTTCTTATTTTATCATAGGTGTGTATATGCGTTATTTTATGTAGCATGTAACTTGACTTTATTATTGTATGAGAATTTCCATTTCCATTCAACGGAATAATACTTATTATTAAAAAATAAAATAATGCAATTCCCTACCATATTTGTTTTGTATTTAACTTTAAAATCCCAGAGAAATTCTCCTAATAGCTTAATTAATCTCTTTTAGTAATATCACAACACCGCTCGTACTTTATGGAGTATTATTTATTATCTATCGTGTTTAAATCAAGCGTGATTTTTGTAAAAACTACACATTCGACAACGCTTGCCAACGCCCCATCTATCTGTTCCCATTAACATGAACGATCAAAAAATTTTCTTTAAAAAAGATAAAAATCGTCAAAAATTGTTTGAAGTCTAAAGAAAAGTGGCAGCCTGTACATATATGCTTTATTACTGACTAAACAGATGACTCCGTGGCGCAGTTGCCAAGGTATTGGCTTCGGCGTCGGGGGTCGTGGTTTCGATTCCCACACGGGACAACTATTTGTGCGACCCACAGATAGTTGTTTCGCATCTGGTTGTTTGTCCGCGTGATATTTATGTTTGTAAAACGTCCTTACAACACAGGATAATGTTATCCTAAAGTAAGGGCAATGTTTTTACATAATAAAATAAAAAAAAAAATAAAAAAGCCTTTCATTATGTTGAGGATAGTATGGTACAGGTACAAACAAATTGATTGTAATAATTCCTCACCTGTCGTGTTGTCCTCTTCCAACGCTGGGTCCGTACCCCCCATACGGGTCATACGCGCCACCCCTGTCATAACGATCGTCATAATAAGGCCTTCTATACCCCGTGTATCCATACCCGTCATATCTGCTATACCCGTCGTCATATCTATCCGGATATCTGTCGTAAGGCCTTCGCTCTCTATAAGGATCCTCGTAATACGGCCTTTCATATCTATCCCTGTACGGGTCCCTTAGAAAGCGGTCGTAGTAATCGGGCCTGTATCTGTCTCTATCGTCATGCCTGTTTCTGTCCCTGTCTCTGTCCCTGTGGCCCCGTCTGCCGCCACTATGTCTGTCCTTGTCGTCGTACGGTCTTTTGCTCGAGTCGCTGTCTTCGTCAGTCTCGTTCTTCTGAGTGCTTTTCCGATCGGTGCTGTATCTTCTGTCATCGTCGTAGTCCTTCTTGTCATGCCTCCCGCCCGTCGTCGGCCGGTGGCTGGGCCGTCGGTCTTCGTCGTATTTGTCGCGGCCGCGGTCGTATTCGTCGCTGTCGTCGGATCTGTCGTCGTATCTGTCGTCGCATCTGCCACACGAGCCGCCGTAGTCCGGCCGCTCGTACAGCGGTCTACGCGAGCCGTAGCGCTCGTAGTACTCGTAGCTTCGCTGTTGGCGCTGTAGTGGTCCTTCAGCAGATGGAGTCAGCACTGCTGATAGGACGCTGCCATCCGCACTACTGGCTGGCGGCTGGATGGTGGAAATAATCAGCAGCGGCGAGATGAACTGGAAAGGAATTCGTGTACGATACATTTCATAGGCGGTTATATATTTTTTTAAACGTATTTAAGATTTTTTTATTTTTTTTTTATTCGAAACTGGCCAGCACTTGACTGCCGTCCTACTTGATGGTAAGTAGCGATGCCGCCATTCGTACGTATTCACTCTTAAATTTTATTTGCTTGAATTCACTCTTGAATAAAGACAATTATATAAATGCAACACAGCGTAAACTCGCTGCTCACTCATTTACTATTACAATTAAAGTACGTAATAATTGTGCCGTTATCAGGTAGAGATCGGTCAATAACTCTACACGTTTTTGTTGCATCATTATGAAGACAAGGTCGGTTTTTTTTGTAGCGATCTAATGTAATTTTCCGGGTTTTAATGCAATGCGTTGGCATTGCATTAATATTATTATTGTAACTTAACTAAAATGAAAAATGAATGCTATCAAAGCCGTTTGATTTAATTTTAGAGTTATCTCAAATATTCCATTATCACTGAAATACGGAAAATGCCTGAAATACTGATAGATTGTTTTGTCTTATAATTTAAAAGATTGCCTTTACATTCGGATAGCATTACCATATTTTTTCTTTTATACTAAAGCTAAATTTTATTCTAAATTCTTTATTTCATCCTGATTTTTTTAAAGTTAGGTTTATTATTTCAAAGTTTTCACATCCCTACAGTTGATTGACGAGGATATATATATATATATATATTTCGACAATTCCAGGTCATAATTTTTATATAAATATCGTTTTATCATAAGTGCTTATTGTTTTCAAATACAAACATCATTCAATTCAATCAACATAAACATATAAAACACATTTATAAATGAAAAATAAATTAAATGATTCCATTACAACCGTACATACATAGAAATATGCCGATACGTATCTACATACATATTTTTTTTATATTACATATACGTGGGTCATCATAAAACGGCTCAATGTAGAAAGTTGACCACATACTTGTACTAAATGTAGACATGTGACGATATCAAATACAGCATTGGAGGCACCCTTGAACTTTTCTAACATTTCGCGTCACCAATCCCTTCGAAGGTGTTTGGACTTGGAAGGGGTGACTGGTCTTCGGTCAAACTTACTGGGAAATCCATCTGGTACAAAGATTCTTGACGCCTACATGGCGCGAATCTACTTGACTCATACCTAAGTTTGCCCAAATCTGCTTGTAGTTCCCTCATATCTTCCGCTATCATGCGTAACACAGCAATAATGATCAGCATGATAAAAATCTTCAGATGTGGCTGTTGAAGGACGATCTTCACGGAATTCTCACTGTTATTGCTACGCCCATGCTTAAACTCATTTAACTAGTTATCAACAGTGACATGGGATGGGGCTTCATAATTTAATGCCAATTAAAGTTTATCATAGATTTGGTGTTGAGTAAGACCACAAACAAAGTTGTAATAAATCATGGACCGAAAATTTTCGTGCGTTGTTTTTTTTTTGTTGATGCAACATGTTTGGATTTGCCGCCAATTCTTAAAAATTAACCACAAATGAATGCAATATATCACACTAGGTTTTCAAATTTTTTTCATTGGCAATGGTTCTAACTAGCCAGTTCTAAAAACTTTCAGTGCCACCCTGAAATCTGAGCAAGCCTTTTAAAAAAGAGTGCCATTGTCGGCGTTCCGTCTACTTTGTTTTCGTCTATCTGTGACATCATTCCTCTGTTGTTGACGTAAGATTTTATGAACGTACAAAATAATTGCATTAACTTTTGTATTAGTATACAAACAAATTTTAATGTTCAATGTCAATTTTTTTTCATGTCTTCTCAAATTAATCAGGAAATGCCGCCACCCAATGTGTTTTCTGTGTTAGATAAGTATGAATATCATTTCTTAAAATTATTACGCAGCAGTATTACTAAATTGTATCATGATTTTATATCGAATATAAAATTACTAGTAGTCTTTTCGAAATAAAAAACAATTAACTCAACATATCTAATGTTCTGTAGATTTATGTATACGCTAAGGTCGGAGCGAAAAAAGTGTTCGTCTAATGTTAAGTGGTTATTGTTACCCATAGATATTCTTCTTGGTTTTGCAAAAGTAACTGACATAGCTCAGAAGATTATTAAGCTGAAGTGGCGATGGGCTAGCCATAAGCTCGCAGAACCGATAACCGATGGGGATGAAAGGTTACCAAGGAAACCACGGGGGAGGCCTATTTTCAACAGTGGACTCAAACAGGCTGAAATGATGATAATTGCAGATATATTGCGAATTTTTAAAAGTGCAGGCCCTGGATACCACAGTAAACGTAAAATTATAACTTTCCTACCACAGTGAATGTTTCGTGAATTAAGCTAATTGGAATCTCGTTACGTCCTATTTAGTAACGATCTCATTACAAAAATAACAAGTAGAATATAGTTAAAAAAACTGAAAAACCCGACTTCGTTTCTTTGTAATTTTTTATTTTGATATACCCAGTGTCATTCTCACAGTAAATACTTATATACAACTTGCAGTTGCAGGTGGATTAGTTTAAACTAAAATTGGACGTTTTCGTCAAATAAATGTCAAATGCAAATTGTGTTAACTCCACTACGGATTACGAAATGAATGCATTCATTTGAATTATAACAAAGGCCGACTCACATGTATTTTGATTGCGGGAGATTTTTTTGTTTTAGCATTTCCCGACCTTGAACATAACGCAACGGTCCCATAACCTTTTGTGCGGTTTACACGAGTGCGATTATAATGCTATCACAATTATTGCGGAACGAATATGCAAATCGGCGTAAGTACGCTGGTTTTCTATCTTGTTTTTTTCCTCTAAAATATTGTCCGCGGAAATATTTTGCCGCCATTTAAAAAAGTTTTGTATTTACAATTTGATGTTTGTTTACGTTAGTTAGTGCTTTACTGACTAATGTATGGCTTTGCATGAAATATAATTTTCAGCACCAAGTTTATTTTTGATAACGTAGCTTTGACAATAGATGTATAGGATAGACATTTTAAAAGCTTATTCATAATCCCCAGGGAGCCGTGATAGCTCAGTGTCAGGGCGCTCGCCTTTCATTCAATATACTCGAGCAACCTGAGTTCGATCCCCGGTGCCGGCACCAATGAAGTTTTTAACTTTAAGTGCTGACTTATCACGTGCTCCGCGGTGAAGGAAAACATCGTGAGGAAACCTGCATATTTTCGAAATAATAATAAAAAATATATATTTCGAAGATATTTGAAGTCCGCCATTCCGCAGTGGGGCCGCGTGGTGGACTATACCCTCTGTACAGAGCAGGCCTTTGCCCAGCAGTGGGACATGTATAGGCTGTTATTTACTTCACTTTACTTTATTCATTATCCAAGTACCTAAACTTTGAAAAACTTGTTTATGTCCACTTTAATTAAATCCAATTTATAAAGCAAGATTTGATCGAATTTGCCACGACCATAGTCCATGAAGTGGAATCAATTTTGTTATAAGAAACTTCGATCGACTCTACGCCTCTCAACTCTTCATCTATAAATAAAAATTAATGTGTATATGTACATTTTGACTCCAAAATGGCTGGGCAGATTTTGATAAAATTCTTAGGCAATGTTCTGTGGTGCTGTCAAGGTTGGCAGCGATCGGATCAACAGAATGCGTGCGAACATAAAGTTATTTTATAAGAACTTTCTGCTGTTAGTGCTGGTACAAGTTATACTGTAAGTTCTCTGAAAAATTATATGTATCTATATCTCATCTCCATATCTTTGTCAAATAGTGTTACAATATTTTTTTGTAAACGCCCGGGCTTATCGAATTTGCCCTTATCTCGGGATCAACCGATCAATTTTAGTTCAGTTTATTCCTTTAACATAAGATCACTATATTATGCAATACGGCGACAACAAGTTTAGACAAGGATGGGACCTTTCATAAGGATCAATCAAGTCAGGAAATGTCTTCGTTTCCAATAATTTCGGTCTGTTTAAATTTAAATACGTCTTTACGTAAAGGGGGTGAAAAGAGCAACACGTTTGATGATTTTCTTCTTCTGCTTCACAAGTTTTCGAAATAAAGGGTTAAAAAATTTAATGAAAATATTTTCTCAAGGTCATGGCTGTATGATACTTTTTTTTTATGTGAAAAGTTGCCAAGCGAGCAGACGGTTCACCTGATGTTAGCGAATACCGCCGCCCATGGACGTCTGCTACACCCGAGGGTTGCAGATGCGTTGACAAACTTTCGAAAATTGACCACCTCACTCACCAGACGAAACGCGAAAGTATTATACTTCCACTTTACACTGGTCTTCTGTGAGATCGTGGTACTTACCTGGACGAGTCTGCCCATTCGTGCAACAGCCGAGGCTGCTGCGTGGCCCTACAACCGATATAATTCTTTTCCTTTTCCAATTCCTTTTCCTTTTGTACAATAAAAAACATATACACAGATTTTATTCCTTACTTTTGACCACAAGATATTTTAATTTAGTATTTTTAAATGCTTCAAAGTAAAAAATCTCACCAGGATTGTAATACGATCCATCTTCAAAGAGTCCCGTCCCAGCTAACGATCTGCAAGGTTCATCCTCCGCGATGAGTAGCACTGACCGCTAAACCAGTTCTCGTTTAAAAGAAATATAAAAAAGTCGCTCCATACACTTATCATATATTGTATTCACTGTTTATTCTTAATTCGAAATTTATAAATGGAAGTAGAAAATTTTGTTCTTAATTTTAATGCCAATGCATTCTCTGTGATGGCATCCCGTCGACTGGCCGTACTGACACGGCCGCTAGGCTTATAATAATTACTTAGTCTCTTTTTTGTTTGTTCCTCGCTCTATATCCGGCGTGGTCTAGTGGTCTGTACATTTTGAAGGTTATCAACTACACTATGTTCGGGCACTGTTTAAATACGTAAGTAATGGACTATTAGGCATTATTTGAGATAATGTAATTTTGACATTAAAAAGATGCCTTTTTAAAATATCGTACAGTTTAAAACATTTGTCCGATTTGAACTTCGAAATAGGAACTGTCAAAATAATAATAATAGAATAGATGTGCATTTACACGTCAGATTTCATTAGATTTAATGCTTACGTCATTCCAATTATTATTTATATTAGACAATAACACCGAGATTTGCACATAATTTTGTTACTTAAAAATTAAATTAATGAACTGAGCAAAAGTCAAGCGAGTCAGTTTAAACCTTTCAGAATGTTGATTGGTTATGATTTTTCGTTTTTCGAAACTAATGTGGGATTTTATTATTCCGTGTTAGAAATATGTTGGACTACCACAAGGATCTGGAACTAGGCTAACCTCTGAAACGGCTAGACCCATTTTGACGAGACTTCCACTGGCAGATAGCTGATGTAATAAGGAGTAATTTAGTCTACTTTTATTTTAGACATTTTATACCCGAATGGCGTTGTGGGTAGTGTACCTGCCTCCTGCGCCAGAGGGTGTGGGTTCGATCCCCACTACTGGATAAATATTGTGTGATGAACATAGTATTTTTCTAGTGTCTGGGTGTTAATATATGTATAATATGTATTTATTTACAAAAGAAAAGTATGTTTAAGTATAAACATATTTTTGTCCTAAAATATTTATTTTAAACTAACAACCCGCTCCGGGTGCAATGTATTACACATATAAACCTTCCTCTTGAATCACTCTATTTAGTATAAAAAACCGCATCAAGATCCGTTGCGTAGTTTTAAAAATCTAAGCGTATATACGGACATTCAGACAGCGGGACGACTTTGTTTTATACTATGTAGTGATGCACAGCAAAGAGACGTTTACATTTCAAGTGACATTTTACCACAGTTTTGCCTTCCCGGAACCCCTCCACTAACACTTAAACTTTATGGTATGGTATTAAAGTACAAATTGACTTTTAAGTATTATTACGAATCTTTTGTACGGGAATATAGAAAAGTGTTGTTTTAAGACTTTTTCAGGCAATTTTTAAAATTTTTCTCTCCGTAAGAGCCATCTTCCTACTTAAAAGAATATTATAAAAAAAGAACAAGTGAAATCGGTCCAGCCTTTCACGCTTGATGGAGTGACCAAGGGAAATAGGGATTCATTTTTACATATTTAGATAGTAGAAAAGCTCTCCAATATTTGTTGGGTCCAACGCTTGTAGAGTTACGATGTTAGGGGATTGTCGGCTAGAGCTGTTGTAGTGTGGTTTTCTCTTCCCAACGCTTTGTAATCATATTGAAATTCCTTATAAAGCATTTCCAGTCCTTCAGATACAGTTAAGTATAAAACAGGTTCCTTGTATATCCTTATAAAGTGCAGATGTTTTTTTTGTCTACACACAATTCGAAGTCATTATTTTATTGCTACAAATTGCGTTTTTTTAGATAATCATTGAATTTCCAATATCCCATGTAGTATGCGAGTAGGTAAAACACATAATGCGCTTGCGCGCGCATAGAGATGCCAATTAGCGCTTGACTTGGATTAAGTTCATATATATGTGTCTTAATGATTAAAAATATTAACGAATATAGTTATATAGCCGTCACTAGATCTTGTAGCAACTTTATAATTACGACAAAAACGTAACCCAATGTTCTAGATTTTAGTAACTAAAAATGTTACTTATGTTATTGTTGTTTCGATATCGTGAAAAATGCAGAGATTATAATAAACATTAAAGCCATTGTTTTTCGATCACGCCATGTGTCAAAAGATCAGATAATAATTGTAGTCATTTTAAATAATATATAATTTGTTATTGTTGTAGTTACGAACGATCCAGTCAGAGGCCATTACGACATTAATTGCTTTTCAGAATCGAACCCACTTCGTTGTGGACTTACGTCAACGAATGGACAAAACAATACAATACAGATATGTCCACAATTTTCATTCGATTGCTAATGTGATATACACTTTTACGATTGTGGTGTATTTATAAGTTATTTTAAACCAAAAAATATTTACTTACAATATAAATATGTAAATATATTTACAACATTAAATTAAAAAAAAATCCCTAGAGTTGTCACTGTGGCTGGTGACACACAGCTGGTTCTTTTCTAGTTCAAAGGTTAAGCATAACTACTTAGCGGGGAAATCTCTAACTCAGTTAACGTTCTTAGCACCATGAATACAATTTATAGAAGAACATTTTTAAAAAATTATACATATTTTTCAGGACATGCAAATTCACATAGGCCATTTAGTTTTCATTAATGCTTACGTATTGTTAGTTGAGCTGCTTTAATAATTCTTTCAGTTGGAATGAAGAAGACTTAAAGCATTTAAAAAAATATCGCTCTCGCACTTGGTTCCCGCGCGATAAATGAACATATATTACCCTATAATGAGTCACAGAACCATCAATATTTTAATGCACAATAATTTGACCGCCAAATAAAACAACACGGTACTAGTTCGAATAGCGGCGGAAGCTTCATTGTGTTCCATTGCGCGTTTCCATTATACGACATCCGTTGGACAGCAAAAATATAGTAGCCAAAAATATTGAGCTGATTGACGTGAATACAAAATATATTACATATTGTGCAGTTATTTAAAAGGCGGACCATTTTAGACAAAATGCGAAATGCGTGTTTAACTGTGGTAGGGCCAGGTACCAGGCTTCGCGATTGCACGATTGGACAGGTCTGGCCGGGTAAGTACCGCGACCTCACAGAAGACCGGCGTGAAGTAGAAGTGCCACATTTGTGCATTTCATCTTGTGAGTGAGATATACGGAGCCCGCTTTATCGAAAGGATGAAACGCATCTACAACCCTATGGGTGTTGCAAATGTACATGGGGAGTGGTTCTCACTTAGCATCAGTTGAAACGCCAGCTCGCTTGCCACACTCTCACAAAAAAAAAATTCTATTTGTTTGGTACAAGCAATGCGGCTATAACGCTTATTTTTTAAAACAAATACATTTTTATAAACAACGCCGCCTTCAAATATATCTCTATACACATTTTTCAGGTTCGGAGGTCCAGTACCAACGAAATTAATATGGTACCACATGGCAGCCAATCCCAACATGATGCGAAAAGAATTGGAGAAGCCCATCGGGTACGCCCAATAAGACTGCGCCCACATGTGGCGTTAACTTACTGTAGTTCGTCTACGAACACAGTGAAACCTGTATTGTCTTCACCGTGTGGAAAAAACTACACACGTTACAACCGCGACACGGGAGAAGTTCTCACCACTCCAAGTCATCAAACAACCCAACCCAGGGAAAACCTCTTTTCAATGCAGTACACTCGCCGAAACCTAGTGTCAGGCATCAGTCAGGAACTGCTGTGTACGCATAGGAACCCGGTGGATGTAGGTGGATGCACACCTACACAGGTAGGGATACCTACACAGAAGACTGTAAGATGAAAAACTATAACCTTAAAATAGCAATTAGGAACAGAGACGCAGCGGACGCAGAGAGACTAGCTAAGAAATAACACCTATTACCTAATAACCTGCGACCACGAGATCTCCGTCCATTCTCCCTATAACAAAAACTGTGCAGGAAAAATTGTTGTTTGAAAAAAAAAATTATAAATATGAACTCAATGCTGCACCGTTACCAGCCCGGTTGATGTACGCGGCGGTGACAGCACAAAAAGAAAATGAAAAAAAAAATACATGTTAATCAAAAAAGAGTACAGAGTCTCTAGAGTTAGTTTGTTAAAATAAAAAAAATAATACAAATAAACAACCGTCTTCGGTCAAAAAAATACCATGCATATCATGACGATAAGCCATTAATGCTATGCACTTTGTCTTTACTACGTGCAAAATAGTAAAACTAAATTTTATTGGCCCCAAATTGTGTCTACGCTATGTATAATTACTGCGTGATACAAGTGAAAAGGCATCGAAACGGAGGGCAATGGAAACACCCAAATTTTCCAAATTGTACGTACAAAAATGGCGGCGCGCCGGAGCGGAACCGCCACGTCATTATGTGCTTTATAACCACCGGACCATACGTGACACATTTATCTACCCTTCGTTATCAAAGCGGTCATTACGTGATATTTTAAATATAAAAAATAATTTACATGTTTAAAACAATGTCTCTCACGGCTGTAACTTTGAAGTAACAACTTTCAACGTGAAATCGACACAATTAAAGCATAGACTCGACCAAACGATATTGTGTTTGTGCCAACCGACAGTTGTGAGTTATAAAGCTTTTGGGTTGAGAACTACGGCTCTTCCTGGGGTAAAATTAACTTATAACGAATAAATTTTATCGACTCGTTATTGGCGCGTCGAAAGGTTTTGTAACCTCAAACAAGCATCCTATGGAAGTAGGACGTCATTAGAGCGGGAAACGCGCGCAGTTCCGCTATAATTCTAGGTTACAAGCGGATGACAGATGGGAGTTCCCGCCCAAATAATATATTGGCAATTGTTTGCTTTTTTTTCTTTACTTTGTAGTGTTTAGACGCAAAGGACGAATTTACTCGAAACTTATTTTTATTTATGACTCGATCTTTTAATTTAGTTTAGTTAGTTGATGTGATTTAATTTTTTTTTCGAGGTTGCTTTATTAATTTTACGTTTTCCTGACATTTAACGGTACTATACACCCAAAAACATATTACAACTGAAAAGCTAGCTTAACTCTGGACGGAGCTCAAAAATCATTTGAATCTTTATTGGACTTAAATAGTTCAGATATATATTTATACCATACTGATATATATTTTATATATATACAGAGAGCCGTGATAGCTCAGTGTCCGGGCGCTCGCCTTTAATTCAATATACTCTAGCAACCTAAGTTCGATCCCCGGTACCGGCACCAATGAAGTTTTTAACTTTAAGTGCTGTCTTATCACGTGCTCCCCGGTGAAGGAAAACATCGTGAGGAAACCAATTATTTTAATAAAAAATATAATTAAATAAATAGGGTCGGCAGGAGCTTACCCTTTGTCAAAGTATACAATCGTCTCTGAAATTTTCTTAATTAACTGAAAATTTTTCTTATGACTTCACCTACTTCTTGCCACCTTCGAGGCCTTTACCCAGTAGTGGAACAAATGTCTGTTACTTTTGTACTGTCAAATACTGTCAAATATGAGATTACGAAAAACCTTTATCATATTTCAAATAATTACACGCTTCAATTTCATTTTTTTACATTATTATCATAGATTAAAAACTGGAAAATATGTATGTTGTTGTATCATCCAAGTAGAGAAAACACGTATTTACGTTGCTAGTTTCGATAAGGATCATAATCTTTTGATTCTTTACCTTGGGGTCCGGGTACCAGTTTATAAAATACTAAAAAAGGTATTTTTTTTACTTGACTACCCAGAGAAGCAAGTGAAGATTACGTTCACATTAATAACCTAAAAGTCGTCCTCTCCTTAACATTCAATAGCAATCAAGTTCAGACCAATTTGCAGATAAAATACACGATCTAAGTCTCCTTCCTCTTACACCCCCAAACATATTTCGTATTTTTTTTTTTTTTTTTTTTTTTAATGCGAAAAAGTTGTCAAACGAGCAGACGGTTCACCTGATGTTAAGTAAATACCGCCGCCCATGGACATCTGCTACACTCGAGGGTTACAGATGCGTTGACAACCTTTTGAAAATTGGGCTCCGGCTACCTCACTCACCAGACGAAACGCGAAAGTATTTGTCATACTTCCACTTTACGCCGGTCTTCTGTGAGGTCGTGGTACTTACCCGGACGGGCCTGCCCATTCGTGCAACAGCCGAGGCTGCTGCGTGGCCCTACCACCGTTGTATGGAAATTGTTGTTTGAAATCACGATATTAAAACGTCAACATTTATTTCTAATTTTAAACATACAATCCTTTATTAATTACATGAAATGTTTAGGGCGCATTCAATCAAAAATGTTTCATCACAATAAGAAATGTGTAAATTAAACTAATGCCTAAAGTCGTAAAGTCCTTACCCTAAAGTCTTAAATGTGGCACTTGAGCCATGTTGAAAATGAACCTAGAACTTAAATTTTAATTTTATAAATTGCCCATTTAAGTTAGGGATAGATGGTGAAAACGGGCACTACTCTATCAAATCAATGTTTTATAATTATGAAAGAAAAATATTCGTGCACCATTAGCTGCGTTTAGCAACAAAGAGATCTGTTTCTTCACATGAGGGCGCAGTTTCCAAGCGGTCCTTCCCTACAAAGTTCTCCTCGATCTCCTGCAACGTCTTGTCCTTCGTTTCGGGCAGGTATACGTACAGAAGAAACGTGCACATGCCAGTCACAATTGCGTAGAACAGGAAGATGCCATGGAGCCCTAGGCTCCTAAACACCCACGGAGCGATCTTCAGCAGACCTGTGCTGTACATGTGGAATAACAAACCGATCGCCAGGTGAAGCGTTACTTTGTACTTGGACGGTATTATCTCGCCGTATATGGTGGTCGTCATTATCATCGGCCCGCAACCCACCGAGATCGAGAAACAGGTGAGCAGCAGAATAGATAGGTACTTGTTCTCATCGATTAACGTAAATCTCACAAGGTACAGATAAGTCGATATGAGGAACAAGAACAACACTCCGAACATCGAAGACGTCAGGTACATCGTCCGCCTGCTGAGAAATCTCGTGAGTACGCAGCCTGCGTACATGCCTAGGAGAGTGACTCCATCCAATATCAGCATACCGGTGTAAGCGGTACTCTCGCTCTGCGTGATCTTCCTTAAGATATCCAATATGTACACGCTGCAAACGAACTTTCCTGAGAAATGATATTGAGTGACCGAAGTCATCATCAAGAATAGAGGCTTGTAGAACTCCCTCTTGGTATATTGGGCGAAATTGTATGAACCTTGACCGTTGGCACGGCTCTTGGAGTAATCCGTATGGCTCTCAATAAGTTGTCTCAGCTCGCGCTCCGATTCCTCGGTGCGATCGTGTAGCCAGCGGTAGGAGGCTTTGCAGTCTCTGAAACGACCCTTGCTAGCCAGCCAGTGGGGCGATTCGGGCCACAGTATAGAAGTAAATGTTTGACAGCAGCACAACATTCCGAACACCGCTATGTACTTCCAGTGAAAGAAGGTGCCTATAATATTGGACAGCCAGATCCCCCAGAAGAAGCTGGCGGACTTTATCGTGAGAAACATGCCCCTGTACTTCGGGGAAGTGTACTCAGATATGACGGCGATCGATATGATTATGTTGCACGCGTGGACATAGCCCTCCATTATCTCGGCGAAGATTAACTGATTGATGCTGGTGCTGAAATACAAGATCAAGAAGACCAGCAGCATGACAAAGCAGGAAGTGATGAACGGAATTCGTAGGCCAATGTAGCGGGAGGCGGACGGGAGAAGCAGAATCCAGGGCATGGAGCTGACGCCGAATATGGAATCTGTTGGAAGGAATAATGTGTTGTAATCATATACAATGATCGTTTATATCACAATGAACCATCAACTCATTTTTTCATCTTTCGCCGAAGATCGATTTTTAGCCCCCGAATCTACGCACATACTAAATTTCATGAAAATCGCTGGGGCTGTTTCCGAGATTCTGATTATATATATATACAAGAACTACTCGTTTAAAGGTTATCCTTTATATGAGATATGTATATTTAAATAATATTTAAATTTAAGAATCATTTTGCCTGAATCTGGGTAGGGAATGCCCAGGTCGACCTGCATTATTTTAATTTAGTTTCCCAACCAATTCGCACGGTAAAGTTTGAGCATTTGACGTTGAGCACTAAAGAATAAATTACTCTTATAGGGCCACTCATAATATAGTAAGAGAGAAGTAACAAGTGAGTTAAGAGATGTCACAAATGGATGTGTCCATCATAATGTTTCAGTAACCTAGTTGTAGTAAACAGTGCTCCCACCGTCTTTCAGTGAACATACAGTTGACATACTTTACATTTTTTTATATTTCATTGTAGGTAATTAAATACTTCTTTTCGTCACTGCCGAGGTCCTTACACGGACTAGCTGGCCCATTCATGCATCTCATGATTCAAACACTAGTTTTATTCTGCTACATTTTATTAGTTGATATCGGCTTTTAATCTATTTTGTATGCCTTCAACTATAGCTTACATTCATATGCTATAGTTGAATACAGCGTTGAAGCCGCTACGCACGAAGCCTACATAGCGTTGAAGCCGATAAATATATAGCCGATGAATATAAGCCAATCTGATGCTCACCCTCGCATCTTGATCACAATCTCTCTTTATCGTTACTGCTTTATGTCCAAGTCTTTTCAAGGTCAAGCTTTACGGCTCTGGAACTAGCTACCCACCTCTATCAGAAATTGTCCGACTAAAGACGTGTATTTTATTTAGATAATCGACAGTGTTGAAAACTGAATTGCTTGAATTTCCCCTTCTTGACATAATTCGAAAATATATAATACTATATATTTATATATTTGTATATATATATATATATATATATATATATATATATATATATATATATATATATATATATATATATATATATATATATAAATAAACATGTATATATTTATGTTTATATTTAGGTAACATTTTATTAATTATGATGTTTTTCACTATCTCATCTCTCTCTGTTTAATTGTCGGTAGACTGGTAGAGAACACCTAATGGTGTTAAGTCCGTCATTGTACGTTATTGTGAATAAAGTTTTTAAATAAAAAAAATAAAAGCCGCGTCAACCATAGAAAAGTTTGTACTAAGAAGAGGATAAATACAAAGCCATGATGCTGTCTCCTCGTCGACCGCGTCCGTAGAGTTTGCCTCTCGTCTAATCTGCGGCACGAAGACCGTCGGCGCGCCCACACACATCCCCGTCATGAAGTAAAAGTTCCATACGGCACTGCTGATGAATACCTACAAAGGACACGTGGTAAGGCATTACAACTGATACGTTGCAGAGGCGGTGTCAACCATTATAGCTACATTTACCACTACAAACCAAAAAAGGTTAAAAACATACAAAACAGACGAAACGCGAAAGTAGGTACATACTGCTACTAACTGTTATCCAGATGGTACTTATCCAGACGAGCCTGCGCATCCAACATCAGAAACTGCTGCCTATGACAGACAATAGGTCAGTAGAATCTTCAAAAATAAAACAAAAAGAAAAGATTTACCTGTTTCCAAACTGATTTCGAAGCGTACCATTTCTTAGATATTTCAAAATTTCCGCTATCTTTCATGTTTCTAAAATAAACACCTTCACAAATAATACTCGGCTTTTACTGGCTAACAGAAAACAAATATCGTGCGCTTCAATCTTCACAACTGATTGTCATGTCCACGTTTCATTAAAGCTCTTGAACTTGGAACAACGAAAGTAGTTGAATGTAATATAAAAAAAATATACTATATTTAGATACTTAAAAAGCGCAAGACGCGAAGCAAAAGCGACCCATTGGGAGGTTAATAAGAACGATATGCACAAGTAATTGATCAAGCTGCTGCTGGATTATAAGGTGTTTATCACGAATAAATACATTTTGTTTACTTAGATATCACAGCTGGCCTCGGGTCCAAAATGTTGTATATGGTATAAAGGTCGCGGATTTTACAAAAAAGGGTTCTCATATTCCTCGTTATTTTTTTTCTGCTTTTGTGTTCCTTGCTTGAAGTCTAGAGGCCAGTTGCCATCACGTCAATAAAATTTAAAGTGAATTCTTGACTTGTGTTGACGTTAGCGCCGTCGCATGTTTCGGGAACTGCTAGCAAGGCAGGCACTGCCGCAGCGACGGAGTGTACGAAGCGCCGCAAATATATGGCCCTTCGCGAAGGCTATATATTTGTGCCGTTTGGGGTGGAGACACTCGGGCCGTGGGGACCAGACACCAAACGATTGTACAAAGAGTTTGCTCGCGTCTGGTTACCATTTCTGGTGACCCAAGAGCTGGCTCGTACTCTGGCCAGCGAATCAGCCTCGCGATACAGCGTGGCGTCGCGATTTGGCCAGCTTTTTTTTCTATCTTAGTTTTTTTTTAAATAAGTAGTTTAGTTTTTAAGTGTACTATAGTATAAATTATATAAATTTTATCACCTATATATTTTATATATTGTATAAATTTTATCACCTATTTAGTTTTAATTAGGTTAGATTATCATAACTTTGTAGCCAGGGCCGGATTTAGGGGAGGGCAACCAGGGCAACAGCCCCGGGGCCTCCACAAACGAGGGACCCCACAACAGTGACTTCGGAAAAAAAATCAGATCAGTAAACAACTTTTCCTTTCATATTTTTTTCGCGTTTTACTTTTACCCCCAGTACTTTGTACAAACATGATTAATTAAATATTTACAGAAATCAATAGAAAATAATTTGGGGTCAAGGGGCCTCCACTCCTTTGTTGCCCCGAGGCCTCCTGACCTCTAAATCTGGCCCTGTTTGTAGCATATGCACGATATTTATAAATGTTTGTTTTAATAAATTATAGACGAACGCGAAATTAAATCGCGAACTTTATCAGTTTTATATTCGTCGTCTCAACTCGTTCTTTTTGAAAGAAGTGTAGACTTGAAAAAATTATCAATAACTATCAATAACTTTAATCTATTCAATTCATAATTTTACCAAAAATATTTGGACGGATTTATAAAGTTTCAATTTTTAACGTAGAAAATGTGGTAGGAAGTGGCAGTTTGAATTAATAAATGAAAGAAATTAATGAAATGAATGAAAAAGTTATTTAATTTTCCCTGAAGGACGCAAACGTTCCTTTACAAAGACGCTATTTATTCTCTCACTTAATAATTTCTCAAGGTCATAGGCCGACTGTCAATGATTTTAAACCTTGGAAACTATGACCAAGCTCAAGTTCAGTACTAAATAATTAAGCCCGACTTCAGGGATTAGACAAAGGTCCCTGAGGTAAAGAAATCATTGATAGTGTTTGACGGCTTCTTTCATATTCAAGATACGATTATTCTGTAATGACTTAGCTTATAATATGTTATACGTATTTTTAAAGTTTGTAGAAAAATGGAGAAAAAGTTTTTCGTAGCTGTGAGGATTTTAACTTGCGTCTTCGGAATACGCGCCCGACTTTAATCTTAAACCGACGGAAATCTCAAATTATTTTACTACTTTTTTTTGCATTTTAAGCAATACCTGACGACATCTAGACACGGAGTCATCATCTCTTGATGACTCCGTGACGCAGTTGCCAAGGTATTGGCTTCGGCGTCGGGGCTCGTGGGTTCGAATTCACACACGGGTCAACTATTTTTGTGACCCACAGATAGTTGTTTCGCATCTGGGTGTTTTTCCGCGTGAAATTTATGTTTGTAAAAATTCCTTACAACACAGGATCATGTTATCCTAAAGAATGGGCAACGTTTTTTTAAAATTAAAAAAAAAAATAAAAAATCTAGTGTGTTACCTTACAGGAAACGATTATATAAATGTACTTAGACAAATATCCCGATCCGGAATAAGTATCTGTAACCTACAGGTACTACCTACAGATATCGGGATATTTGTTTACGAGCAGGAATCGAACTCAGTACTCGCGACGCCGTTGCTTTAATAACCGCCGAGCTCAAATACTGCGCCAAATGTGTTTTCAAAGGCGAGGTTTCTAATCAAGCTATCGTTAAATTTACGAGAACAAATTGATAGTCCGCGATGGGCTAGTGTCTGTGAAGTCAGAATTGCGAACTTAAAGTCCTCGATTCGAATCGCAGTGTAACTAATTTCGCCGCAAGAGAAAATGTAATAGCTCGGTCGGTAATCGGGCGGCCTCAAAACAGACGGCCATGGTTCGCGTCACGATCATTTACACGTTTATTTTTTTACTTTTTTTTCGATTCCAGATCGTTGCTTTCTTAATTTTTAATTTTTTGTCGATTTGTTATTTTGTTATTCTTTTCCCTTTTTTTTTTAAGTTCTTTCTTTTGTGAAAAACACCAGTTCATATTTTCTTATTATTACGTCGGTAAGATCGAAAATATTATGCATATTTCATCAGTAATTTGTATCTAAATGTAATTTCCAAAATACCCGATTTACCAAAAAAAAAAAAAACATCCGGTCCTCCGGGTACTATATGTAAAACGTCCTTGCAACACAGGACAATGTTATCCTAAAGTAATGACAATGCTTTTTAATAAAGGAAATTAAAAAATTTAAATTTATCATAAAAAAATTTAAAATTAAAGTAAAAAAATAAGTTTAATTAAGTTAATTACCTGCTTTTCATGCATGAAAGTTAAAAGACTAATATCGAAAGAAGTACTAATACCGACTTGTTGTTCCTTTTTAAACTAATGGTGTTGTGAAACAGCACAAGGTTTTTGACGGACCCCAAAGTAGAGAGTCCAAGATCAAGAGATCGAGATCCTTATCTGAGTTAGCTACATACATACATGTTTTCTTTACGTGGCTGACAACAACACACTCGTACTTCGAAGTTTTTATCTACACCTAAACAAATAAATAGAATTGGAGTATACAATCATTAGAAATATGTTAAGGTTTCTCATCATCTCATATCTGAAAGTAAATAGAAAAGTAACAACCTTAATATGTATTATTTAAATATAATATTTATATAACAATTGACTCCAAGCACCCCACCCTACACTAAAAGGATTTGTTTTGTTAATCGCACTATTTTTAATTTATTGATTATTACCTACTTTTTATTTTGGTTATCTATGAGGAATGGTTTTCTATATTTAGGATTTTTTTAAACCATTATTTGCAAGCTTTTACCCGCGGTTTCGCTCGCGTTAAAGGCATTAAATAAATATATTTCTTTTTTTAAATATATTTTTACAATAAAAAGAATTCCATGTCCTTTTTAATACCTCTAAGAATATCTGTAAAAAGTTGCATGATAATCGGTAGAGAAGTTTTGGCCTGAGAGCGTAACAAACAAACTTACATTCACATTTATAATATTACTAGCGACCCGCCTCGGCTTCGCACGGGTGCAATTTTTTTTTTTTGGGCTGGATGATCCACTGTTGGCCTTAGGAGCCTTTACAATTCCGACGGGCTTGAGGTGGCCTGGCGCACGAGGCGCCTAGCCTGAACCTCGGCGTATTATTATTACGCGTTATGGTGACTAAGCTCGAGGGCTCCCGGGGGAGCCTCGGCTCGGGCCGTCACGCTATTATTATCACCGGTTTGGGAGGCCAAGCTCTTAGGGCGCTTTGGCGGGCGCTTCATGGAGTGATAAGGCTCAAGGGTCCCCGAGAGGGGACCTCGGCTTGGGCTGTCACTCAACACGCGTTTAGTATTCCGATTCGAGGGTGCCCGAGAGGGCCGGACCTCGGCTCGATCGGTAGCTATTATCTGACTGGGGGCGAGTGCAATGTATTATACCTACATATAAACCTTCCTATTGAATCACTCTATCTAATAAAAAAAAACGCATCAAAATACGTTTTTAAAGATCTAAGCATATATAGGTACAGACAGAAAGCGGGACTACCTACTTTGTTTTATACTATGTAGTGATTACGGATTAGGAAAGAAAATTTGAAAACTAATGATATCCTCTTTGCTATTGAAATTAGTGCTAATCGATGCACTTAAGATGCAACTTAAAAATGTGTGTAATATGTATAATGAAACTGTCATAAAATTTCTTCACTACTGCCAAGATATGCCACGGCATCTACGCCTCCCGTTTCTTAGATATTAAAACTATACTTACTTTTTAATTTCAAAACATGTATGAATGCCTTTATTAACTATATAAAACTATTCGAGTGCTTTAAATAAGCTGTAAATTAGACACTATCAAATAATTGTTTTATAATTATAAAAGAAAAAAAAAATAATGGCACCATTAGCTGCGTTTAGCATCAAAGGGTTCAGTTTCTTCGGACAAATGCGCGTTTTCCAAGCAGTCTTTCACTACAAAGTTCTCCTCGATCTCCTGCAACGTCTTGTCCTTCGTTTCCGGCAGGTATAGGTACAGAAGAAACGTGCATATGCCGGTCACAATTGCGTAGAACAGGAAGGTGCCATGGAGACCAAGGCTCCTAAACACCGACGGAGCGATCTTCAGCAGTCCCGTGCTGTACATGTTGAAGAACAAACCGATCGCCAGGTAAAGCGTTACTTTGTACTTGGACGGTATTATCTCGCCGTATATGGTGGTCGTCATTATCATCGGGCCGCAACCCACCGAGATCGAGAAGCAGGTGAGCAGCAGAATAGATAGGTACTTGTTCTCATCGATTAACGTAAATCTCACAAGGTACAGATAAATCGATATGAGGAACAGGAACAACACTCCGAACGCCGAAGACGTGAGGTACATCGTTCGTCTGTTGAGAAATCTCGTCAGAATGCAGCCCATGTACATCCCTAGGAGAGTGACTCCATCCAGTATCAGCATACCGGTGTACGCAGTACTCTCGCTATTCGTGATCTTCCTTAAGATATCCAATATGTATACGCTGCAAACGAACTTTCCAGAGAAGTGATATTGGGTTACGGAGGTCATCATCAGGAGCAGAGGCTTGTAGAACTCCCTCTTGGTGTACTGAGCGAAATTTAATGAACATCCACCGTTCGCACGGCTCTTCGGGTACTCCGTACGGCTGTCAATGAGTTGGCGAAGCTCGCGCTCCGATTCTTCGGTGTGATCATACAGCCAACGGTAGGATTCTTTGCAGTCTTCAAAACGCCCCTGGCTAGCAAGCCAGTGTGGCGATTCGGGCCACAGGATAGAAGTAAACGTGTAACAGCAGCACAACATCCCGAACACCGCTATGTACTTCCAGTGGAAGAAAGTGCCGATGATATTGGAAACCCAGACACCCCAGAAGAAGCTGGCGGATTTTATCGCGAGGAAAATCCCTCTATACTTCGGTGAGGTGTACTCCGAGATGACGGCGATCGATATTGTTATGTTGCACGCGTGGAAGTAGCCCTCCATTATCTCGGCGATGATTAACTGAGTTGTGCTGGTGCTGAAATAGAAGATCATGAAGACCAGCAGCATGTCAAAGCAGGCAATGATGAACGGAAGCCGCCGACCGATGTAGCGGGAGGCAGACGGCAGAACCAGGATCCAGGGCATAGAGCTGACCCCGAAAATTGAATCTGTTGGATAGAATAATGTGTGAAGATCGTTTGTTTTATCATTGTAATAATTCACAACACAATGCAGCATCAGCTTTTTTATTAATGTTCCATTGGTGGTCATTTTATGCTCTATCTAGTGAGAATTCTTAATGAAATTCTAAATGATTAACGATATATTTGAAATAACAGATAAATTAAAGTATCATTCTGCCCGCCTGTGTTAGGGAAGACCCTTGTCGCCTAGGATTGTTTTAATTTAGTTTCGCGATCGATCCGACGAAAAGTTTGTACTTCCCTGAATGTAGTAATCAAAGAATAAATTAAGCTGATAGCCTAAGTTTTATGAGACAAATTAAATGCATTTGTCGTACTATCCAGTAATACTTTAATAGTAAAGGACATGGGCTATGGACATAGTTCAATATATAATTTCTTCCTTTTTTTATATTATAGTTCGTATTCTGCTAACCATGGCTGCTTATGGACCATCGTGGGGCTCAAGGTAATCGTGTGAAGTATGACGTCACTTGAATCCATCAAGTGACGTCATACTTCACACGATTACAAAAGTATACAGGGTGATTTTTTAGACGAAGTACATACTTTGACATAGTGTCATGACCTGATTCAAAAAATATATTAATATTTCATTTTGAGAAGAAATAACCATAAAAATAACAGTTAATGTAAGTTAAGTTATTGTATTGAGACGTTAAATCAGGAATTTCTAATAGGGTGTCCATAATATTTGAAAAGATTAAAAATAATCTTTGAAAAAAAAAAGATGAGGTCACAGGTATGTACCATATTCAGATTTAGAATCAAATTCTGCATATGCTCTGTTAATATGTTCGTCTTTTATCAAATCACCCTGTGTACTTATTTGCGCTATTTTTTTGCATCTCGTCATTCACGAATTTACTAATTGAAATCGGCTACCACTTTGATAGTAGAAATCGGTATAAGGTCAATTTTTTTTTAAAGTTGAAAACGAAGTCAAATCGAAAAGAAATATTTTACAGAACACGGTAGTTTCGCCGCCACCCATGTACATTGTAGATGCCTTTAAATTAGTGAACCAATTCTCTTACTTGGCAGATGTATAGGTATTCATACTTATCATCAATATCATCATCTTCCTGCCCTTATCCCGCCAACGTGAGGTCGGCACCACATAAGAATCGTGTTGTAAACGGTTTTGGCAATATTTTTACGACCGCCCACCTGACTGACGTCAACCCACTATTGCTTAACACTAATACTATTGCTTATAATAGTATGAATACCTCTACTTTATGCCGATTTTCTGTGAGCATCAACTTTCTTCAACAACTAAACATTGGTAGGGCCACGCAGCAGCCTCGGCTGTTGCACGAATGGGCAGGCCCGTCCGGGTAAGTACCACGACCTCACAGAAGACCAGCGTAAAGTGGAAGTATGACAAATACTTTTGCGTTTCGTCTGGTGAGTGAGGTAGCCGGAGCCCAATTTTCAAAAGGTTGTCAACGCATCTGTAACCCTCGGGTGTGGCAGATGTCCATGGGCGGCGGTATTCACTTAACATCAGGTGAACCGTGTGTTTGACAACTTTTCGCATAAAATAAAAATAAAAAATAAACTGACGCTGCTATGTCTATGCTATGTCGCTCTGTTACATGAAGACCCCAAAAGCTTAGAGACCGCTGTTCTGGGTAGTTGGAACTAAGAAGAGGATAAATACAAAGCCATGATGCTGTCTCTTCGTCGATCGCATCCGTAGAGTTCGCCTCGCATCTAATCTGCGGCACGAAGACCGTCGGCGCCCCCACGCACATCCCCGTCATGAAGTACAGGTTCCATACGGCACTGCTGATGAATATCTACGAAATACACGTGGTGAGGAATAACAGTAAACACTTTTTTTTGGCTAGATCAACCACTATTGGCCTTGGGGCCTTTACTGATTTACTGGGCTTGAGGTGGCCGGGCGCGGAGGGCACCTATCCTATACCTCGATTATGGGTGACTAAGCTCGAGGGCTCCCGAGGGAGCCTCGGCTCGGAACAACTTACATAACCATCGGGTGCTCTAAAAGCTAACTCTAATAGAGAATAAGCAGTCATTAGTTTAAAATGAATTAGTGAACTTACGTATTTGAGGGTACGCATAAAAAATGTAACGTTATTGTTTTTTCTACATTACGCTTCTTTTTTTACGTTAAAGCTACAGAATTAAGAATAGCAGCAAAAGCAGTCCCGTAATAAAAATTATGAACTATTTTCATAATCTTTTTGCTGTGTGATAAGTTGGTTGTTCACCGATGAATAGCGCTGTCCATGGACATCTTTAATATCTGACGCGTTGCAGAGACATTGTCAGCCATATAAAGCTTCACCACTATGTTGCCAAAAAGTGGGCTCTTTTCCTCCTTTACTGTACAAACCAGACGAAACGCGAAAGTAGGTAGGTATATACTTCCATTTTACTTTGGTCTTCTGTATGGCATTAGTGGCAATTCAAACGAGTCTGCCCATTCATGCAACAGCAGAAACTGCTGCCTACCAAAGTCAACTGATCGTTCAAATAAAACAAAACGAAACAAATTACCTGTTTCCAAACTGATTTCGTAGCGTACCATTTCTTGGATATTTCTAAATTTTCACTATCGTTCATGTTGGTAAATTGAACACCTTTAAAAACACCCGGCTTTTAACGGCTGACAGAAAGAAATATCGGGTGCTCCAATCTTCACAACTTATTATCGTGTGAACACTTCATTAAACCTCTTGACCTTGAAACAACGAAAGCAGTTGAATGTCATATAAAATAAATATATGACATTTTAAAAAATTAAAGAGAGCAAGACTCGAAACGAAAGCGACCGATTTGGAAGTAACGATATGTATAAATAATTGACTACTTTAAGCTGCTGTTGAATTATAAAATGTTTATCACGAATAAATATTTTTTTTTTACTTACATAAATGTTACGTTCGCGTGTATTATAACAGCTGTCCTCGTGTCTGAGATGTCGTCCATTAAATAGATACAAAATTTAACGTGAAATTAAAGTTTATCAGTTTCATATTCGTCGTCTTAGCTAGTTTTTAAAGGAGTGTTAAATGGTTAATAACTACAAGTTTAATCGATTCTATTCATAATTCTATTTAAAATATTTGCACGAATTAATTAAGCATGAGTTTCTATTTAATTATAATTTTCTAACGTAGAAAATGTGGTAAGAAGTGGCAGTTATGAACCATAATATACAGTAGAATTAGTAAAACTAGTTAAATATATTGTCTAGCACTCGCGAAAATGTAATAAAAACAGATATTAGTATCGGCTAAGAGTCTTTTAACCCGTTATGATAAACGGGTTTCCACGTTGTTCTATTGAAAATTATTTAAAATACAGTCCCTCGATTATACGTATACGCGATTAACCATAAAATAATGCAGGACCACCTAATGATGAAGCACCTGAGACCCCTGAAAGAGGACTCAAATAGTTTGTAAAACGGAGTGTGAAGTATCACTCTTCTGAATTAAAGGCTATTATACTAACTTACAGTTTAGTAATAATAGCCTTTAATCCAGATCAATGTTACAATTATAAGAAGAATAGTACATGAAAAAACTTAAATCTTAATCTAGACTTTTTTTTATTTTGTAGATCTGTTTGCCAATCGGCAAATGCCTCCTCCAATCTTTTAGTCTCATTAAATTCTTGAGCCACCCTATTCCATGTGACGCCTGTCACTTGTCTTATGTCTTCTTCCCATCTTTTTTGTTATCTATCTCTTTTCCTTTTACCTTCTCTAGGATACCGTCGTTGCTCCATTTGTCTTTTCATTTTATCATGTGTCCTGCCTATCGTCATTTAAGCCTTCTAGTTACTTATATGATTAATTATGTCTGTAACCTTTGTTTCGCTTCTTATTACACGGTTCCTTTGCCGATGAATGTGAAGAAGTTATCACATTGATCATGCACCTTTCCATGGCGTATTAGCAGGTTGCAAGTTTGCTAGTCATATTTTGTGTTAAGGTCCATATTTGGCGGCCGTACGTGAGTGGTAGAATACAGGTGTTAAATAATTTGCTTTTTATATTCATATGAAGTTTTTTATCTTTCATGATCTCTTTCAAACCCCAGTATCTCCTCCAGCCATTGGTTATTCTATTTTCAACTTCTTTGCGCATCGGATTATCAAGTGTTACTGTCAAGCGCATGGAAAAAAAATTAATAATCACAGATATAAATAAATAATACAGTTAAAATAACAAAAGCTGCAAATAACAATTAATACTAATTACGTTGATTAATTTATCAAAACCAATAAACGTTACTCCCTATTGTGCATATTAATGACAGTAAACAAGTCACTAAACGGGTAGGATACATTTGAATATCGGTTAATTTATGGTAATCATGCGGTAGGTGTCTGTAAACGTGGCGGTATACATTTAGAGCGGTTCCGTGATGGCTCAAATTCTGTGCACAACCACTCCGTGGAATCTTTTGGCGGCTGGGGTTTTTCGGGGCCGATAGGACTATGGCATATCGAAGAGCGATTTTAAACCGATAATTACCGATGATAATTGGTAAACCTAAGTAAGCCAGGCAGCAAAGTATACTTGACTCCTCTGTTGCCCATGGTCTGCGATGAATACTTACCATCAGGTGACCCGACAACTCGTTTTTCTGGTTTTCCATAAAAATTAAACCAGGCTAATTTTAAGCTATACGGCAGTAAGTTTAAATAAACAAAAGTATGAATTTAATAGAAAACTCAAGTCAAACTCAGTCTGAGCCAACGGCGCAAAGAATTATAATTAGTCTCATAAAAACGAGCTGAACATATCTTTATTCACTTAGACGCTTGCGCGTTCTTATAAAACGTCGAAATTTTACGAAGCTACCATCGATTCGGAGAGCAGTTTCTGTTGAGAAGAAGCCGGCCGAAGATTTTTTAAAAGGTCAGTTTATAATATAATTTTGTGTTTGAGTTCCTCCTCCACACAATGGCGTCGTGAAGATATTACGCAATGGTATAAATTCGCGTTAACAATTACTTATTTCACTTTTAATTTTTCGTTTAAATTAATATTTTTTTTTTCAATTTTAATTTTGCGTTTAAATTCAATATTCATTAAAAATGTGGGATGTCATTATACACTCACTTATGAGACACTTTTTACACTATTGAAATATTTAGTTTTATGTCTTGCTGACACGCTCTTTATTCTTTCACTTAATAACAATGATACTAACACCCGTCAGGGGCTGATTTTTGATAAGTTTCAGCTCAAGGTCACGGCTAAATGATATAGTCCGATTTCAAGGGCTAACTAAATAATGGTGCCCAAGGTCGAATTATTGATAGTGTTTGATGGATTATTTTCGTTTTCAAGGTAAGATTATTCTGTAATGAGGTTCATGTTATGCGTAGAGAAATATCCATATACATTTTTCGTTAGAAGATGACAAACGAGCTGGCTTCACCTGTTGTTAAGTGATAACCTTAGCCAAATGGACATTTACAACACCCGTAGGGTTACAAATGCCTCGTCATCTTTCATTTAATTGGGCCCCGGTTACCTCACTCAACAGACGAAACGCAGAAGTATAACACTTCCATTTTAACTCACTTTCTTCTGTCATCTCGTGGTACTTCGCTGGACGGACCTACGGACCTACAGACCTACGGACTTATCCATTCGTGCTGCAGCGAAGACTGAAGCTTGACCCTATCACCAAAACTACATGTTTTATATGTTGAAGTTTTAATTACTGCACAGTTCATCGACTGCGATCGAGAAGCAATCAAGCTATCTATCGTTATATTTTAAAAAACTGATTAATATGAAGTCTGAGAATGGATGAGTCACCGTGGCTTGCACCAACTGTTTACTGTTTTTAGAAACGCTTAAATGAAAAAAAAATAATAAAAAATGTCGAAAGACGGGACAGTTGTTTTTTTTTTTAGTTATGATTGTGATAATGTTTCAGGACAAGTTCAACATTTTTCCGATCCGAAGGAAAAGAATCAAAAGATTATGATCCCTATCTAAAGTATCTAAACTACCTTTTTTTTCACTACGTGGATGATAAAATAAAACATTTTCGAGTTTTTATCTATGTATACAAATAAATAAATTTGTGTGTAATTATTTGAAATATGATAATAGTTGTCTGTTAATGCTAAAATTTAGTAGGACGAGGACATTAGTATTATCACTGGTGCTTTACGTACGCTGAGAACTCATTAAATAGCTGAGCCCTTAAACGTGTCTATCCCGTCACGTAGGATGGACCAGAGTTTTATCAAACTCCGGTCAAATTTAAAAGAAGATCTTGTTAATATTATTGGCCAAATATTTACGACGTGCCACTTGCCTGACGTCAACTGTCCTTGGAACAAATATATAGATCCGTAGCAATTATCTGTTGGTCACATAAATACTTGTCCCGTGTGGGATTCGAACTCACGACCCTCGGCGCAGATATATCGGTTGCAGATACTTTGCCATCTTACATTAAGTATGCCCCGGCTACCACACTCACGAAACGGAGAAGTATAACAATTACACTTCACCCGGTCTTCTGTGAGGTACTTACCCGGACGGACCAGCCCATTCGTGAAACAGCGAAGCCTGTTGCGTCGCCCTACCATAGTTAAATAAAGACATACAAGGACCTACAATCCAAACAATTCCTCGGAACACTCCAAGTGATATATGCGGTAGAAGATGCATAGTGATCCAACATCTCTTCGCAGAGTCAAAGGATCAAGCCGATAAGAAAGACTGATCGTCGATAACCCCAGCCGCCCAACGTTGAATGCGGCTCCTGCCCAGAGATGAGAGTAGTACTCCTTTCGCAGCCGAATTTGCGACTTAAAGAGGCTTAAGCGTTAAGCCGACGTGAAGTAACGTATCGCCTTGCTTAGCAAGCCCTAAGCTTTTTCTTTGTCTAATTTGGCCTTACCTTTTTTATGTGAAAAGTTGCCAAACGAGCAGACGCTTCACCTGATGTTAAGTGAATACCGCCGCCCATGGACATGCTACACCCGAGGGTTTGCAGATGCGTTGACAACCTCTTTGGAAATTGGGCTCCGGCTACCTCACTAACCAGACGAAACGCGAAAGTATTAGATTTCCACTTTACGCTGGTCTTCAGTGAGGCCCTGGTACTTACCCGGACGAGCCTGCCCATTCGTGCAACAGCCCAGGCTTCTGCGTGGCCCTACCACCGTTAGCTTCCATCTGACCGCGGAACTGGACGTAGATTATAAAAATTATGTAATGTATTCTATCTCATTCTCCCGATGGCGTAAAACTACATATTTACGTGTTTGTCTCTTTGTCATAACGCATTTCCGCTAATGTGGGATACGGGCAAGAGAAAGCAAAACGAACAAGTGTTGTGTTTTCTGTAAGACTTGGTAAAGCCATACAAGTACATGGCTTTACCTAACTTGTAATAATATTTACGTAGCCAGGGAGCCCTCAGGTCATTGTACGGCACCCTTCTGTTATCGGTAGTAATAATTAATCAGTGTAAAAGCCCAAATTTTACCGTACGAGTCGGAGTTTTAACGGAATAACTCTTTTATATTATTTTTTTTTTACATCTTTGCAATTTCTTACAATGCTCCCTTTTTATTTCCACAGTGGCCCTTACTTAAAATACATACGAGTAAATACCGTGAGACAATGTTGGCTGGTGCTGGTAAAGGCATCAATAAAACACAAAAATTAAAAAGACATTTATTACCATAAGAAAAAATATAAATATATATACAGCATCAGTGTTCATTGACACCACACTAGGCAAGCCTACCTGGCTGCCGCTTCAATAACGTCAAGATACACAATTTGGATTGATCGAACAACATTAAAAATAGTTACATTAATTGCCTAGTTATTATAATTGTATATATTTAAAAAAAGTAAAATGTTAATTTAATACATATGGCTGGGATACATAAAATAAAATTAATATACTAAAATACAGTGTAAGTGCGATCGACTACGCGACTAAATCAGTATTAGAAGTGTATAAAAAAATTACCGCCTCAAATTATTAAACTCGACGCTAAAAGCTCTGTTAGAATTACTTTTACGAGCGTCACAATCAAAGCAATTTAGTATGCCTTCCGCGCGCGTTATTGACAGTCGCACCGCTACTTTATTTTTAAAAATTTCCCGCGTTTTCCTTTACATGTCATGAAAGTATAATAATTAATCTGTATTTTTCATACAACTTTTTTTATTTCTACAAACAAGATATATACAAAACAAACAGTTATGTACATATGTTCGTACTAAGATTCACGTTAAAAAAATAATAAAATAACCAAGTGCCGTAAACGTTTTGAAATGAGGGAAAGTAAAAAGTTTATTTGTTCAAAATGTAAATAAAATATATTAACAGGCAATTTAACAGTACGAGTAATAAAACGTGACAACCAGTACCCGCATTACACGACTACATTTTCAGTCATTATCACATTGGTCTGAAGCTAGAGGTTGTGTGTACAAGAACTAAATATATAGATTAAAAATGCTTCAACGGCATGTCTCTGGACAACCTACAAATGTTCCAACCATTGCACCGTGAGATGGTGTACAATCACCGGCAGGCAACTCCCCTGAGAGCTCCACCTTCAGCTTTGTCAAGGAATATTTCTAGATCGGCTGAAATCCTAGTAGCCACTACTAGATGTGGTAAGATGGTGTTATTTCTTCCTTAACATGTACGTTGTATAGAAACCTGTTTAGTGTTAACGTTTGATGTATGAATGAAGTAGTTATGTCGACTTACGGGAGTTAAGTGATATCCGCCAATTTACAACATCTGCGGTCTTTCAAATGTGTTGCCAACCTTGAAATAGTGGGCCCCGATCACCTCACTCTCATGACAGAAGCAAAAGTATGATACTTTCCTTCACACTAATCTCCGTGAGGCTTCCTATTCTGTCTGCTCATCACGCAAAAGTAACACTTCTGCGTGGCTCAACTGCATAGTAGAATATATTTTCGCTTAATTTGCAAGAACTATGTAAGACTTCGGTCACAGAACCAAAATTTTAACATAAGGCTTTTTCAAAATGTAGACGATCTACATAAAACATTTCTGTACGAAAAAAACACTGACATTCGAGTAATGGAGGAAAAACAATGATAAAGTTTCTGTTTATGTACACAGTATTTCTTGTTTTTTTAAATAAAAATAGATAATTTGTATTCTCCTGGGTCCTTACCCAACCTTGTCTTAATATCATTTATTTATTATATCGATGATTTTCACTGATCTAATAATGCTTGCAATAATTATATTTTTAAATTTACTATTTTATATCAGTAATCAATAAGTTCAATAGAATACACACACATTGTTCGTAAGCACAAAATGATGCATTATCGCTTTTCTGTTATTAATCCGCTTTTTTGATTTGTTCTTTTTTTATTATTAATTTGCGCCATAAAGTTTTAAGAGGACGATGCAAATAACTTCATAATATTGTTCCAAAAAATATTTTAAAGTAACAGCCTATACATGTCCCACTGCTGGGCAAAGGCCTCCTCTAAAAAAAAAAAAGAGCCATGATAGCTCAGTGTCCGGGCGCTCGCCTTTATTTCAAAAATATTTTAATTCCTATCAATTTATCTATTTATTTTAAAACAAATAAAGTGTAATCTAGAACATAGACACTAAAATAGTTTTAAATGAGTCTTTTAAGACTATCTTCGCGGAGGTATTAGTGCTACTAAATAACAAGCCATTTTCTGTTGTATCAGGAAAGGAGTTAAAAAGTCGGAAAACACGGAGCACTGAGCAACCGGGAGTTGGCGGATTGAAGACCACCAGCGGTCTACCGGCTCTCGTGAAGAACTGGCCTAGCGACGAAATCAACTTTAAGAGTAGTTCTCGTAACGGAAGGTAGGTGAACAATTTGGATTAGTAATTCGAATCTAGTCTAGCCGAATGCGTAGCTCAATTGCCGGACACCTACTTTTAATATTTATTTATTTATTACACACACGCACACAACTATCACTACAAGCTGACACAATGCGATAGTGTAGCCAAAAGTTACACAACAAAGCCAAACTGATTTGAAGTCGAAGTACCGCCCCGCCATCAATGAAATTGACTGTGATTTTAAACAATAATTTATAATGCGCTTGCGGTGCAGGGAACATGAACATACCTGAATATCTAAAATAAAAAAAAACATTTCGAAAGGCAAACTTAAGGGTAAATTAAGTTTTTTTACTAAGTCAATTAATAAGCATCACTGCAAAACTGTTTCATAAAAAGCGGCCAGGTTCGATTCGGAGTCGCGCACGAAGCGTTCCGTACTATTATCTATAAAAACGGGAAAAAAAATTAATGTCTTTTGTATGGGAGCCCCACTTGAATATATTTTTTATTCTATTTTTTAGTATTTATTGTTATAGCGGCAACAAAAATACATCATTTATGATTTCAACTAACTATTATGGTTCATGAGATACAGCCTGGTGACAAACGGACAGACGGACAGACAGACAGGCAGCGAAGTCTTAGTAATAGGGTCCCGTTTTACCCTTTGGGTACGGAACCCTTAAAAGGATCTAACCTTTCTTAAACATTACGGAAAGGTTTTCTTTGCTTTAAAAAGTAATGAGAAACGAACGCCTTTGACCACCTTCTTAATGCATATTTAATCTAAATCAATCTGTTGGGCAGCGGGGCGATAGTTAACCGCGAAGTGGCTTTGACACGCAACCAAGTTATGTGAATTGTGAAGCAGTAAAGTACAATAAAAAGCGTTAAAAACACACGTCACAATAGCAATGAAAAAAGGGTAAAAATAAAGTTTATCGTGGTAATAAAATATATTGAATTATTTATCGACCATAATGGCTTTTTCTACAGTTTAAATACACGTTGTATATTTAACTGCAAAATTAATTAAATCGATTAAGAATATATCATACAGATATAATATTACATGTAATTGTTTATAGGACAGTTATAACGCAAAGTTTTGTTGGTATCGTAATATTAACACAATTTTTGATTAATGAAAAAACCTGTTTGCTTCAGAAGAACTGGTTATTAACTAGTTAGAATGTAACGACATTTCTAGAACATTTGAACTCATTTGGCATAAGAAAGACTATTTTTAGTCTTTACAGATGTCTGAACCTTCGCTGCCTTTACCTGTAAGTAGATGCATAAGTTGGATTTTCACTAAGTGAATATTGTTTCTAATATAAATATGCGGGCGAAACTTATGGGTATATTTGATAGATTCACTTCTGTTAATAAATCTTTTCATTTCACTCCAGTATTAATCGTATGGTCCCAAATTTTACAACGTTAAAATAATTAAAAAAAAGTAGGGAACTAAAAAAAAAACAAATAAGTATGCCAAACAATAAAGCTGTTCAAAATGGGGAGGAACCTTGATCCAATATCCATTGACTGTCTTTGATTCATTCGAACACTAAAACTTACCAAACCAGAGGCGAGGCCAAACTTCAATTCAAACTGCGGAATACAACTTCTTTTCCAAAGCTAGGGGGCGTCCATTAATTGAGTGAGGCGTTTAACGGGGGAGGGGATCGAGCCGAATCTCACCCAATCTCAAATGGTGTGAGTACCCCCCCTCAGTAAATATTCGTTAGCAATCTAACAACATTTCGTGCGCGAAATATTCTAAAATTGCTAAAAAAACTTAGTTTAATAACATTTTTTCTCCGCTAGACTAAAAAATAAGAGATATTAAATAAAACTATTTTACGGATTTTGTCGCGTTTTAATTTTGTCTTCTTATTTCTCAACGTTACGGTTCCCTTTCCAGCGTTCATAGTCACGGTCTATTTCGATTATGCGAACGCCACAAAGTAGTGCAGTGGCTGTGGATTAAACAGGCTGAAATGATGGTGATGATAATCATGATTATGATGATTCAAAAGCACAGTAGCCCCCCAATAGTTTAGCAGCTACCGCGGATACTACGGCGTACGAGCAGAATGCCAGTGACGAACGTAAGAAAACTTAACCTTGTTGTAGTCAGCAACGATAGCGATGTAGTCACGTCGAACTCTACACCATCCGCTGTGCCAATCTAGTCTCTTCATAATGTCTAATGTGCCCAACTGCGGCTTTAGACATCACGAAGAAAAAGATTGCTAAGCTGTGAGTTGAATTTGAGGAAAAACCGTAAAAGTAACATAAAAATAATCGTTACAACCGTTAATAAAAATTACATGAATTATTTTTATGTTTAGTAAATCCAATGCAATCTAACATGGATTAAATTATTTACAGTAATAATACGCATAATGAAAAATCTCACGCTCGGGGAAGGTGGTTGTGCAAAATCTCACAAGATCTGACCAAGGGGAGCAAAGAGAATGTAATCACTACGTTTATTATGGAGGGGAGATTGAGAGGTCGAAAAGTCGCCAAAATAGCTTCACGTAATTAATACACGCTCTCTTCTTTTTTTCTTTTTATTAATCGCTTGCTTTGTGAGTTATCTAAACTCCGCCAATGTCAAGTTGTTCTTAAAATAAATAAATAAATAAATATTACATAACAGACACATTTTTACACAACATTTTCTAGTCCCAAACTAAGCAACGCTTGTACTATGGGTACTAGAAAACTGATAAACATACTTTTCTTTTGTAAATAAGTACATATTTTAGATATCTCAATTTATAGTATTCATATTCTCAATTTTATAGTATTCGCATTAAAATTGTAATAGACAAAAAAAACTTCGAAAATCCATCAACACGTCTTTATTAACATTAATATGATCATAGATGTTTTCATACACTTAGGAGTAACCGTCATGGCTATTGGCTTTTTTAGTTTTTAAATAATACATACGTCAATCTTGCGCTTAACTTGCAGTTTTGATTGCGATCCAAGCCAGAGTCCAAACCTCCATCAGACCTGTACCCTTGGATCATCCCCCCCCCCCCCCGCACCTCCCTGTTTGTACATTTACCATCTTTCGTCTCACCGTCCTCCGACAAAGATGTCAAAGCCGCGCGGCTCTCGGCCTACATATCACAAAAAATTATGTCCTCTTTAAAATTCTGTACGTGAAAACTAATTATTAAGATATAAACAAATTTTACGTGGTAATGATGTGGAAGTCCTTGACATTTCCCGCTTACTTGTGCGGGAAACGTCACCGATCCAAGCTGTCAGTTAGCCACGGGCATCCAATAGAATATTTAAAGCGATGCCTGTCTTTCTTTAACAAAGGCACCTTATAGAAACAACCACAGAAATATTATGTAACAACATTTACTGTAGGAAAGCCTTTGTTTAGGTTTTGTTTATTATTATTTTTTTAAACATTGCCGTTACTGTAGTAACATTATCATATATTGTAAGAGCGATTAACAAACATAAATTTCACGCGGACATACATCCAGATCCGAGAAAAGTATCTATAGGTCACACAAATACTTGTCCCGTGTGGGAATTGAACACTAACCACATACTTTACACGATATTGAAGTATCTTTTGTCAAGGTTTTGAAAAGAAAATCAGTAATTAACATGTAGATTGTTGGTATACTGTATACATGAGGAAAGGTAAACGTTAATATTATTTCCATCTAATTATATCAATAGATACGTTGGTCACACTGAAAGGTCTTAGAAAATCATAAAACGGCTCAATGTTGCCAATAATTTTATTGTTGTTCGAAGCAGTCTCCGTTCTTCATGGAACCACTCCACAGCATTCGATGGAACCACTGAGAGAAGGAGGACATTCTTTCTTCTACGTCGTTTTCGAACGCACTCACCGCATCTTCACGGCTCGTAAATCGAATCTAAAAGTTTATTTTTGATTCTTGGGAATGAATGAAAGTTGCTGGCTAGAGTTCTTAAAAGTTTGTCTATATTCAAAATTTAAAAGGACTTCTGATTAGCAGTAAGATGTAGATAGCATAATATTCTGTACATATTACACTAAAAGTGTAATATATAGTGTCATATGTACATATATAGTATAAGATGTACATATAGTTATAGTGCGATATATATAATCCACTCTTTACTTTATAAGAATAATATTAATGTAATAAGAGCTTATGTAATCACATGTCCTATAACCACCGCATTCTGTTCGGTGGAATTTCTAAGGCTATAAGTATGCATGTGAGTACTCAGCGAAGCGTCCCTGCATTATCGATTGCGGTAACGGACACGCGACCGTCGCATCAGCACCGAGTCAATATTCATCGCCGACATGTCCATAGACAAACAACGTCTAAATGACCCCGCGTCATCGTCTATTTCGCGTTACGCAACTCCCAGAATTGGGTGCAACGTGCAAATAGGGGTCGTGCTGATGCTGGAGTGGAAGCCAATAGGCTGATACTGTATTGTTGTGCAAGTTCACGGTGCCTTTTTTTCCTGAAACAATCACCTGTCTCACAGGGAAAGTCTGTCAGACAGACTGGGGATAAACTCAGCCTGTTCATACCCCACTGCAGGGCAAGAGCCTCCTCTGTACAGAGGGCATAGTCCAGCACGCGACCCCACAGCGGATAGCCAGATTTCACATATCTTCGAAATATTTTTTTTGTTATTGTTTCGAAAGTATCTAGGTCTCACAAGGTTTCCTATACTACTGAGCACATACATGATTAGTCTTTCTAATTTCATTGGTGCTGGCACCGGGATTTGAACTGAAGTTGTTCGAGTATAACGAATTTAAAGTGAGACTGAGCTATCACGGCTTGTATATAAGTCATATTCGAATATACGTAAGGATCTCGAAGCGACAAAAGATTCGTCTTATTATCAGGGTCGTGAAAATTCATGATCCTTATGACAAACATCAAAAATCGGGTGTATTTTCAGGGTCACTTGACCTTGCATATACACGAGTAAATGTTTAATATTATAATTATAATTAAAAATTAGACTTAAATAATTATAATTAAATAACACGATTGTTTTGTGGTGTGATCTGAACTAAAAGTCCGATTGATTGTAGATTTTTACTTAGATCTTTTTCGTAGTTCTATATGAGAATACTACACATTTTACATAAAACTTTGAAATAGAGAACTCTGAAGCACCAATTTATTACTGGGCAGACGGTCAAATTTAATATCAAGTACTAATTTTATTATCAAAACTAAGTCACATCTCATTAACTTCTATTATCATCTTTTGAACAGCTTTAATTTTTCATTTAACTAGTATATTATATTATAGCATTCTTTTAAATTAATATTTTTTTAATTTATTTTTTATTCTTTCATTTTTATTGTTAGTCTATTCTTTGCATTTATATTTTTTATGTATTAGTTGTTGTTTTTGTTATTTATTTATTTTTAAACTTTGTCACATTATTGTATATATATAAACCAGTTATAGGTGTACATATTAGATCCAATTATATTTTTTCCTTTTTTGTAAATTGTGTAATAATTGTGTATACTGTTGGTGTGTCTGTAACAATAAAAAAAACAGCTCGAACAAATGATTTTTTTATATATCGGTTGACTAGTAGAGAACACCTAATTGTGTGTCCGCCATTGTACGCTATTGGGCAAACAGTTTTTAAATAAATAAATAAATGTACCTATAAAAGTGAATCTTAATCATCATCATCATTTCAGCCTGTTTGAGTCCATTGCTGAACATAGGCCTCTCCCAAAGACTGCCATGAAGTACGATCCTGAGCCACCTGCATCCATCAACTTCCCGCACATTTGCACAGGTCGTCACTCCATCTAGTGGGGGGGGGGGGGGGGGGCGGAATCTTAATGATTGTCCTTAATAAGATTCCTCGCAACAGTGGCAGCACCAGAGCGGCGAGCTTAGACAGAAGCACTCGGGGCTCGTCCACCACCTTGAGTTCGGACGAGGACAACATTAACGTCGTTGTCAGGTGAATGACCAGTTGTAATTTTTTATAAACATTGCCCTCACTTTAGGATAACATTATCCCGTGTTGTAAGGACGTTTCACAAACATAAATTGCACGAAGACAAACACCCAGATGCGAAAGAACAATCTGTGTCCCAAATAGTTGTCAAATAGTTGTCCCGTGTGGGAATCTAACCCACGACCCCCCACGCCGAAGCCAATACCTTGGCAACTGCGCCACGGAGTCTACAATACGCGTCGGTTCTAAAAAATCCTAACGATTTCGATTCGCGGCTCAGGCTCGTCCGGGGAGTACTAATGCTTCAGAGACGACCTTCGTCACAGGTAACTTCTATTCTTTCGAGGTTCGTCTGCTGAGTGAGGTAAGCGGAGTCCACTTATTTAATAACTTGGCAAGCATCCGCAACCCGTCAGGTGTTAATCACTTAACATCTATCGACCCGCCTGCTACCTTGGCAACTATTCACATTAAAAACATAAGGGTAGACAAGCGTTAAGATTTTTCCAAAAAAAATACATCTCTTCATCTAACAGGTGTGACATCTAGTCATTAGCATTTAACTTGTTACGCAACAGCTGCTGCTATTGTATGAATGCGCAGGCTCATTTCTAAAGGTTGTCAACGCATCTGCAAGGCTTCGGGTGTTGGAAATATCTATGGGCTGCGGTATTCATTTAACACCAGGTAAACTCATGGTCGCTCTACAGCTTTTCACAATAAAGCAGAGATTTCCATTTCAAAAATTGCCGCCATTGTTGATTCTAATGAAAACTGCTCGAATCCTCTCTTCTGCCTTAGAGTCCGTCCGGTCAATGAACAGGAGCGAAGTCATGGTGAAAGGGAAATCTTGGAGTTCCCGGGCAAGGGCCAGATTGTTTGCCCGGCGACAACTGTCGGGCAGAAGGACAAGGTCTTCTCCTACAACGTGGTCTTCGAGCCAGCCGCTTCTCAGGTATCAGGTCATCTTTCTTTTTCTTCTGGTGAGCGATGTGGCAAGGCAACTAAAACTGTGCGGGTGTTGCCAATGTCCATGGGTGGCGGTTATTACTTAACATCAGGGAGACCGCCACCTTGCTTGCCACCTTCTCACATAAAAAAAAACATTACTGGTTAGTTCTGCTACTGCTTATAGCGTCGAACGCATTATCGGGAAGAATCAAGTAAGAATCCCGCAGGGCCGAGAATTTTTGGCAATTTATCTATAAAAACTTCACGTTAAAATTTACACCTTCGTCTTCAGTCACGTCTTCTGGGCGCGAATCCGGAAGATGTGGGGTCGATTCCCGCAGTAGCGAAGAACTTTTCGTCGGTTTTTTCCACAAATTTTAATATCTCTTCTTAAGTACAGAGGCTAGCACTAGAAACAAAATTAATCATACATTTAGTTCATTTAGTAAAAAGTTTAGCAAATTTCGAGGACTTCAATTAGCGTTGATGCAGGAAGACGTTCTGGAATATTCTGGAGTGAGGCGTCTGCTCGAGATGGCGGTCGAGGGTTTCTCCTGTACAGCCTTCTGCTACGGCCAGACCGGCAGTGGGAAGACGCACACCCTGACCGGGCCTCCAGGACTGGTGAGTTCCAATGTTAAAAAGTGTTGTTAATATCAATCATTAGATCCTAAGAGCCAGGACAGACTGTATCATCGGTACTACACAAATAGTCAGTGCAAGCAAAACCAACACCCCCCGTAACGTTTGAAAAAAAAAACAACACAGATTTATTACACTCACAAGCACGGGTGTGTTCTCTAATATATAGAATCTAACAAATTTTCCATAGCACTGAGAGAAGCCACCAAGGCGTTTTGTACGTACAAGTCATTCTTTCTTTATTAATTTTTTTTTTTAAAATTGCATATTGCGTAAGGACGTTCTAAATACATAAATTTCACATGGGTAAACACCCAGATCCGAAACAACCGTATCTGTGGGTCACACAAATAGTTGTCTCGTGTGGGAGTCGTACCCACGACCTCCAACGTCGAAGCCAATACTTTAGCAACTGCGCCACGGAGACATCTCATTTTTTCTCTCAGATCATAACCAAAACTTACAAAGGGAAGCCCTTGACGATTTATCCTCCATAAGTAAATAAAACATGCTACACCACGATTTTAAATATAAGAAAGTTCAATTTAATTCAAAACGTTATTGATATACATCTATAATCATGCTATAATCGCGATTCTTCAATTAATAGGAACATTACACAAAACAATTTAACGCGATAGAATCTAAGGTAAGTCTTTCGTGGTAAGTAGTCGCCATATGAGCCGTCAACGTAAGCGCTACTTTTTCCGTGGGAGTATTTTCTGTACATAGCAGGCCGCCGGGCCAAGGTCGGGTTATATCAGGCTTGATGTGGCTTACGCTATTTGTGCGTCGATATTGACATGGCAGAAAGAGGAAGGAGATGGAGAGAGTAAGACAAAGAAACCATTGGTCTGCGACATCAGAGAGATGATGACAACGTGGCGCAGTTGTCAAGGTGTTGGCTTCGGCGTCGGGGGTCGTGGGTTCGATTCCCGCACAGGATAACTACATATTTGTGAGACCCGAAGATATTTGTGTCTCGTCTGGGTGTTTTTCCACGTGAAATTTATGTTTTCAAAACGTCCTTACAACACAGGATCATGTAATCCTACAGAAAGCGTGTTTTTTTAAGATTCGATTTTAAAAATATTCCGAGTCCACTATGAGTCAGAACAACTCCATCACGAGTAGACTGGAGAGAGTTGGACCTTCGTGGCCTTCGTGTCCCAAAGACAGTTCTGACGCCCAGTAATTAATATATTTATACTGGGATTAATATTAATATATTCATGGTCATATCCCAATATTATTTTTGTAAAATAAATTAATTTTGAACAAAGAAAACGATCAAATCAAAACAAGTATAGACTATTTCATAGGTAAATAAAAGCCATTAATATTAACAACACCACTCCGACAGGCTAAAAGCAATTAAGCGACAATTACGCTTCCACCAGCTTAGTGGTTACAGTGCAAGCTTACTTTAGAAGTGTTTGGAATTCGAACCCTTAAACTTGTCCGACGTTTTAAAATAATTTGACAACTATGGGACGTTGCTTTACGTATCCAGTGCGCATAATACGACAGGCTTGTCATTTCGCCGGGGCAAAGGTTCCAATTACAATAACACAAACGTGTTATTGTTAATCCGCAATTCCTCTGTGAAGAAGGACGGTTAAGCTCTTTGAGTTGACCATTCTGATCACTAAGAAGATCATTCTGATCAATTCAGAGGGTTTTACCATCCTTTTGGCAACTTAAAATATCAGCGTTTCAGAAACCGGGCGAGACTTTGAAAAGAGGAAAGCAGGATATCCCGAACATCTGTCTTTTGTTAGTTAGACCGTTGAAATCTTCACGGTATAATGTAAATATATAAAAATACATAAAAAAAAAATTAAGTGACTGCCATCTTTGAACCTGCCCATTCGTGCAACAGAAGCTGCCACGCGGCCCTGCCATAGTGGCAGCGTGGTGTCTGTTGGACATGTATCGATCGGATAAGGTAGAGCGTACTCGTATTTACTATTTTTATTGGTTCAACAAAAGATAAGAGTATAACAATACGTGCCCCATCATTCGTCAATGTTTGTTATATCTGAATAGACGGCCTCGCGCCGGCTTTGATTTGGACGAAAGCGGGAATTACTTTACGTGAAACTGTTTATTATCCACCATCTGACCTTCGTAACTACAATACGCCCTTTTGGTCATCATTTACTTTTTCAACGCACGACGTGTTTCCACTTCCGTTGTTTGCCACAAATTGACATATGAGTCGTGTCCGTCCGTCTTTTCAGGCATCTTTCAAAATCCAAAAAAAAAAATGAGGCCGTTTATAACATGGCTTGTACTTTTTAAACACGACTTCTACATAGAGGTATAACTCTCCTGTCGGTATTTAACGAACACGACAAGACAACGAACCCAAACGCTCTAACGAGCCCGAGTGACGTAGATTCCAATCACTCGGAGGAGAAAACAAAATATAAATAATCAATGATTTGCTTCTATAGATTTCTAAATAAATTGCGACCGATTCACAGGCCTACTCAATATATATATAAACAACGTTTACCGGATCAGCTAGTATACATATAAAATTTCATTATGTATTCCCAACATTCGGAATACTACACTCGCTACGCCCCGTGACCTCGAGTGCAGTATATTATTTGAAAGGTGTAAGGGGAATTACACTATCTCTTTCGCCCCCTTTATGATTCCATACACGAGCATTTCAAATTGATCAATCGTGTCGCGCGACCTTAATCGATCGATATCGGCACCTTCAGCGATTGCTCGCGTATCGAAGGCATACACGCCACTAATAGCTTCGTCAACTTGTCGCCTCGACTTGGTGCTTCTTTGAAATTGGTCGGATCTTGGGATAGTTCGCGTAATAATAATACGCCGATGTTCAGGCTAGGCGGCCCGTGCGCCAGGCCACCTCAAGTCCGTCGGAACTGTGAAGGCCCCTAAGGCCAATAGCAACTCATCAAACCAAAAATGGGATAGTTATATGTAGTCAGGCACGCTGAAATAAAACTTCAGTACTGAGTAATAGTAATAATAATAGTATCGACACGATAAAACCATGAAAGAGAGTCTTTTACGTCAGTTTTTGGAGAGTCACTACTCGCATTTTTTTATATAAAAAGTTGGCAAACTTTTTATATAAAAAAATCTCCATTCAAACAAAACTGAGTGGGTTTTACACATGATTTCTATTCAGAATTATTATTGAGAAGTGATTAAGAGTATTTTATCACTGCGGTACTAAATGAAAAAAAATTATCCGGATTACTTACTATAAAAATTTGAAAAAACAAAGGAAAGGAAAAGGAGACGGGTAGGTATATAAAGTTTTCTATATTTAATTATTAAATTGGATTAAATTTAAACCCACTTTTGTTTAATCGCGAAGAACAATTGAATATAATAACAACAAGAAATAGAAATAATTACAAAGCTACAAAATAATTACACAAATTGGAAAAGGCAATGTTTTGATTTTTCAAACGTTTTATTTTTACACTAATAACAATACATAATCAAACAAAAGCGTGGCCTGACTTTGCGTGCCGTAACACGTTATGATGTCCTACTTACCACAGATTGAAAAATAAAATAAATTGGGTGGAAATGGAAAAGCGGTTCCACGCCTCAACTGAATATAACTAAATTTTTGTATGTTCCAACGCTAACGCCCGGTTTCTGAAACAATGATCATCGTAGAAATTAACTAATCAGCTGTCAAATGGCTTTTCAAATGTCATTTGAGTTGCTAAAAGGATGGTTAAATTTTATGAATTTATTACTCTGATCGTTAAGAAGATCTGTTAATAGTGTTTCGGAAACCAGGCGTAAGACGGAGAAATTGATGCCATCCACATTTCATAGAACTGATTTAGTCCATAAAAAGCTAGAATCACTGATGGTGGTATACGTCGCTCGTATACCACCTTGATTCGAACTTTCGATCTCTGATCACAAATCTAAGCTTCCTGCCACTAAAACATTATCTAACGTCTATTATTCATTCTTATTTATTACACTCCGCCAAATGCGCACCCAATGTACTTAATAATAATTTTAAACATGTTATTATGATGAAACTAGGATTACTCCAAAGAGAAATTGGTTATTCACCACAATGGTTGACCATTATTATGTAGGTTGCATTTTCACCTCAATTCTATTAACATATTATCAAAATAAAGCACAGAAAAATCTAGGCCATTATAATAAAACACTCCCATGATGTTTTCTTGTAATCTTGCCTATACTTATACCTTCCAGATAAGGAAAACTAGAAAACGAACCTTCTAGATAACGGAATGATCTTGGCTACAGATCTAAATACTTACGTAATGATATTCATCGTATTAGCAAAATGGTGAAAATTTCAATGTCTTACAACATTGTTCCAATAAGAGTTCGCGTGCAACTGCCATGTAATACAACTCTGCCAGCAATGTGACATATTTTTGTACTGTAAAATCAAAATAAATATTTATTTTCTAGAAGTAAGATTTGTTCAAACCATTTTTGACGTCATAAAAGTTAAATACTAAAATAATGTCTGCCTGTATTCAATAGAATAAATTTTTACTAAGTAAACTAACTAGTGAAATAAGCCGTATACGTAATAATAGAATAGAATTTACTGCAACAAACTGGCTGACTGGCAACAGGCTGGAGGATGCTCACATTTTAGCCGCGAATATATGAACGCACTGGTCTTAAAAGACAACTCAGTCTCACCTTCTATATGGTGGACAGGTTGAACGTGGAATAAGCCCATTCGACCCTGAACATGGTCTGGTGGTGCGATCATTCGTATACCTATTTCAACTGCTGCGCGAGAGACCTGAAAGCCACTTCGTGCTTAAAGCCTCCTTCCTCGAGATCTACAATGAGAAGGTAATTCACTGGCATGTCTCTCGACCGATCGTTTCCTATTGGAATTTATTATTAATCATTAAACTCGACAAGCCTCATGTAACGCTAAACAACGATAAAGTTAGCGTTTGTCAATCGAGATCGAAATTGCTCAAGGTTTAAAGAAGAAGACGACAAAGGAGAAAAAGAAGATTCGTTTATTCACGGTCTAAGCAAAATGGATATATACAAAACTTAAAAAATAATGTAAAAGCAACTAAGTATTGACTGAGGTTAACTATGCGGAGCCCGAAGCAGTCTGATGTTGCACAAATGGACAGGCTCGTGCGAGGAAATACGACACGACTACGATATCACAGAAGACCGATGGGAAATGGAAGTATTACACCTCTGCGTTTCGTCTGGTGGGTGAGTTAAATTATTAAAAGGTCGCAACGCATCTGCAAACCTACGGGTGTTGGATGTGTCCATGCCATGGGCGGCGGTTTTCACTTTACACCAGACGAACCGCCAGTTCCCTTGCCACATCCTTCAAAAAAATTTTTTTGTCTCGGCATATATTTCATAAAACCTGGAGAGAAAATTTTCTATCCTCTTAGTTATTCACAACAGTGTCGTTATATTCGTTATGCTATGACACGAATTATTAATCAAATTAAAATTTGCAATTTAACAATTAACAAAAATTTGATTTTGAACATACTGTACACTTACAATTTCCCAGCTAAATAAACTTTGAACATACTGTACACAGGTTATAGACTTACTGAACCCCGGTACAGCAAAGAAACCCCTCCAAGTGCGCTGGTCGAAGGAGAGCCGCAGCTTTTACGTGGAGAACCTCTTCACAGTGGACTGCGAGGAGTTGGACGATCTATTCGCGGTCTTGGAGGAAGGTACACAATTTAAGATCCATTCGCGAAAGTTCGAGAAAGTTCGGGAACGTTCGGAAAAGTTCTATTATATCTGCCCGATCTTTAACTTGATATTCCATTGTACACTTTGTTCTCTTAATTCATTTCATTGTTTTGTTAATCTGTGTTTCTTTTAACGTTAATTAACGAAGAGACTGACACTTTTGGGTCATTGTTTCCGTGCCGAAACGTTAACTAATGAACTTAAAGTTGGTAAGCCTTCTCTTCTTATCTAAGAAGAGTATATATGTGTACATCAAGAAGAGTATATATGTACATCTTAATTTTCAAATCAATCAAATATCAAGATTAAAACTTTCTAAAATCTACAAATGGCAAGCGTTCTATGGAAGGATAGATCTTAGTACAGGTCGAGCTTAAAAGTCGGTGACCGTTTAACGAAACTGTTTTGTGATGAACCACATGTAGTTTACATGACCTATTTGATGCATAGTATTATGCAATTAAAATTGGTTCATGTAACACATAACAATAGACACAGTCTAATGCCCGGTTCCTATATTTAACAAAACGAGGCGTTTTCCTTACGAGCGTTGCATTACCTACCGAAGGTGAGTTACTAGCGTTCCTTTAATCTACAAGTCGTTATGAAAGTTACGAAGGTATGTAACTGACGGCCCTTCGTTGAATATCGCAGTGTAAAACAATGTAGTGATTAGACACAGTCTAAATATATAGAAGAGCGCAACGTAATCTAGCCGTCCCTCTCTTGCGCAAGGCACGCGCAACCGCGCGGTGGGCGCGCACTCGATGAACGCGCACTCGTCCCGCTCGCACACACTGCTGAGCGTGCGCGTGCGCCGGGACGTGCGCAGCGCGCGTGACCTCACGTGCTCCACGCACGGCAAGGTCAACTTCGTGGACCTCGCCGGCAGCGAGATGACGAAACGCACGCACAGCACCGGCAAGACCCTGGAGGAGGCGAACAACATTAACCGAAGCCTTATGGTCCTTGGTGAGCTAACTACTAAGCCAATAAGAACTCCCTCACCCATCTGAACCTTCAGATTCAAGCGGTCCCTTAAATACTGAATAATATTCATCACTTAATTGACTGTAGGGCCACGCACGGTAGGGCAGGTCACGTAGCCCGTTACAAAGACGATAGATGGACTCCACGGTCAGTAAAATGGTCTGGGCCAAAAGGCACCAGATCAAGAGGTCGACCAAGGGCCATATGGGCAGATGAAATTGTATCTGCGCGGGTGGAAGTTGGCTAGACAGTGCTAACGACAGAGAAAGATGGTATTCCTTGGGGGAGGCTTTTACCCGATCAGGGTCCATGCTTTCTCGCTCTTCTTGCTTTTTCGATTAGGGTGCATTCTCGGTGGTAGAGCCACACAGCAACCTCGGCAGTTGCACGAATGGGCAGGCTCGTCTAGTTAAATACCACGATCTCACAGAAGACCGGCGTAAAGTGGAAGTATAATACTTTCGCGTTTCGTCTGGTGAGTGAGGTGCCCGGAGCCCAATTTTCAAAAGGCTGTCTAAGCATTTGCAACCCTCGGGTGTAGCAGATGTCCATGGGCGGCGGTATTCACTTAACATCAGCTGAACCGCCTGCTCGCTTGGCAACTTTTCACATAAAAAAAATCAAGTTATAAAGCATACATCATTACATAGTATAAAACAAAGTAGCTCCCGATGTTTGTCCGCTTAGATCTTTTAAACTACGCAACGGATGCGGTTCTCAGCAATAGATAGAGTGATTCAAGTGGAAGGTTTATATGTAATAAACAATTATGCATGCATATTATAGCAGAGATAAGCCGAGAAATTCAATATCTACATTACACCCGTGCGAAGCCGGGGCGGGTCCTAGTATGATATAAAGGTTGTGTGTAATGTGAGGTAACCGGGACCCACTTTATTAACATGCAACGCATCTGCAACCCTACAGGTGTTGCAAATATCTATATATAGGACTATATATAGGCTTATAGGACTTAACTTTGGGTGAATCCGTTGTAACTTAAAAATAATAATAAAACTGTAATTTACCCTCACAGGCTACTGCATCGCTCAATTGAGTGACGGCAAGAAGAGAGGTCACATACCATATCGTGACAGCAAACTGACAAAACTTTTAGCTGACAGCTTGGCGGGAAATGGGGTCACATTAATGGTAACTAGTGTGATGTCGATATTCCTTCTCTTTCCATATTTACGCTCGGTTTCTTAAACACTGATCATGGTAAAAGTTAACTAATCAGCTGTGAAACGGCTTTTCACCGAGCAAACAGCAAAACACTTTTTCTTAAGTCTGCCTGTACCTTACAATACAGATCGCTTGCATCGCGCCAACCCGTTCCAATTTAAGCGAGACGCTCAACACTTTAAGATATGCAGCTCGAGCGAAGAAGATCAAGTCGAAACCCATCGTGAAAATGGTAATTAATTGTCATATGTCGTAACTGTATACTTAGATATTAGGTTTGTCGAAAGCTGTGTCATTTTCTTTTACACCCGTTGGGGACGAAACATTTTGACGGTGATGGCATCGATAATTAATAGTTTCTTTAAACGGTCATGATAATCGACGCGGCTTTGAATCCGTATAGCATTAGCACCACTGACTTTTTTAATTTTCTAACGTCCAGAGATCACAAATTTCTTATGTCAATCGTTAGTAAGCGAGCATTCGGTTTGCCTGGTGTGATTACCACCTCACTCTCTAGACGAGGTAATTCGTGAGTGAAAAAACCTTCTTTGTGATTCCACATCTCTTTAGACGTCACGACCCTTTTCTCATTAGGCAAATCTTTTTTCTATATATGAAAAGTTGGCATCAGAGCAGGCGGTCCGCCTGAAGTAAGTAATTCCTGCCGCACATGGACTTCTACAACATCTGACGGGTTGCTAATACCTTGTTAACATTAAAAAAAAGTGGTTCCCAGTTACCTCACTCATCAGGCGAAACGCGAAAGTATAATAATTCTACTTCACGTGGGTCTTCAGTAGACCGTGGTACTTTCTCCGACGAGACTGCCCATTTGTGTAACAACAGAAATTGCTGCAAGGCCCTACCACAATTTAAACTGTTTCGCATTTCTTCTAGATACATTTGTCACTATAATCTGTGTACTGTTCAACAATTCTTCTATTGTTTTTATTAGTTTATTTTTCATTTGACATCAGTAAAAATATAAATAAATCGGATTGTTGGTTCACCAAAAAACACGTGGCGCGGTTGTATCGGCTTCGGCGCCGGGACTCGTTTGTTCGCTTCCCGCACGGTCCAAGTATTTGTGTGACCCACAAACAATTGTTTCGGTTCTGGATGTTTGTCCACGGAAAATTTATATTTGTAAAACGACTAGAGTAGAGGCAATATTTTTTTAAATAAAAAAAATGAAATAAAATACGTTACCATTGCCCACAAATCAACGCCAGGACGCGAGGGACGCATTAATTTTGAGCCTGAAGAGAGAAGTGGAGGTGTTGCAGACGGAGAACGAACATTTGCGATCGGCGCTGCACGTACAGATGGACTACAACATGGATACCATTGGTTAGTATCAGCGTAGATAAACTCAGCCTTTAAAAATCCATCTCTGAACCTCTTCCAAAGATTAATCGGGCTTGAGTAGTTCCGACATATAACGTATAACTTCACTGCGATACAATAATAAAATAATTTTAACAAAAAAGAACCGACTTCAAACCGGAAACTAAAAAAACATTGTTAATACCTATAACATTTGAGGATTGCCCTCGATTTCCTGGGTTTCCTTATCATGGTACCCCCGTTGGGATATCACCCTTCCAACAAAAAAAGAATCATCAAAATCGGTTCATAAACGACGAATTTATCCGCGAACACACAAAAAAAATATATATACGGTCGAATTGAGAAACCTCCTTCTTTTTTGAAGTCGGCTAAAAAGAAAAACAAGTCACGCTAGCCAGAGACTGTCCAACTCGGGCAGGTGGCGGCGGCGGCAAGCTGTCCCACCTGGCTGAGCCCGAGCTGGCGCAGCTGGTGCAGCTGCACGAGCGCGAGAGCGCAGCGCTGCGGCGCGAGAATAGGGCGCTGTTCGCGCTGCGCGACCAACTGCTGCGCGACCAGGAGCTGCTGAGCAGGGAGAACGAGCGGCTGCTCAAGAAGCTGGAGGACGTGAACACGTGAGGGCCGTTGTGTTTGGCGTGAGGGCTGTTGGTACTCGACTGGACGGCTGATATGTTTATGGGTTAAAGGGATGGCGAAAGGCGGTTGAGCGAACCATGCGATAGGTTAGCAAGATATTGGCTTCGGCGTCGGGGGTCGTGGGTTCGATTCCCACACGGGACAACTATTTGTGCGATCCACGGATAGTTGTTTCGCATCTGGGTGTTAGTCCGCGTGAAATTTATGTTTGGAAAAAGGTCCTTACTGTTGTAAGGACGTTTTATATCCGATAATGTTAAATCCTACCTCGGCTAAAGTAAGGGCAATGTCTATAAAAAAAAAGAAAAATAAATAATTAATAGAGACGCTCTATCTCCTATAGGGATCATCATCGAGTCTTCTCAACCGTTTACGAACCTTCATAAGTTAATTATGTTCTCCTTGTAACGTTGTCAGTGTATGAACCCCCCTCCCAACCCCGTTTTTACTCAGTTCGCCAAAGCTCGTAGCAACTCATCGTGTTCACGAGATCTGCATCCGGTGAAGTTTTATAGTCTACGAACTGAGTGGCAAAATATCGTTCGTCCATTATTATAGTCAGATTACTGGAAGTACAAATGTCGATAAAGATAAGCAATTTCATTCTATGACTTCTGGGTAAAAACCAGTTGTAGGTTTAAACTTACATTCCTAACCCATACTCTGTGTTCCATGCAGCAGTTAGTAGTACGGTGACGCTACTTTAATTAAAGTGTTAAACTGATGGTGATTTGATGATTATTTATTTCATACTGTGTGGATACAATTGTGTTTTAGGTCGTTATTTGGAATGTGCTGAGTTAATAGTAGCAGGTCAGTGGGAAAAAAGTGCTAATTGTATGCATTTTCCGACACAGAAGCACGCATTATGGATGTTATTTAAACTTAAGACATTAACAATAAAATTTTAAATAAATATTAATTTTAATGTTTTAAGTAATATGCATCATTATTAAATTACTTGATAAACATCTTCGACCTTAAAATATTAAATTTAAATACTTTGAACTTCATGAATAATTTGCATGGCATTAGCACTTCTAGATATGCAATGAATTATGAAATAACCTAACCTCTTCTAAAACATGACATAGAAGAGAACATTTTCTTTATACGATGTAGGTATAAAATTAAATATTTTTTAATTAATTATTTTATTTTATTTTTTCAGTGTGTGCATTCGATCTCCAATCATACCAGCTCGATCAACCTATTCAGATATCGGGTCGAAGGAACCAGACATTTGGAAAAACCCCTCCTCTTCTTCAGGGAACAGTGTTGCCAGTAGGGGAAATTGAAGAATAAACAACGAAGAATAAATATAAAAAAAAATCGAAACTAAATCCTATTTTTGACAATAAGACGTATATTGAATCTAAGCTTAATTTCTGATTAAGACCTTTAATGAATTTATGAGAAATTTGGCAAAGATTGAAGAAGAATTGCCGATTGTTAAATAAACTTAAATCACTATATACAAACACATAAAGAATGTTAGGTTTAGACGTTACGACTCTTTCTATGTCAATAGAGGACGCGGTCTAAGAAGATTAACTGCAAGAAAATGATGTCGACAGTTTTCTTTTATTTACCCGACTGTGATGAATCCAAAAAAGGAGGGTTATGTGTTTGACCCGCTTGTCTATGTATATCATACCTCCGTCCTATGTTCCACTAAACGAATGTACCGATTTTGATGAATGTAGCTAATGTACTATTGTTCGTTATTGGGGGATTTTGACTGGTCATTTATTTTTATCAAAATAAAAAATAAAACAATTTATGGCGCCGTATATTTTACGTAATACGTACATTACGTAAACGTATATTTGAAAAAAAAATTCACAGCCTGGTTTAAATAAAATAATTAATTTTAAAATGTCATCATGATACAATAAATCTATTGTTTAACAGAATTACATTATAAAAAAGTGAAAATTAAAGACTATTTTTCTGTAATCTTAATGTAAATTTTCTTTTTAATTCTAGCCATGCTTAAAAGTGTTAACTATGTAGCAATAGGTATATAAACGTGTATGTAAACATAGTGATTACAGTCTCTTTGCTATGTAGTTCCGATATTTGACATAGACAAGGAGTGAAAAATTGTAATTTGACAATAAAATAAATATAGAAAATCTATTTTTTACACATTTTCTTCATAACATACCTGTCTATTCTAATTATCGCATATCATTTCAATGCAATTTTAACTTTCTATTTGGCATATCACTCTAAAAATCATTGTAATAAAATCTTTAATATTACACTGGAATGGTTTACAGTAATCATGTAATATTAAAATTGCATATCTAGAATTTTTAAAAATACATATACATACAAGGTATGTATGAACAGTAAATTAATAAGAGAATTTTAAATTTTTATATCATTTATTATCTATCATTTATTAATATGACAATAGAGTATCCATTATTTACAATGTACTTGCATTTGCCAAATTAAAATCTTTGTATGTTGTTTACTGTTGCTTTTCTTGACTTGTTATTGAACCATTGAAAATTATTTGTGTTTAATCACTTCTCACAGAGTAATAATTCACTTAATAGTCTTAGCACATCAGCAGTCTTGCATTTAAACTAATGCTTTCTAAAACCATATTTCTTTCTCTCATAGAACAAATCAGTTTTTGAACTACCAAGATTGACAATTTTCGGACATCCATCCCTCTGGAATAAGAAAAAATATATGTAATTCAGAGTGTTTGTAATTTAAGGTGCAGGGTAAATTTATTATTTGTAAAAGACTTGGTGAGACAGTTGCTAATCCATTGGATTTTAGGTTGCTAGATTAACCCACACTGATCAAGTAAATGAGCCACACAGTAACCCACAGATAATTATTCCAGATACGGGTGTTTGTTACCAACCGTCAGGCATGTGGCTAGTCGTAACATACTAGGAATATCATTAACAACATGATTCACACTAATTTTTTAAGTAAGTTGTGCTAATCCCTTCCTAGGTGGGATAAGCAGGAGAAAGTAGAGGAAAAGGTACGCTAATTAAAACGCACGTTATTGTAAAAAAATCACCAAAGGATCTTCCTTAATCTTCAATCTGCTTAAGAAAATGATTTTTGAAAAACTATTCCAACATCCACTAGTTCAAACTGTTTTCTGTTAATTTATTTGTAATACTTACGTCTTTCTCTTGTATTGTACATTCTTTACAATAATAAGCATCTGAAACTCCGGGTCCACCACAAATTACACACCGGCCCTGATATGAACCATAATTACACTCATCACAGATCCGTACGAGAGTACAAGGCCGTACATAAGAGTCACAAATGACGCATTTGCCATCACATTTTTCGCATAGACGACCAATAGCTGTAAACATAAATACAAAATAAAATTCGAATGAAGATATAGAAACAAACTTATTGAAGAATCGAACTTACCGACACCCGGTTGTTTTCTACAGAAAATTAGATCCGGATGATGCTTTGCCATATTTTATGATTAAAATTGTTTCGTTAGTGAATATGGTTATAATCACAAAGTGAATGTTTCGTAGTTGTCCTTATAATATCCAAACCAAAATATAACCTCAAACCTCAACAAGCCTGTTGTTATTTGTTACTTAGTATTTTTTAAATATACGTCAGACAAGATGGCAAAGGCCCAATAGTTATACGGTTAGGTCATTAACTACTTAACGGTATTTATTAATTGCTAATATTTCATTTTAAATAAAAATCTTAATTTAAACATTTTAAATAAAAAATTAAATGTAATAAATTAAGTGCAGAGATTAGCACTATAAAAATTTTTAATTTCTGAAAAGCAATGGCGACATCTCTCTTTCGAATTATCGTTGTAAAATGGTATTTGAAATTGTTTGTATGCTGGAAAGGATATAACAATGGATGCGCCAAGCATTGTTTCAGATGCTAAAAAAACAATGTAGATAAAAGATTTTCGTCGCTGTGACAATCAGGCGTTTAGCTTAGTGGCGAAAGCTTCAGGCCGCGTATGCCGAAGTCGTGGGTTCGATTCCCACAGCGGCGACAATCTTTTCATACTTTTTCTACTAATTTTAAGGCTTCACATTCTTTAATTTTTTTTTATTTTTGATATTATACAATGGTCAAAAATCACGCCTAGCTACGCTTTAATTATTTTGACAAATATCGCCTAAAAGTTCTTGCTTAAAAAAAGTCGAAGTCCATTTTATAAATGATTTTTTTTGGATGAATGTCTTACAGCCACCATGCCAAAATAAATACGGTAATTGTCAATGTCAACTGTCAATGCTTTTGCTCTTTCTTTCGATGTCGTACTCACGTGCGATTTATTTAAGTTTTCTTTTTTGACTTAATTAATGATGACCGAAGATAGTGATAATGAATGTGAACAATCAAAGGTAGAGGAGGAAAAGGAAATTACAGAGAGTGAAAATGGCATAAACGAAGACAACTCCGTCACGTTTAAAGACTTGGTTGGCACTATTTTTAATAAATTTAGTAGAAAGTTTTGATGAGTTGACTACACTATTAAACAATTTTTCTCTTTATATTTGCTTATTCTATTTACCGCACGCGTAAGACTTATGTATTTTTATGAACAATTTCAAAGTATTAGTTCTGTTTAAGGTTAGCCTGTTATGTTTATATTTCAGGGTATAGTTGATGTATTATGCGAAGCGTGCGAGGAATTGAAATGGAAACATCCGTCAAAAATTCAAAAAGAATCCATTCCAGTGGCTTTACAAGGCAAAGACATAATTGGTCTAGCTGAAACGGGTTCTGGCAAGACCGGTGCTTTTGCCTTACCAATACTTCAGGCACTTTTAGAAAACCCACAAAGGTACTTCGCTCTTATTCTCACACCAACAAGAGAATTGGCATTCCAGATTTCTGAACAATTTGAAGCATTAGGTAAGTGTTAGATTATTTATTACAAAAATTTATACTCTTGATTACAGATCAGTCTCTATTTCTGTGCTGTTTACTTTCAATGTTATTTTTCTTTATTTCTTCACTCCAACTAATGTTTATTACATGTATGTTTTGGGTGCATGTAGTAACATATCCCTTGTCAAGGTATAAAAAAGACATTTTACATATAAAAATAGGGTTAATCAGGTCCATAAATTAATGATTTCTACTATTTATGTGTTAATAGGTGCCAGTATTGGGGTAAAATGTGCAGTTATAGTGGGTGGAATGGACATGGTTGCACAAGCACTGATGCTCTCAAAGAAACCACACATTATAATAGCAACACCTGGGCGCCTTGTTGATCACCTTGAAAACACCAAGGGTTTCAATTTAAAAGCATTAAAATACTTGGTAAGAAACTTGTACTATTATTTATGAGCATAGTTAATGATGATGTGTTGAATTAGCAATCTTTAATGACACAAGTATAAAATAATCGTTCATATGTATTTATATATCATTCTGTAAGAAACTATCATAGTTTACCCATAGTAACCAGTATAAAATTGGTGAAAACAGTTTTAACCCTTTGTATCATAAATTAATTTAATTTAATTTACCTTTTTGTTAAATATTAAACTATAAATAGTTACAAAGTTGTTAATTATTTCTTTTGCTTTTTTATTTGAAAAAGGAAGTAAAAATGCTTTGCACTCATATAATATTCAACCTATTATTCAATTTAAGGTTATGGATGAAGCCGATCGTATACTAAACATGGACTTTGAGGTGGAGGTGGACAAAATATTGCGTGTCATACCGCGCGAACGCCGCACCTATCTATTCTCTGCAACTATGACCAAAAAAGTACAGAAACTGCAACGGGCTTCCTTACAAGACCCTGTAAAGATAGAGGTCTCAACTAAGTATCAGACAGTGGAGAAACTGCAGCAATACTACTTGTTCATACCTTTGAAATATAAGGTATATGCCATTTATTTATATATGTTACTATCAGTAAAAATATTTTTATTGTTTTTAACTCTAGTTCTCAATCACGTAAACTTTGTAACTTTACTATAGAGAAATATTTTTATTCATCATAGATAACTAATTGTAAAGACACTTATAAGATTGCTCTCAATTAAGCCATTTCACATTTATGCCTTTCTTGACACAATCTTTGCAGACATAGCAGATGAAATTAAAAATAATATTGCAAAATAATACATACTATAATTTGGTGACCACCTAATGAAAAAATTTACAATGATGTAGCTTATTACTTTAATTATTATTACTACAATACACTTTAAGTATTGGATTTCGTCGGACTTGTCCTTGCTTTGTTGCTCCGACATTAATGGTTCGATATTCGATTACGATACAATTAATCCCTCATTACCACAACATAGCTCGCTGAGCGACTTTGAGCTTCCTCATACGGCCAGCAGTGAAGGACCACGTCTCGGTTCCGTAGGTCATCACTGGCAACACACATTGATTGAAGACTTTAGTCTTCAAACATTGAGGTATCTTCGACGAGAAGATAAGTTTCCCGAACGCTGCCCATCCGAATTGGATTCGCCGATTGACCTCTGCGTCGAAGTTGGACTTACCTAGCCGGACTAACTGTCCTAGGTAAACGTACTCGTCAACAACTTCGAGCTCAGTGGTCCCAACAACAACCGGTATAGGCGTGACATGGACATTAGACATGATCTTCGTCTTGTCCATGTTAATCTTAAGGCCCACCGTTGGGAGCACTGTTGAGGTCATTGAGCATAGCACCCAGGTCCTCCAGCGATTCTATGCTCGGTATTTCTCTGCGTGATAGAGTTCGTAACGAAGACATCCGCAGTAGAACCAAGGTAACCGACATAGCTCAGAGGATTAGCAAGCTGAAGTGGCGATGGGCCGGCCATATAGCTCGTAGAAAATAACCGTTGGGGAAGAAAGGTTCTCGAGTGGCAGCCTCGTATCGTAGTGTAGGACGACCCCCCACTAGATGGAGTGACGACCTGTGCAAATGTGCGGGAAGTCGTTTGGCTCAGGATCGTACTTTGGCAGTCTGGGGGGAGGACTCAAACAGGCTGAAATGATGATGATGATGATACCACAACATTGTTTGTCACCAGAGAAACCACACTATTGTAACTATATGGCTGATTTTAAATAAACGCCAGAGACATAAGCATAATAAAAGAAACCTTACCAATCACGGGCCCCAACATCAAATAAAAAACATACACTTTAAAATTTAAAAATGAAAATAACGCAACATTTAAGGAAAGTTTATGTTTTTTTTGGAGACTGTGATTGGTATTTTATTAAAAAGTTAAAAATAAAACCAACATTTAAGAGAAAATAGCACACGTGCCGGGCCTAATTCCCCGCTGTCCGCAGGACGTGTACCTTGTTCACATCCTGAACGAGCTGGCGGGCAACTCGTTCATCGTGTTCGTGTCGACGTGCGCGGGCGCGCTGCGCGGCGCGCTGCTGCTGAGGGCGCTGGGCGTGGCGGCGGTGCCCCTCCACGGGCAGATGTCGCAGCAGCGGCGCCTCGCCGCCCTCGCCAAGTTCAAGAGCCGCGCGCGCTCCGTGCTCATATGCACCGACGTGGCCTCCAGGTACGCGGGGACGGGTGCATATGCACATGCACCGGCGTGGCCTCCGTGTATGCGGAGACGGGAGCATATGCACCATCGTCCAGATGGACTTCGGCTTAAAGGTCTTGTTTCCAGGCCGTAAAATCTTTATTTAAAAAAATGCACCATCGTTGCCTCCGGGTATGCGGAGACGGGGGCATGTGCACCGCGCGACGCTTAAATAGAACAACTGTTGAGTTTCTTGCTGGTCTAGTCTCAACAGAAAGGTCGCAGATAGCCCAGCGACCTTTCTCGGCTCATCATTCCACCTGGCAAGGGGACTTTGGGAAGTCCCGAGTGTCAAATGCATGTGGCCACTGCATTTGCCGAAACGTGGTCTCCATTCGACAAATCTTCTGCTCCAACGCTCATCGACAGAAATGTCGCCAGCCCAATGTCACTTCAGCCTGCTCAATATGTTTCAATATACAAATAAAAATCGTTTTCTTTTACAAACAAACAAATTGCCGATTAGCAAAAGATTCGTGTCCATAGGACCTTATTAATTGTCGAATATGTTCAATAACACGAGACCTTATTAACAGAGGCCTGGACATTCCGCACGTGGACGTGGTGATCAACCTGGACATCCCGCTGCACAGCAAGGACTACATCCATCGCGTGGGGCGCACCGCCCGAGCGGGCAGAGCGGGGAAATCTATCACCTTCGTCACACAGGTGATGCAGGATCTTGAAACGTTTTAAAAATCGCGAAGAAAAATATCAGGGGAAATACTGTTAATTTTATGAATTGAGGATAAACCTCTATGTTCTATATCCTTACTAATATTATAAAGGCGAAAGTTTGTATGCATGGATGGATGTTTGTTACTCTATCACGCAAATACTACTGAATAGATTTTAATGAAACTTTACCATAATATAGCTTATACATCAGAATAAGATGACATAAAATATGTATATAGATTATATAGATTATATACATATTTTATGTACATCTGTCTTTCTGTCTAAATGTTTGCAGCAGCTAGTTAAAAAATGAAAAATAGAAAATGTATAATCCTCTTAGTACACCCTAACGAGATCTAGGCGATTTTGTCAGTTCGATAGTTTTCCGTTATTTGCGCTCTTACATCCCAGCAATTGCTTGTTTGAATTTGTGGATGGCACTTAAAAAAACCTCATCAAAGAATCACATCACGTAATGTCTGACGTTCCAACGCTCGCCGTTCGCAGTACGACGTGGAGCTGTACCAGCGCATCGAGCAGCTGATCGGCAAGCAGCTGCCTCTATATCACACTGACGAGGCCGAGGTGTTGGTGCTGCAGGAGAGGGTCGCAGAGGCGCAGCGCCTCACGAAGCTCGTGAGTTATTTTTTTTTAAACATTGCCCCCACTTTAGGATAACACTATCCTGTGTTGCGGGGACGTTTTACATATATAAACCATGTTTGCCGTCGGTGAGTTGGCTCGAGAGACTTTTCCATCAGACTCCTCGAAAGAGGCGCGAAAGACGGTGACGCGATGTGTACTGCGAGCGCACTCTACTTATGAATCGCCTGAACCTACTCGGCTGACAATGTTTAAGACAGTATATTTGTATTTTGTGTGGAAGGGGTTGGGTAGTCCCAACTACCACTGCGACCTAGAAGTTCTATTGTAGTCTTTCTTCGAAAACGTTGCCCCCTCACTGTTAACATTATCCTTTTTTGTTAGGACGTTTAATATACATAAATTTCACGTGGACAAACTCCCAGATCCGATACAACTGTGTGCGTCACAAAAAGCCGTCTCCTGTGGGAATCGAACCCACGATCCCCGGCGCCGAAGCCAGTAAATTGACAACTCCGCCACGGAGTCATCATTTCGGGTGTCGGTTGTTTAACAGTATACATACAACTGAGTAGTCTTTCTTTCGTTATCAACCGACTTCAAAAAAGGAGGTTCTCGAATTCGATTTTATTTTTTTTACGTTTATTTCCTCAGAACTGTCGACTTTTTTTTATTTTAAAGCTGGTGCTTCCCATTTGGGTCCATATTAAATTCATTGGTATGGGATCTTGGGCGCCGGTGATGCGTAGGGGACTCCTGAAAATCAATTGAATTAAGAGACCTTCCTGCAAACCATTCGCTCCTTCTCTTGCGCAGGAGATGAAGGAGCTGGAAGAGAAGAAGAGCGTGAAGGGCAAGAGGCGCGGCGCAGAATCGGACGACGACACGGAGGAGGCGGCCGGCGTGAGGCGGCGAATAAGGGGCAAGCCCAAGCACGCCGCCAAGAGGAAGCGATGAATAAAGCCCTGGACAGATACCATGTCTTTTTATTGGCGTATCCTGTATTCAGTGTTTTATTTTGGAGTCGACTTGTAATGCTTTTGAAATTAAGAATCTCGATTGGACGCCTAGTGGATACATGCATAACTTAATCGTGAGTTATGTTAAGTTTTGGGCGTCATATAAGTTTTTTTATCGTCGCTTTTTTGTACCGTTTCTACCAGAAATCATCACTCCAGTCTTTGTCTAACGCGCACACTGTGAACAATGTGGGGCGAGAGGAAGGTTATTTAATTAACATTAATTAATTGGAATTATCAAAATTAAATGATTCCAATTATAAGAGCCGCGACAGTTCAGTGTCCAGGAGGCACTTTTTAATTTATTACATTCGAGCAAACCGACTCCAAATAACAGTGCACTGATAAAATTTTCAATTTTAAGTGATAAAATACATGTTCAGCACACGAGAAAAACATCGTGAGGATACCTGAATATTTTCGAAATAATAACAATAAAAAATATTTGGAAAGATATGTGAAGGCCACGCAAGTCTTTGCTGTTTCACAAATGGCCAGGTCTGTCCGGCTAAGTATTACGTCCTCACAGGAGACCGGCCTGAAGTCAAGAAGGGTTATTCTTCTGAGCTAACGGTGGTAGGGCCACGCAGCAGCCTCGGCTGTTTCACGAATGGGCAGGCCCGTTCGGGTAAATACCACGACCTCACAGAAGACCAGCGTAAAGTGGAAGTATGACAAATACTTTCGCGTTTCGTCTGGTGAGTGAGGTAGCCGGAGCCCAATTTTCAAAAGGTTGTCAACGCATCCGTAACCCTCGGCAGATGTCCATGGGCGGCGGTATTCACTTAACATCAGGTGAACCGTCTGCTCGTTTGACAACTTTTCGCATAAAATAAATAAAATAGTTTCGTCTGGTGAGTGGGGTAGATGGGGCGCACTTTCTTAAAAGGTGGAAACGTATCTGCAGCCCTACGGCTGTTACAAATGTCAATGGGCAGCAGTTATCATTTAACATCTTACTTAAGACCAGCTAACTCGTTTGGCACATTCGTACATAAGTCTGCTGGGCAAAGGGTATGCCCTAATACCCTTTGCCATTTGGCCGTTACTTTTTAATTGCATAAATAACTTGCACCTTGGCAGGCAATTTATATTTACAGGCAATTTTTATTGTAGGAAACCCCCTTAGTGGATTCAAATATGAAATGAAAGCTTATTTTGAAAATTCGCCATTTTTAGAATTAAAACTACAGATACTATGTATGTAGCCATTAGGTGAAAAATAAATCATGTAGACGTAACTAAGGGCCATCTTTGCAGTTTTACTTCCCGTTTTTAACAAGGCCTTGGTTTTTATTTCAATTGTGGTCAACAGCAAACAAAATGTATGCTTGTCTCGGGATTAATCAATAAAATGTTTGTCGTGTACTGTATGCTTAGTGGCACTGAAATTCCCCGAGGTTGCTATGTATGAAGGGACATGTGACCAATATTTTAAGTTAACTAATATGTATATTATCATCATATAAGAGATATCTATTAATTAAAATTTGTGGGTTCGATCCCCACTACTGGAAAAATATTGTGTGATTAGCATAGTGTTTTTCTAATGTCTGGGTGTTTATATATGTATAATGTGTATTTATTTACAAAAGAAAAGTATGTATATGTTTATCAGTTTTCTAGTACCCATAGTACAAGCATTGCTTAGTTTGGGACTAGAGAATGTTGTGTTCAAAGAACGTGTCCTAAAAATATATAGGGTGGCTTTTCTAAAGGTACCCAAATTCATACAGGACGTTCAGACTCGGTAGCATAATCGTTCATTGAGATAAAAACAAAATTTAAAAAAAATTGCCATTCCATGACCTAAAAAATGATTCTGTGATTAAATGTTGGCCCCTTGTCAATATTAGTCATGTTGATTCTCTGGTCAGATGATTTGAGCAAAAAATAAATACAAAAATTATAAAAAGTAATGCTTTTTTACACTTTATTCTAAGTCAAAACACCCGTCGTCTCACCCGAAGAGAAAAAAAAAAAAGGAAATAAATAGCTGCCGGGTTCGAGGCTACGGGGCGCGCTTACAAACTAGATGCCGGGAATAAATCACAACATGGTTTCCAATGTTTTTTTTTTCATCATCTCTTTTAATCGTTATCCATTATTTCTATACAAATAGAACTGTACAGTGAATTCTTTTCTTTAAATTATTATTTACCACATTTCATATTACGCTCTCACGATAAGACTTTTTACAAAAAAAAAATGAAAACTATCGCAGCCGACGTAACACGCATGGAAACAACGAGACCGCGCGCTACACTGCACCGCTGAGCCGCAGAAAGAACCCCATGACGCGGGGCCGCCCGGGCCACGTGACGGTCACCACCGCCGCCATTGCCACCACCGCCGCCATTGCCACCGCCTCTGCCGAACCTCGAGCCCCGAACCGGCCGGACCCGAGCGACGTCGCGTAAACTATACATATGTATATACATATAAAAAAAAACCACCGATGACACACGCGATATCCCGGATATCGGTGTCGGATTGCGGCTCGGCGCGGTTCGGAGGTGGTGACGTCACTCGGTGCGCGAAAATGGCGGCGGCGGCGCCCGAGCAGTGTACGTCAATAAAAATAACAGCGTACACTTGCGCGACGCGACACGGGCGGCCCGCGAGAGAAACTCCCAAAACCACACGACACGGCACGACACGACACGTCACGTCAAGACACGTCACGACACGACCCCCGGAAAACGTCTTCTCGCCCGTCGATTGCACGAGGAGGCCCTCACGCCTGGCAGTAGATCTATTGCGTTCTAATCTCATGTCTATCGGCCTATAATGAACTCAAACGCCTCCGCACCGCAGCGCCGGCCGAGCCGAAACCATTCGTTTCAACGCGCAAGCCCCAAAAGCCCCGACGTTAGGGCGTACAATTTTTTTTTTATTTTTTTCTTATTATAATAAAATTTAAATTCGCGATACAAAATACGGACTCGTTTATTGCTTGAATAGATAACATTAGTATTAGTATAACGACTACAACACTCGGATGGCTGAGTTACTTAAGGCTTAGCTCATCGTCTGTATAGAGCTTTGGCGTTCAAGCAAATGGTCAACTATGGGCTGCGACGTATAAAAATATAGTTACAACAGTCTGTCTATCGCAAATCCTCCACCAGATCAAACATCTAAAACTTGGCAGTGATTTACAAAGCGAGCTCTCTTTCCTCTTTTTTTGATAAATTTAAATGCAATGTATAATAAGCTCCAAGAAGCTTTCGAAGCGAGAGAGTTCATTATATCTCTTTATATTTCACATACATCTCTTAGCTATGTTGGCTTAACTTACACATACCAATGTTAGCCAGTTACATCATATTGTCTTTGGGATAACTAAAACACTACAAAATTAAATATGTTATCAATATTATGAGATCTTCACAATCTTTTCCTTACATAGTCTAAATTTTTACATAATATGCCCATTGCATTTTTACAATAACAATTATTACAGCTCAAAATATATTCATGTATGACACAATGTAAATTATCAGATTATACAAAGATTCCCTTCATCTATTCTTTATTATTGTTCATTCACCTGGTATGCATAAGTCAGCGCTTAGTATTTTTAAAATCAAAACTAGTCCCATTCACTACAAAACAAGTTTAAAAACAAATCACCCAGAGCAATATCGAATTTTATTTGTTTAAACGTTTCAGTAGATAAGGCGGTATGACTAGCACAAAAAAGTTGGACACTATTGATCGTCAACGTCGAATATAATAAATAAACCGAACAACATCGACTCACAGAGGCAATAAAATTAGTTGCTTGCAGCTGCGCGTACAAAAAAAGGCATACAAAAAGATTTATACAGAGACAATACAATCCAAGTATTCAGTGATAGATTTTCCTTTAAAAAAAAAAAAACAAACAGAAATAGTTTACAGGAACATAATAATTTATTAGTAAAAAGATCTTTATTATATCCGAATACGCTCCGGGCGTTCCCTATATCGATATCACATTTTTTTTAAATACTAGCCCAACGGGGGCCGCACTAAAGTTATTGCATCACAAGATATTTTCTCGCCTCTATACGTTCGCCTGCAAATTCTTTATACGCTCACTGTTCAATAACACAACTGCCAGAAGAGTGGAATTTTATACACAACAACTCTATATAACCTGGGCCGTTACCATTTCAGCTTTCACTTACTGCTAGTACGAGTATCCGATCTCACTATAATCTATAAACGATATGAACATTATCCGTGGTACATGAGACTTGGTTCGTGCAATCCAGCGTTCACTTTTACAAAGTCGAGTTTCTTTCTTTTTTTTTTAATAGTAAAAAAAAAACAATCATTACAATTCACCGGGGCGCCGATCATCACAGAGATCGACGCGCCGCCTCATAAATATAATACTCGCAACGGAATGAAAGAGAATTCAGTTTTCCATGGTCGGTGCACTCGCGGCGTGGTCGGTTCCGATACGGTACGGTACGGTACGGGTACGGTACGGTACGGTACGTGTTGGCGCGTACAGTCACTCACTCAAGTTCACTCGCGAAACGGTTGCGGCTTTCGCTCGGCGGTCCGCACGCCGGCCCGCCCTCAGTTCAAATCGCGGTCCTCTAAGTACTTGTACTCGAACGTGAAGCCCTCCTTTTTCCGCTGGCCCCACTTCTCGTAGTCGAAGTATATGTACGTGCCCTGCGGATTGTGGAAACGGCGTGCTGTTTATGCTCTAGCTTAAAGCAGTCAGGGGAAACGTCACTAGAACGGACATTAATTGTTTTTTTATTAATGAAAATGTATGCTGCTACAAAAATGTACGTACACCAGATTTTTTAGTGTCCACAAATGTCTCTTATGGATCATATATTAATGATTCCAAACTGTTAAACGCGGTAAACTTTACTCAGTACATTAGGGATATAAGGAGTCTCATTGCTGCCTGTTAACTACTAATCAGCAAATTGCATCCCATATTTAGCATGAATGCAGTGACCGCAAATAAACATGGAAGCATTATTGTCGCCCCAGAATGACAACTAAATTGTACCGCGAGGCGGTTTTGGGAATGTAGACTTAGTCGAACTCACTAATAAGTCCATTTTTGTTTGAAGATAATTCATTGTATTATTGATTTTTATATACAGGGAGGCTTTTTTAAGTGTATCCATTTTTTTAAATTAAATTCTTGACGTAAATAATGTCATATAAAAAGTGATAAATATTTAAAATCACTCTTAATTAAATTAAATACATTCATTTTAACTTATCTCAAAATAAGCATGAATTATGGGCAACTCATTTATTTTACGCGCGATCATTAATAACTAACACGCACACAAGTTCGTTTCAAAATTATATGACGCATTTATTTATGACTACCGCATTGTCAACAAGTTCTGTTTTCTAAGGAATGGAATGGCAATTTTTTTGAAAAAAAAAAAAAAAAGTTTGTTTTTATTTCAATAAACGATTATACTGCCGAGTCTGAACCTCCTGTGTGAACTTAGGCACCTTTAAAAAAGCCACCCTGTATATGCGTGTTAACTGTCAGTGAGAGCAATGGTGCTATTTTTTAATAATCACTAGTATGAACCGTGCGGCTTCCATGTTTTATTAGCGTTCACTATATAAAGGCAAGATTATTTGTTGTCTGGGTCCTAAACCTACTTTTAAATTCTGAGAGAAACGAGTAACCGGCGCAAACTCGTGTACCGTGGGGCGAAGGTAATCATCACTTGTAAGCTATTGAACAGTTAATTACAATAACAATCCATACCATTCAAAGGGCCGTGCCAATTATGATAACTGGCAACATCATTTTCTCTAACAAACAAATCTAAGCATCGTGCAGTGCTTGCCAACCTGCTCGTACTCTTCGTTGATAACCTTCGGCTCCTCGTGCCTCTGGAACCACATCATGTACTTGGTGTGGAAGCGCCAGCTCTGCTTCTTGAGCGCCTTGGCGGCGAGGTACTGCGCCTTCGTGCCCTCCATGTAGTAGAACACGAAGAACAGCGTCTCCGTAGAGAGACGCTGGAAGAACTCCACCGAGTCCGAGTGCGGTAGGAGCACCTGCGAGAACCAAATACATTAACGCCGCTTGCGGTAGATATGAGTTGGAAATATCGTCACGTAAGGAAAAAGCGTTATGTCCAGTCGTTACTCTAATAAACTCTCAATTGCTAATTCACCCTGTCCTTTTTCTAACACGAGATTATTGCATGAACAACATTATAATATTTATAATATAAGAATTTTTCCCCCCACAAATTTTTTGAACATTTTATTAGCAGGCGCGATATGAGAAGTTAAAGCAGCGTAAGTTAATGGTTTCAAATGCCAATTGAGTAAAAAATATTTAGTATATTTACATCAGTTTGCAATTGCCATTTGCAACTACTTTTACCAAACGCTTTCTTATCTTTCGGTTACATCTTTGATATTTCAGGTCCATATCCAGTAACAAAAACAGGTGTCTATATAATGAATATATTATTTGAATATCTGGATTGGCCTTCTGAGGACCTTTTTTATAGAAATTCTTTTAGACATGTTTTGACACATAGTGTTTGCTTAACATATTAATATATAGATTCTCACTATTTCTTTTGTATATACATATATATTTTTCGTAATATTTGCTAAATAAGTGTTACTTTCAAGTTTTACTTCCATCGCACATAAAGCTTACAAGCACTCATTTTTTTATCATATGCTGCTAATTGATTTCATTGTGCCAATTATTCAATATATACTATACAGTGAACTTTGGTTCAAAATCGGTAGTACAAGGGTACCTGGTTGCAAAAAAATGATAAAACAAATGAATCTTGACGCCAGCTGGCCGAGATGTTAAAAAATACAGAACGCATACCATGGGTTATCTCTAAATTTTGTAGTTCTTTACTTTGTAGTCATGCAAGACTTATTTTGTAGTCATGCATTATTTGGTCACAAATTTCCTTATTCAATAGAGGAGTTGATGAGTTCTGATTGGATAAAGGATGAGAGTTTGGACGGCTTAAAGCTGAGGTCACCTTACAACAAGTGAAAGATAATATTGTCTCTTTTTCTTAATCGAAACCACTGCCAGAGTTACCGAAGTTCATAATATAAACAATATGCCAAGTGATCCATAATTGCCCTCGATTATACGACACCCATTGATTGCGCAAAACTAAGATAGGACATACGGTTTCAACGCATGGTCCTACGTCTTGAATTCGTTAACAAACGGTGTCCCCTATTCTCGCATTCTCTCCCTCCATCTCTCTCTTTCTCCCCACTCTCTCTTTCTACCCTCAACCTCTCTCTTTCTCACCTGGTTGTAATAGACTGGCGTCTGGCAGATGTTGCGCGGCAAGTAGGCTCGCGTGCGCTCCGAGTCGGACGGGTGTGGCATGTGGTAGAACGACGTCTCCATCATTCGGAACTGCAGCTGGTGCTCCTGTCAAAGTTGAACATTCTATTCTCTTTTTTTTTTTAATATCCCTCCCACTGTAGGCTTTAATTAGTCCGTGCCCATATCAAACATCAATAAACACCAAGAACAATAAATATTTGCAATAGTAAAGTAGCCTATGTTTCTCGGCAAAGGCATCTAAACAGAGGGTTGTTATTATTTAGAAAATATTCAGGTTTCCTCACGATGTTTTCTTACATTACTAGCTTTTCTTACATGACGGCGGTATTCGCTTAACATCAGGTGAACCGTCTGCTCATTTGACAACTTTTCGCATAAAAAAAAAACAACCATGAATCCACTCTTAGTGGCAATCTTAATTAATATCTAGCTGTCATGTGATTATCGTTTATGGTTGCTTTTTATATATTTGTAATATTTTCACTTAATTTTTAGCTTAATAGTTTTAGATAATTTATCTATTTGGCACAGGTATTCTTATTTTTCGATTTCGACCTTTTGTTTGGGGTTTGCTTAACTAATATGGCCAATATTAATTGAGCAAACCTCAAACGAAAGGTCAAAAAAACTTATGTTAAAGTTACAAATGTTTATATAGTAAAAAAAATACTAACAGTTGATAAAGCTAGAGGTCCCAAAGGTGCGACGCCTAATAACGGAGGTATATGCGCTTGAGATAATGTCACTCCTCTTCTTGTTGTATTCTGAAATTCAATAAAGTAAATGTTATTTATTAATTGATGATTAATCACCTCTAAGCCGTGAACAAAGAACAAAGAGCCATAATTCACATACAGTGAACATTAACAATCTCTTAAATTGGTCTAGAAGCAAAATGTTGAATTGGAAATATCTCTATACTTTTTCTAAAATGTGGTGAAATTACTTCACGAGATTGTAAGACAGTTGCTTGTGTACAAATAAATAAAGACATTTAGCATTAATTTTTTATTTTACGATTGTCAGATACATATTACATATTAAAAAATTGAGATGTTTGTTAAATTTCCATACAAGGGGTACATTAGAGATTGCAGAAACAAATATTCCCCATTCATATCTCTCCCACTGTATGTTATGCTTTTGAGTGTACGGTTTCAAACCATGGTATTCAGTACACTACGCGACCATAGCTTCACCTAATCGAACGTTTCTCGGGCACTGACCAATTTTTATAAGGAAAAAAAAGTGTTCATAAAAACCAAGCCAAGTATTGGCCATCAAAGAGCAGGACGAACCTCCAATAGATGAAGTACTCTGTGCAAGTGTGGGAACTCGATGAATGCAGGTGGCTCAGAATAGTGCATCTGTGGTGCAGGCCTATGTTCAGCAGTGGACTCAAACAGAGCTTAAACTGATAAAGCATCTTTCACATGTCATTGGCGAAGCCATAAAAGCGCCATAAAGGAAAGAAGAAGAAGACTCAAACAGGTTGAAACCATGATGGTTATGATGAAAGGAATCGTTGGCCGTTTGCGATCGCAACGCCCTCTGCGAACCGCGGGGAGAGGGAGGCTGGTCCGTTACCTGCGTGTGGTGCGCGTCTAGACCCGCCCTGTGGACCGCCTCCTGGGCCATGCTCTTGAGGGAAGCGGTGCCGCTGGCCGCTGGCGCGCTCGGCGGCGGACTGCCCACCCCACTGCGAATACAACGCGCACGTTTTTCATGGCCCCTATTCTGGGATAAAGCAATGCTCTTCCAACGTAACTCTGTCGCCTGCGGGAAGATACGGTTGCGAAATATCCACAGCGCTTCAATTAGGTTAGGGATCGTCCGTTAATCGCGTGAGGCTCGAAAGGGGGTTCTGGAAATTTCAATATATGATAAAAATCGTGATTTTCGGTAGAAGGGGATGGGGCATGTTAGTCTTAGCCTCACAAAGTATCACCAGGGAAAAGGGGGGGAGGGTAAGGGGGTTAAGGGGTTAAGCTAAAAAACATAATATAACTAATGGAAAAACCGAGATATGAGATGCTCCGGGATCTTCAAAATGCACTGGTGCACGCCTCTCTCTACCTGAGCCTATTCGGAAAGGGGGTGCACTTTTGTAGTTAGTAATACTTATTAGTAACACTAATCTTCGTCCCCCCCCCCCCCCGCCCCTCTTTTCGAGCCTCACGTGGACCTCAATGGACGGGCCCTAAGCGTGTTAAGACGAGACCCGAGGGGCCGGACTCACTTGTCAACCGGGTGCGCGGTGAGGCTGTGCGTGGCGGGGCCGTTGAGGGTGGGCGGCGAGGGCTCCCTCGGCGCTGGAGTGGCGGCGCCCGCGCCCCCGCCGCTCGACGAGCTCGCCCCGCTCGACGGCGTCGCCGACGCGCTCTTCGGCACCTGCAACCACACAAAGTAACAATAAATAATTAATATTTATTTATTATTTCCAACCCGGTGGTCCGATGACATTAAGGGGACAGCAGGCCAAGTTTGGAAAGGGCAAACGAAGGGTCGTGCTGAATGTAGGAAAATTGGAGAAGCGTATGCCCAACGGTCAAACACACGTTAAAATATTTCAGGATCTTTTACACAACGTTCTCTAGTCCCAAACTAAGCAACGCTTGTTCTATGGACAACAGTGAACTGATAAACATACTTTTCTCTTTTAAATAAATACATAAACAACCCAGACACTGGAAAAACACTATCTTCATCATACAATACTTTTTCAGTAATGTGGATCGAAGTTAATTTTAAGTGCTAACATATCACGTGCTCAGCGGTGAAGGAAAACATCGTGAGAAAACCTGCATATTTTGGAAAAAAAATCCGTAATGGAGTCGCGTGGTTGACTATGCCCTGACACCCTCTCCACAGAGGAGGCCTTTGCCCATCAGTAGTACATTTATAGGCTGTTAGTTTACTTTATTTATAATGAAGCATCCAAACTGTGCGATTTTTTGGACTTACGATTGGAAGGGGCTGCGTGGGGGGCGGTGGGTGTACAACGGCGTTGAGAATTGGCGCGATCGACACGGGACCATTCTCCACTACCTCTGCAACGGAAGCAAAATAATGACAAATGATTAACTATCTAACCATGGTAGGGCTACGCAACAGTCTTCTCTGTTGCAAGAATGGGGGGACCGTCCGGGTAAGCACCTAGCACAGAAAAGGCCGGCGTGAAGTAGAAGTGTACACTTCTGCGTTTCGTCTGGTGAGTGAGATAGCCGCGGCCCACTTTATTAAAAGGTGCAACCTTACGGGTGTTGCCAAATGTCCATGGGGAAACACCAGCTCGCTTGCCACCTTCTCACATGAAAAAACGGCCGCCGTTATACGATTCCATTGACTAGATTTGCAAGGTTCAGCCTTAAACAGAAAAAAATTGTGATTGCATTTTTATGTGCTGATTTATTACGTGCTGGTCGGTGAAGGAAAATATCGTGGTGCAACCAGTATATTCATAAATGTTGATAAAAATGTTTCGAATACGTAGTCTACCATCCAACCCGCGGTGGGGTCGCATGGTAGACTATGCCCTATCGTATTTACTATAGTTATACCTTTTGTATTTGTACAGAGGGTGCCTTGGTTGAGCAATGAGACATATGCAGGATGGCTTTTCTAAAGGTGCCCAAATTCACACACGAGGTTCAGACTCGGTAGTATAATCGTTTATTGAAATAAACACAAACTTTTTTTTTTTTTTTTTTCAAAAAAAACTTGCCATTCCATTCTCTAAAAAACAGAAAATGTTGACAATGCGGTAGTCATGCATAAATGCGTCGTATACTTTTGAAACGATTTGTATGCGTGTTTGTTATGAATGATCGCGAGTAAAATAAATGAGTTGCCCATAAATCACGAACTTTTTGAGATAAGTTCGAATGAATGTATTTAATTAATTACGAGTAATTTTAAATATTTATCATTTTTCTTACAACATTATTTATGTCTAGAATTTAATTAAAAAAATGGATACACTTAGAAAAGCCTCCCTGTATAGGTGTTACTTAGTTTTTTTAACCACGTTACTTTTTAACCTGACTTCCAAAAATGAGGTTTTTCAATTCGATCGTTTATATACCACTATTTTAATGTCTACTATTTACAGTAAAATTTTCGAAGAATCTGATTATCTTTTCACATTATTCATAACATTTTAAAATAATATTAAGGTGGAAAAATATGATATAAAAAGTTTTCAAACAAGTAATAGGAACCGTGGTATATTCAGGAAGATGGCATTAACTCTCGTTGTACCTCAGACGAAACGCAATAAAAAAAGTAAACAATAGTATTGTTACTTTTTCTGTGCGGTATATTATTTATTCATAGATAAATATTTGTTAAGCGATGGACAGGCTTGTCGATGAAAGTACAAACGGACAGAAGAACGGCGTAACGTGAAAGTAACTGGCAAATCTTTCACCCAACATTAACATAAAAAAACTAATGAAAATTAAAGTTTTAATGTGAAAAGGTTGAAAAGTAAAAGTATTATTCAATCTAAAACCTCCAAAACCGAAAAGTCATTGGCGACCGTTTCGAACTCACGACCTCCGCAGTTCCCAACTGCTGACAACCCGAACAAAGTAGTCGTCGACACAAAAAAAAAAAACTCTTTCGATTAACGTCAGTACAGCACAATATTTACATTACGGATCGCGTACGTATTACGAAACATTGAAATTAAATACGATTCCCAATTACCGGTGGTCTGATTGCTTCACGTTTCAAACAACACGCGCGGACGCCTCGTCGGACGTGTTAATTATGCGTACACGTAACGTCCTAAAACACCGGCACGGAAATACAAAATTACATAACCGCCATTGAACTTGACGCGGAAACATCACGCGTCCGCTGCGCAATACCGAATTATTACTTAAGATATAATTCCTAACCGAAAAAGAAAACAAAACAAAAAAAAACAAAACACATGCACTGTCAAAGCTGCCCGTTACCATCGTCCATGTTTGACGTAAGCGCGGGAAAACATTATCGGCGTAGAGAAAAAAAAAAAAAAACAGGCGAAGGCAGCGACCGTCGACGATGGAGCCTATTGACTGAATCGTTCCTATGTCGCGTCTGGAGGCGTGCCAAAAACGCGGCGTCAATAAAAACGCCCCGTGGCCGCGCGCCAAAAAACAAACGCCCGATCGTCTTGGCTCCATTCACGTACCGTTTGTTTTGTAAACAATAGACGGCCGTAGTCTTATCGCGTGCGGCAGATAACGTTCGTTATCGTCTTATCTTCGTATTGTCTTATATTTGTATTTATACATTGTATTATAATTTACGATTACAAATGATAAGATTTTATTTCAAAAGGTTATACGTTGCCGTGAACTTGTAAAAACTTCCTCAGCCCGAAGAAACGAGACTTGCCACGCCTTACATTAATTGGTGAAAAAGGTAATTTAAAAAGGTAAGGTACCATTTTTAGGGTTCCGTACCCAAAGGGTAAATCGAGACCCTATTACTAAGACTCCGCAGTCTGTATGTCATCATGCTGTATATCATGAGCCGTGATAGTTTGACAGTTAGCCAACCGGTTCTGCGTTCGATGAACCTTTAATAGTCTAAGGACTGAAAGCATATCATCAGTTATAGAAAAAAGTTAGACAGTTGAAATTTTCACAGATGATGTATTCTTGTTGCCGCTATAATGACAAATACTAAAAACCAGAATAAAAACTATTTAAGTGTTGCTCCCATACAACAGACATGACTTTTTTATCCATTTCAATAGATGAAGAATAGAACCGTACGGAACTCTTCGTGCGCGTTTCCGACTCGCACTTGGCCGGTTATTTTTTATCGTCGTTAATTCTCAATTGAATATCGGCTTCCGCAAGTATACTGGCTATCTATCACGGCGACAGATACCATTCGCGTACATTTGACAAGGCGCCAACCGCCGACGCAAGTGGGCAGCGGTGCCATATTTTGGACGTACGTAACGCGTACGGTTCGCCTACGCGGGTTTCGTGTGACAATGAACAGTAGCGTGAAATAGATATGATTAAAGTAAAAAGAATTACGAGCCACGTATGACGACTCCGTGCCGAAGGTAGCGGCTTCAGCGCCGCGGGTCGTGGGTTCGATTCCCACACGAGACAACTATTTGCGTGTGCCACAGATAATTTTTTCGGGTCTGGGTGTTTGTCCACGTGAAATTTATGTAAGTAATATTCAAATTCAAATTGCGTGAACTGTGACGATATTTTTGAGGTTTTTCGTGTGGTTGGTGAATGAGTTAGTTGTCTATGGGCAATTGTAATTATTTAACATCTGGCGGGTACCTCGCCTCCATTTTCTCTCAGAAAAAAATAATCATTGACGAGTGGAATCACGGAGATCCGCAATGAATCCGTAGGGTCGACCGAAACCATATCAACCGAGTGCTTAAATGATGTCGTAACGGCGAGTGAATCCGTTATAGCGACGGTAGCCGTTGCTTCGCGTGTAGCCGTAACTTGGCGTCTAGCCGTAGCGTCACATATAGCATTAGCGTCACGAGGAGCCTTAGCTGCGAATGAATCCGTAAGGACGACCGAGGCCACTTCAACCGGATACCGTAGCGGCGTTATAGCGTTGCTTCGCGTGTAGCCGTAACTTGGCGTCTAGCCGTAGCGTCACATATAGCAGCGTCACGAGGAGCTGCGAATAAATCCGAGGCCACTTCAACCGGATACCGTAGCTAAGTGTAGCCGTAGCGGCAAGTGAATTAGTATGGCGACCGAACCCGTAACATCTAGGGCCCAGGGTAACCGTAACGACACGTCTAGCCGTAGCGGAGAGTGTACCCATAGCTGTGAGCGTAGCCGTAGCGTCAAGTACAGCCGTAGCGACTCGTGGGGACGTAGCATCACGCACAGCCGTAGCGCCGCGTGGGACCGTAGCGCCGCGTAGTGCCGTAGCATCACGCACGGCCATAGGGACGCGTGGGGCCGTAGCGGCACGCCCAGCCGTAGCGACGCGTGGGGCCGTAGCGGCACGTACCGGTGTTGTTCTGGCGCTGGTGCACGAGCGCATGCACGTGCGCGGCGTGCGCCAGCTGCAGCACGTGCGGCGGGCTCGGCGGCGGCGGCTGCTTGCTCGGCGTAGACGCGCCAGACGCGCCCGTAGTGTTTATACTGCGGCGGAGAGACAGGATTGTTAAATTGATTCGAGTACACACAACTGTGCTTCTACTGTTCATCGCTTATAATAAACGAAACCGACCTAAATTCACTCGAACTCCCTACGCATTTTCGTTAATTTTATTGTGAGTATTTCTTTCGACACATCGGTGGAACGTACGAGGTTGACCAATATCGATGAAATAGATGTGGGGACATATTGGAGCTAAACCGAACCAAATTCAAAGGGAATTTTTAAAATCGATTTTTATAAATGACCGAATTGATAATAATTCTCCCTCTCCTTTTTAGTTGGTTGAAACGCATTTCATGGTCATGCGAAAATAGGGCAGCACACTACACACTTTTGACAAGATCGTTACAGTTCGCAAAAATAGCAATTAGATGCAGTGAATTTGTGTATTGCAATATGTTTATTTACATAATGACAGTTTGTTATTGATTAGAGAAAACAAACAAAAAACTGTAACCAATCGCTATGTGCCGCTTTTTTTATCTTTACTCCTAGGTGAATTGTTGCGTAAAAGTTTACTGTATGAATAAAATAGATTTAAATTTCTAAAATAGATATCTGTGCAATGAATACGCAAAAGAGCGTTTGTGTTGCGGTATAAAAACGTGATTTTTAAAAACTGTCATCAAATTGTGTATGAAACCATTACAGGTATTTAATTTTCAACGTAACACCTTACATACGATACTAGCTTTGACAGGCGGCATCGACCCAAATATGCTTTAATCGCACGTATCAAGCTTTCTATCCAATCATTTCCCCTGCAACATTGTGAAGTGCAAGTAAACACACTTACATACACACTTTTTGCATCTGTATTTTTTGTATTGTGTAGTAAAGTAAAAAAAGTAAGGTATCAGCCTATACATGTCTCACTGCTGGGCACAGGCCTCCTCTGTACAGAGGGTATTAGGGCATAGTCCACCACGCGGCCCCACTGCGGATTGGCGGACTTCACATATTTTCGAAATCTTTTTTTTTTGTATTTTTTCGAAAATATGCAGGTTTTCTCACGATGTTTTCCTTCACCGCTGAGCACGTTGAATTATTATTAGGCACTTAAAATTTCATTGGTGTCGGCACCGGAGATCGAAACTAAGGACACTGAGCTATCACGGCGTGTAGTATGAGTAGTGTGAGTTTATAACTCATACTCAACAGCTAGTGACAGATTCTCTTAAAATGTAGTAGAAAAAAATGTAGTAGGTATGTTTCTTGTTGTTTTCTAACAATTCTAGGTTCTCATGGTTAGAATTCCAGCTCCACCAATTTCTCATATAACCTATTAAGGGTACTATTGTTCCACGACGAGCATCAGAGATTTTATTTTAAAAAGAACTCTCGCAAAAAGCAAATATTTCTAAATCAGACCAAGGTCATGTATTTTTTTACCAAAGTCCATATATTTGCTTATTAATTTATTAAAACCATTATTTATATATGTTTATAAGTCAAAAATAAAAATAAAACTTACAAATATGAAATATGACTAATTGCTAGCTAAGCTATTATGATGTGTCATGCAAATGTGATGAAATGACAAAAAATGAACAAGTACTCAAAAATCCTAACAGTGATTAGATTTAATTTCTTTTAAAAATGAATCTAACTACAGTTTGGATCAAGATCAATTAACAAGTTGGTCTATTTATAATATTTTTTTATGTTAGATAACTTAGATTAACTTTCTAGTGTTTGACTGTTGAAATTAAATATTCATAACTTTTGCATTATCATACTTTAAAGTACTTATATAACATTTCCACATGCATCAAAACAGATATTAGAAAGCACAGAATGACTGGAAATGATAGCCCTGCTTTAAAGCAGTTAAACTTATTAAATATAGCGGAAAGGCCAAAAAGGTCTAATAATCCCATGCAAGATATATAAAATTATAGAATCCAAAGAAAGATAAAGTGAATTGAAATAAAAAATGCATCTATTTCACCCAATTTTGCATAAATCAAATGGACAATATTGTCTTGAGAGTTAAATCAATTTGAAATTGTCTTAGGTAGAGAGGTATTGGTGCATATTTGGGGCGCTACATCCACTCCAAATCTTTATTATTATCAAGGTAAGAAGAGTGTTAACTGCCCTAATAATAATTAGGACTATAAATTACCTTGTGTAATTATATGGATTAGACATTAAAAGCAATCATACACTTCTGCAGTAACTAAGTAGAATCTTGTGTAATTCCAATTTTCTTCCTATTAAGCACATCATAGGAATATTGTATAGGATAATGTTGATGATGATTTTGGACTTATGTTTTGGTATCAGATAATGATTATTTGATTTAATAAATACAGGAATCCCAAATAATATTGTTTGGTAAAAATCTGATATTTAAATAATAAATTGCAGTACATAATGAATAATTGCTATAATCAGCTATGAATTTATCAATCCATAATTATTATTTTACTATTGTAAAATGTAACTTTAAAGCAAATTGAAACTTATAAAGGATTCACTCTGTGCTAGCACACCCCACTATGAGGTCCGCTCGATTCTAAACTTCAAATGTCAAGTTTAATCCATAAGGGATCCTTACTTTTTCTTCACACCGAACAAGGACAAAAGTCTGGACAAGTCTACACACACATCCAGACTGCCATTGTATATTGAGCCGATTGAAGGCAGCATATTTTACTGCACTGCGGTCGCAGCTTAGATCAGATGACCTAACAGAAAGGTCAGCTATGTGAGACTGTAGCACTGCTACGTATCGGCCACAGAAGGGCTGCAGCGAAGTTTAGAATCGAGGGGCCCCTCGGTACGGTAACAATACGCCAGTGGACTGACCTATTCGTGGATGCGGCGGAGTTATTGAGCAAGGAACTAACGTTAGTCGCGCTATTACTGACCGCGCAGCTGTTCACCGCGCGTAGCGGCAGCGGTTTGACCGGCTGGAAAGTTAACAGAAATACTTTTACTAATCATCGTCCGCCCAAAATGCTAGTGATTGGTTTTGTCGTGGACTAAGGCTTTTGTGGTGACGGGCCGGAAGTTGGTGAACCTTTAGCGGTATCGAAACTGGTGAGTCTTTACGGTATTCTTTTATCTATTATGGTACCTTTGTGGTATTTAGAATGCAGAATGCGAACGAATATATTGGCAGAAATAGTGTATTGACATTTATTTCACGAATGTACCTTTCTCCATTTTTACTTGAATTTTAGCGCTGTGAATAGAGACTAGACCAGACTAGAGACTGAACAAAAAGGGGATTAAAGAAATTAAAATGGGAGAGAGAAACATGTTATTACTCATCAGTTCTAAAAATAATATGTAATAAAAGCAGCCCCATGGGTCTTTTAGTTAAATTGATTTTCATTGATGAAATAAAATGTCATTATCTAAAAATCCAAAAACATTTGGTACATCTGCTTTAATCATTATTTTCTTTTACTTACTCATCAATGGTCAAATAAAAGAATGAAAATTGTACAAACCACAAAAGAATCCAAAACCAATCACAAAAAAAAAATAATTAAGATAATTAAGATCAGTTATCCACATGTATGGGGACACAGCTACAGATTTACCAACGGTACAAAGTTCAAAGTTAATGATGGCAATGCAAAATGTAGCGGATGGGAGATGAGAGAAGGCGTTGCTTACTTTCGCCACGATTTCCTCTTTCTTCCTCTTTTCGATGTCTATGGAGTCTGTTGAGTGGTTGTGTGCGTCTAACGCGGGTGACGTTATTGGACTGGTGCCTGGAACGTAAATGTAACAAGAGATTAATATCATATTAACTAGGCAAAAGGAAAAATGAGCAGGAGATGGCTAAAGTTAAGGTTTTTTTTTTTTTACTTAAAGAGTTCTTTCTATTTATAATATTCTGTGTAATAAATAAGTAATATTAATAAAAATCATTATTTATACAAATGAACATAAATTAATTTTGAACATTGTGAATTAATGATATAAGTGTCATGATATAAGTTAATCCGAAAGTAACATGTACAAGATCTGCAAGAACTGTGAAGTGTGGAAATCAGTATTCTCTGCCTACTCATAGTGGTGATAAGGTGTGAACATATACATATTTATGTAATCTGAGTGAATGCAAAAAGATTGCATTGTTAATTTGTAGTGGATATGGTTATTTTTTTTTCCTTCTGTTGTAGATTACTGCACTATACTATAGGTTAAGTACCTGAAATGATAGGGTATATAAATAAATTATGTTTGTATCTACATAATTATGTATGTATGCATTATACGTCTGTATTAATTATATACCTAGCATATTGACTTGCAACCTTAGGTGCTTGGAATGCTTCTAATTTTTAGATCAATGCAAAGACGTTTTATGGAAAGAGATAATAAAGCAGTTAAATGAGGGAAATTTATATGTTCAGAACATTGTTGCTAAGGTGTGAGCTTAATGTATACATAGACAAAACTTTACAGCTTTATATCAATATTGGTATATTCAACTTGAAATAGGACACATAATTTAAAAAACAATAATAATAATTATAGGTTACCCCATCGTCTATGGAATCTTGAATTCAAATATTTTTTTGTAATTACTGATATGTTATCTTATTTTTAATTTTTTTTAGTTTATTATTATAAACATTGTTACCAAATGTAATATGGGTTCAGATGAAGTGTCTGATTAAATGTCTTACGTCTTAAATAATATTTAAATCAGGGATGGATCTGTGTCGCATTCATATAATTGCCACAGTAAAACTATTTTAAAGTTGGCTTGGCTGGAAACCATCAGTGTACCATTTATCAAACAAAATACTCATTCCACATTTTGTACAGGGGTCTCACCTGATAGTATGCTGGTGGGGGATCCTGGCGAGTCGTTGCTATTGTTGCTGTCCGTAGTGGCTGAGGATGGTAGCCCGACTCCGCTTAGTTCGATTTCATCCAGCCCATTTATATCATCATATATGCAGTCATTCTCCTCGTAACCGGGCTCAAGTGATGATGTAATGTAGTATTCAACATCCTCTTTTATTCTCTTTATCTGAAACGTCGCAGCAATTCGGTTTATATAAAACAAAAAGCTAATATCTACAACCCTTATGGGTTAAACAGAAATAGCTAGGGCTGAGATAAATGGAATGCATCGAACCAAGGCTCCCAAAGATGACTTGTGGTGAGAGTTATCATAGTTATAATAGGCAAATTTTAGTTTATAATGTAAGTGAGAAAAATGTAATAACTATAGACAATTATTTTTCTTCAGAAAAGTGATAGAAGTTACATTACATTTACATTTAACTGTGGTAGGACTAAACAACAGCCATGACTATTGCACAAAAGGGCAGGACCATGGGGTAAGTAGCACAACCTCACAGAAGACCACCGTAAAGTAAGTGTTATGCTTCTGCGTTTTGTCTCGTAAGTGAGGTAGCCGGGCCCACATTAAAAGGTAGCAACGCATCTGCAACCCTACAGTTGTTGCACGTGTCAATGGGCGGCGGTTGTCACATAACATCAGATGAACTATATAATACTAAACAAATATATATAACACTAAACATCTACATCTATAATTACTACATCATATGAAACATCTTTTCACATATTATAAAAAATGATAATTTAAATATGATTACGCAATAGTAGATTCGATTAGTGCATTCATTCAGTTGGTCTTAGGTTAAGTTTCCACAATTCACAAGTACAAATATAATTTTCAAATTTCAGTGTAGGTTTACATTTATTGTATTTTTTCTCGCCTGGGGAAGTTCCATGGCCTCGCGGAGGATCGGCGTGAAGTAAAAGTATTAAAGTTTTGCATTTAGTTTGGTGAGTGCGAGAGGGAGGACCAACTTATTTTAAATGTTTCGGGACAATTTTGCAACCCCTGTATGCTGTATGTCGATAGGCGGCTGTATTCACTCAGGTGTAGCACCTTGTTTCACATAAACAAAATGTAAAGAGAAACATAACTATTTTCACTATTTAGCTTTTATCAATTGGTTTTGCTACATATTTTAATATGTTTGAAATAAATTAATAAAATAAAATAAAATTATTTGGTTATTTAAAAAATGTGGAAAAACAGATTAATCACAATGTAGGTGATAAAACTGTATGGAAAACCGCAACAGTTAAAAAATAAATACAGTTTCCTGTCAAGAGTCCACAATTATGGAGTATTTAATGTGAAAATTTTTCTGACTTGTGGTCTTTTAAATGTTGATAAATCATTTACAATCTCAATATTTGGTCATAGTAAAATTGATTTGGTGAACTCATTTAATGCATTGGGGCTGCGGTTTTCAATATAGTTGTTAATGTATTAATATTAGTAGTAGACTTAATTTAACATCAACATAATTATGCCTATAGAATACTCACAAGATGAAAACTTACTTGCTCTACCTCAACAGACATGTTATCTAGCATGCGTAACAGTGTCTCAAGCTTCTTTATGTGGAACCTATGCTTTTCCAGCTTGTATTTGAGCTCCTCCATTCTGTCCTGCTTCTCCTTATCCAGACGTTTTTTCTTACCAACTAACAGTGACTCTACTTCAGACTCAAATAAATCAATCTGAAAATAAAAGTGTATTTCATTTCAATTAATCTATGACATTTTATGCTCTTTAATTCTATTCTAAATCTATATGTAGTTTTAGACTAATAAAAATGATACAATTTACTATTATATACGAGGATAAGCACTTATATGGGTGTTCACATCACTTTAACAACACTTCAGATCCCTACATAGTATGTATGCATAGATCTTTAATACATCGCATCAAGATGATGGGCAGGTCTGTCCAGGTAAGTACCATGAACACCTCACAGAAGACCAGCGTAAGTGGGAGTATTATGCTTCTGCATGTCGTCTGGTGAGTAAGGTAGCCGGGGCCTACTTTATTAAAAGGTAGCAACACATCTGCAACACTACAGGTGTTGCAAATTTAACACAGGTATCACATAATATGAGGTGAACTGGTGAACCGCCAGCTTATTTTGTCACAAAAAAAAAATTAATGCTGTGGATTCAGTTCGAATATAGTCTTAAACCATGTTTAACACCAATAGGACCTTGCCTGTTTTGATAATTTGTTGTGTCTTTGAACTAATTACTTAAACTAATAAAATCAATAATCCGCGTATGTTGCACATTAGAATTACAGAACTACTTTCCATGTTACTAAATAGCGTAACAGAGTAAGTAATAGAGCATAATTGACAGCTTCTAAAATTACATTCAATGTTGTTTAAAACATGTTTAAAAGCTCCATTCTATTAAGATATCTTAGCTTCTTTGGAAAATATACAGAAGAATAATAAAACTTTGTTTATGTAAACTAATTGACAGATTTTATTGAGATTTATTTTATTTTTGAACTTCCAATATTTCGAGTACTTTAAAGTATGCCTTTGTCAAATTTAGATTTTTTTTATAGTTCTTATCTCTGCACTTAAGATTAAACATTAAAATTTTTAGAAAAAGTACGAAAATATTGTCGCCACTGAGGGAATCGCACCCACGTCTACGGCATTCGCGGCCTGATGTCTTTGTCATCGCCATGGGCTGGGGCCCAAATAGTATTCGCATTTAGTAATATAAGCGTAAATAATTAATATAATTTTATTTATTAAAGTATTTAACTAATAAACAATGACGGCAGGAAGCATTTTAACTTCCTTTATGTAAATTATTAACATTACCTGTAAATTAAGTGCGTCAATTGACGTAATAAGCCAAGAAGACATTTCCTCACGCTCCTTTTGCGCCGGGTCTAGCTTCTGCGCGGCCCCAAGGCCCTCCTTTGAGTAGGCCTTCGTTTTTGTTTCGCGCTCAACCACTTTAAACCTTTCCATTTGCTGAAAATTTAAAGGAAGCATTATAAGCATATAATAGAATGTATCTTGTATTAACTGATGTTTTTACTTTCAGTCCCGAGACTATTAAAGCTTTATCTGACGCAGAACCGGTGGGCTTAACCGTGCGTTTAACTTATAAAAGAATGACATTCGGTTATGGAAATCATTAGTGATAAAAACCATTACAAATTTTAATGAACACAAACAAATGTAAACAAAGGAGTTTTGAAGTACTTCTATATTTTGAAATAGCTTTTTTTGTAAGTTCATTCAAAATCATTCATAAATGACCAATATAGCGACAATCTTCTTACTCCTGCCCCTAACCCCATGACCGAGGTGGAGTCAGTACAACATGCAAACTATGTTGTCAATGTTTTACAACCTGATGGTCACTTAATAATAATTCCCTTCTTGGGAAAAAACACCCAGATCCAGAAAAATTATTTGTGTTCAAATTCTCCCACATGGGAATTAAACTCACATCCACAGTCATCAACAAATTAGCGAAACATACATATATAAATAGCTATAATATTTGTAGGTAAATATGAAACACGCAAAATCACTAAATGGTTTTTGTCATGATTACTTTTCAATACTTCAACACCTGTAGGCTTTTCAAAAATTTTGTGCAATAGTAAATTAATAAATATTGACTTAAATATTGACAGTAAATTTCTTGATAAAGAGTTTGTTTACATGATTATAAAGACTTCTTGAAGCGTGAAGGATGGGAAGGACTTAAAATAGATTGCTAACAACCTTGCATTATATAAAAAAAAAAGGTTTGTGTTCTATGGTTCAACTCATTATACCGCAAATAAATTCATGTATCAAATTTGAATATAAAAATTAACTTTTATCTAAACATATAATAAAATAATAAAATATCACTTTATAAAATAGGTCATGATAATGTTAGTGCTGTTCACCAATATGAAGAATAAGAATAATAATAATTAAAAAAGAAGATAACATGTGCTGTTCTGGAAACCATCACAGTAGTCATTTAATAATCAATATATATTAGAATAATCTAGAAAATCTGTTATTTTAACAGACTTCTATACAAAAATCGAAGTATAGAAGTCTTTTCCAGAGAATAAAGCAAACAAAATCAACCTAATGTTTGAGTACTATATTCTTTGTCTTTACAATGTTTTAAAATTAGAAAATTCAGAGTAAATATCTGACACCAAAAAAATGTTTCATTGCAACTAACATAATGAGGATTAATGAAACCCAATAATTTATGTTTATCTAAATGCATAAACCGCAACTTCATTAATTTACAGATTAAATATATTGTTACAAAATTATCATAATAGTATAAACAATGTATGAATATCAGATAAACCACTCAGGTCACTTATGTTTATTTTAAAATTCACCCTAACAACTGGCAAGCAAACAGTGATGGAAACATGCAGAGGCTGAAATTCAAATTGTAATGTATTTGTGTCAGGCAAATGTTGGGAAATCATTGAGCGCTTTGTTTACCATAACAAAAAGTAGGGGGAAATTTGTAAAAGAAATTGGCTTTTTGAATGTTTTATAGCGGTTTTATAAAGCAACTGTGAAATTGACAAAGGATATCACAAATATAAAGTTATTTACAACAGATCTAATGTAGAGTGTTTATTTGTTAGATTTACTTGGCAATACACAAAAGAATTACTTTGGAGGTGATATATGAAGACAAATAACGAAAACAAAAATTTAACATTGCATAAAAGGTCCCTGGTTTTGGAGGGTAGAATGTTTTATTCACTAATATATCAAAAATAATGACAAGTCAAGATCAGATAAACTACTCATTCTGCTAATATCAAAACAATGAAATTAAAGACAAAAAAATGCTGAATTCAAGAAAATGTCTAAGACTTATGGTACACTGATACCACTTGATTATCCTATCTACAAAAGAAATATTTTCACAGTTATGTACTATGATTCTTAGGTAAACAATGGCATTGCTTACCATAATCACTTGAAGTATTAGTTTTTGTGTGAGTGGAGTATGTGGTAATTGGAAAACAATAGGACAATTGTAACAGATGAATCAGGAAGAACTTGCTAGTTATAGAGAATGCTTATTAATGAGCAGGTTAAGGAGCAATGATTATTTGAATCATGTTTAAATGTGGGAATGTCTGATAATTTCTGACATAAATAATATAAGTCTTGAGTTTTACTACTTACAACTAACTTTTTCATGACAGAATAAAATAAGAAATAATTGTATGCATAAATTAAGGCTAATAATAAATTAACCTAATTAATTAGAGTAGAATGTTAATATGGATTGTAATTCATACATTGTTTACATACACTCACCGTTTCTATTAGTTTCCTATAGTCTAAAAGTGTACTCTTATCCTTAATCTCCCCGGAGGCGATCCACGACTTGATCTGATCCCGTAGCCTCTGAAGCTTTTTAATCTCCTTCTTGAGATCGGCCTCATATTTTTCCTTCTGATTACTATTTGTCGCATTGTGCACTTTCTGCCAGATGTCCTCAAATGTCTCCACACCCTCCGTGACCTTTTTTAAACACCTGTCTATTTCACCTGCAACAAATATTGGCACTGCATAAATGAAATACAGAAAACCTGTTTTGAAACTGTTATTTCCGATCCAGCGCATTACAGGTACTGAATGAAACGAAATGAGCACCCAACTGCCGCGTATTGACATATTTAGCATTAAATATCAACCCCGTATCATATTTGTATGCGTCAAATGCAATCTTCATTAATGATCAACGTAGCATCGCGGTATTGTCATCTTGTCAGTGTATATTATCGGGCTATAATTCATTATCGTAAATTACAGACGCAACTGGCTTCTCATATTTAATATCTGCAGTATGGCAGAGGTCTCACTGAACGGACAATAGAAGTCTAGAACACGTATCTACATAGGTTGGGGTCAATCAATCTCTAACCTGATAACATGGCAAATTACCTTGTAATTTCCTTGTCGCAGCCATAGCTATTTACACATGTGGACGAACGTTCCGTACATATCCTAAACATACAAACTATTTACAATAAAATGCACAAAAATTATTGATAAACAGACAAACTACACATCTGAAGCTTTGTTCGAATCCAAGATGGCTACCGTACACCGCTCGAACTGTTAGTGACTAAACGCATCCAGGCCGACTGCCACAGAATAATTCTGCCTCGCGCCTGGAATGGTAATTAGCACAAAGCTTTCATAAATAATTATGAATAAGTTGTCACTAAAACAACAAACTTCAAATTTTCCACAAAATGATTTTAGGTACGTAGCGTAGACCATCAGTCAAGTGCGCAGGCGCAAAATAATAGAGCAAGGCATAGACAAGATAGTAACAAATTGACAATTGCTGTAGACTGTAGAAGCTTTCGTTTAAAAATTTCTCTTTTACCTTAGAAAAACATAGGATTTTCTGGTTTCTACCTTAACTTTTTACTGGCTTTAATTAAAATAAATAATAATACAGCATCATTCACATTTTCTTAAATACATGATAATCACATAATACAATTATTGACTTTAAAGTAGTTTAATGAACGAATGAACTATGGAGATTTACAATTTTGCCAATAGATGGCACATGTTTGAAACCTAGTGATTTGGATCTTGTAGCGTATATGAAATAAAGGAAGTTTAAGATAATTAGGAATTAAAAGAAAATTAAATATGTATAAAGTACAAATAAAATAGCGGTTTGTTTGTAGACAATGTTTGTGACATTTATGTGAATATTATTGAGTCTTTTTTAGTCATTTTAACTGATATTTTTATACCACCTAAGAGCATCGATTTTTATTGAGGCCAAGCATTTTCGTTGAACATAGATAAAGTTTTGACAGATCGTATTTCGGTAGTTTATTTGTTACATCTCTTTGAGTCTGACTATCATCCATTAAACCTGCTTTGTCTGCATTAACTCGGACAAGTAAACAAATAAACTTTTTTTATTTAATTCAGACTTCTTTTATTTTGATGTCCTGGTTGGGCCAGTTGCAAACTTGTGGCATTAGGTCGTGCGTTCGATTCCCACACGGTAGACGTATTTATATTACACACATAAAAATTCTGCGTGTTTGTGTATATGCCAAATTTATTTATTGAGTGAAAGTGTAACAAACATCCATTTATCCTCAAATACTTTAGGGTTTCTAATCTTAGTATGATGGCAGCTAGAAGAGCGCTGGAAGCCTGAGGCACTGTGGAAATTTTATGAACGTAGTTATAATGTGCTCAAGCATTCTCGAGACGGCTGGGAAGTGAATTTATATTGACCCAACTTTACAAACGCGACCAAAACATACTTATGTGTTTTGGTAAAAGCTCCTATTGTCCATTCTCCAGTTACTTTAACTCCATTGTCAGTGTACTTTACTGCAAACAATCGGAATAAGGCGCCACCATTCTAATTTAAAGCGATGTTTACAATAATGAAGTCGTTACGAACGTTTTAGATGCGTTTTATGGTCTACGATAATGGCCGTACCGAGTTGTATAAGAGATTTCGTGTCGATGCTACCGAATTTTTTGTTATGTTTTACTGTACAGAGCAGTGATAGCTGTGTTCGGGCGCTCGCTTATAAATTTGTTAAAGTAAGAAGGTGGAAATCCAATTGGAGATTCACCCGATGTTAAGTGATAACCGCCGCTCATGGACATTAACAACACCCGTAGGGGTGCGGATGTGTTGCCATCTTTTAATAAAGTGCGTCCCGACTATCTCACTGAACAAAAGGCAGAAGTATAAAACATCCAGTTCTCACCGGTCACCTGTGAGGTCGTGGTACTTCCCTGGACGGACCTGCCAGTTCAATCCCAGTGCCGGCACCAATCAAATTGATTGATTGAAATTCTTTATTGCACTAGAAATCAAGAAGAGTTCATTAGTAATATTAAAAGGTCAATAATAGCTACTTCGTAATGTTGTTTCTCTTTGTGTAATTAATTTCTTGAACTTAGCAAGTTCCGTGTGTTAATTATTATATTAACAAAGCGATCGGGAAAAAAAATCAATTAACTCTAAACCTAAACGAAACGACGAAGTCTCTATTATCGGTAGGCAGAGTGCCGAATAAGAATTATTTCTTCAGGGAACATACGAATAACTTACAAAAGTAAAATGTTTATTGCAGGAACATACTATTCCAAGCACAATATGAGATAGTATCGAATTCCATTTATGAAAAGTTATAAAAGACAGTAGAATTTTATTATCTATTTAATCATAAAAAAATAATGATAATATATGAACGTCTGTAAATTTTCTGATTTACACCTTGAGCGTACGAGTGTTAGCGGTCAATAACATTGAGCATTTTTATTTAGCGTTATTAATGAGTAGGTAGTTGTATAGTATATATTAACCTGCAACACTCGAGGGCTCACAAATGCGTTGCCAGCGTTTCACATAATTATCTTCGAAACTTCGAAATATTTATATGTTTTTTTGTAATTTTTTCGAAAATATGTAAGTTTCTTCTTAATTTTTTCCTTCACTGCTGAGCAAATGATAATTCACCACTTAAAGTTAACAATTTTAATTGGTTTTGGCACCAGGAATTGAACTCGGATTGCTCGAGTACATTAAATTAAAAGCGAGGACCGAACACTGAGCTATCACGGCTCGTTATTAATGAATAAACCTAAACATTAAATATCGTTTGATTCAGGATGTAAATTAATAAGTATAATTATATTGCTTACTGAGAAATCAATACGATCAAGAATATATTTGCATGGGATCAGTGCCGGATTAACCAGTAGCAATTGCGACGGGTCCCCCTACATACTTAAACTCACTCTACCTGAGCCTTAATTTTTCTAGTGAAACTTATTGCATAAGTTAGAGTATTGAATTGTTTTTTTAACCACTTTATACTTAAGAACCCATAGCAGATCAAGGTGAAGAAATCTTTCAAACAGCACTTGCTACGTACCCCGCGCTTGCTTAATCCGGCGGCGAAAATGATTGTGCTGAAATGGGATTACGATAATTCAAGCAGGAATATAATAATTTGGGTTTTTTAAACATTAATATATTTAAATGTGCTAGGGCCACGCAGCTTCTGTTGTTGGAAGTACCACGGCCTCGAAAAGGACCTTTCGGACAATTTCTTGAACTGTTACTCTGCTCTCATTTCTTACTGAAATGCGAGTTTCATCTGGTGAGTGAGGTAGCCGAGACCTAATTTTTTTTAAAAAGTTAGCAGCGTATCGGCACCTCTTAAGATGTTGTAAATGTCTATGGGCAGCGGTAATCACATAACATCACGTTAGCCGCCTGCTCGCTTGCCAACTTTTCTTATAAAAAGAAAATATCATTCGCATGAGAGCATTGAATAAAGATTACTTACATTGGGATAACCACCCAGACCAGTGATAGTTATATTGAGGTCATTCAAATATTAGTGTCTGAATGGATGTAGACTCCAGTGGGCCAAAGCCAAAACGCTTAGACACAGGGCTATCTAAATTGTTTGAAGCAAGACGTTTAAACAAAATTCAATCAACATCTATATACTTTTCAAACTCAAACTATTTCGTTATAGAAAACGTTAAAGAAAAACAGTATGGTATTAAACTCGTTGACAAAGTTACGTAGGTACAGTTTTAACACGAGTCAATCAAATTCATCAAAAGTAACCATAAGAATGCGAAACTGAAAAGAAAATGTTCGACCAATCCTTCACAAAGGGTCAGCTTGAACTTAAATTATTTATATATTTTCGTTTTTATCCGTTGAGTGAAGTAATCGGAGGCCATGGTTACTAGCGAGATTTCGAAGGACTCAGTTGCCTTCCTTGCCAAATAAAATAAAGCAAATATTCAGACTTGTCCGCTTATAGGCCATCCCGCTGTTAGTTTGACCACACAGTTATGAGACGTAAACGTCATAAACATCAAAACAATTGTTCAGGGCCGAGTCGCTTACACCGATAGCCGCAAGCAGGCATGCCTACACGTAAATGTTTACGTCTTCATAAATATTTAAGTGAGTCATGAGTTCGGCGATAGTGTACTGAACGATACACATAAATAACGCATAATATATTGTCTATGCCGCTCTAGACAATTGATTATCTATGTTGCTTTAGGCCCATAGACAATAAATAATAGAAATATCGCCTATACGTAACACTTTATCTGCGTGGGCGTTTAAAGGAGTTCGTAAAAACTGATCTATAAATACCATATAGTCGTATATGCCACGGATATATAACAGTGAAAGATTTTGTTGTGAAGTATATAACACTCGCTTCATTTATTTTTTAAATAAATGAGCATATGAGCAATGAGTTATGTATTCGCTGATTTCTTTTTTTGGGCTGGATGAGCCACTGTTGGCCTTAGGGCCCTTCACAGATCGAACTCGCTGAGTCGACCAAAAGCTAGTGGTGTTCAGTTGCTGCAACGTAATTTCTTCCTATATACTAGTATTTATTGACTTATGTTTAGTCGTATTATATATTGTATTTCGTTCATATGATCTTTGATATTAACATTGCTACTTATACAATAGCTTCAGTGCTTGGGCATTCGCTTTTTAATGTCGAGAAATCTGAATTCAAAACAACACTAATGAAATTTTTAATTTCAGTTTTAAGTGCTGGCTTAGCGGTGAAGGAAAATATTGAGCCTGCATATTTTCCATCATCATCATCATTTCGGCCTGTTTGAGTTCACTGCTGAACATCCGCCACCCCTCAGAAACAGCCACGAAGGACGATCCTGCGCCACCTGCATCCATCTACTTCCCGCACACTTGCACAGGTCGTAGCTCCATCTATTGGGGGGTCTTCCTACACCACAATTGCCGGTACGAGGCTGCACTCGAGAAACTTTCTGTGGACATCGGCTATCGGTTCACCGGAGACGCTTCCTTTGGACTCTACTTCATTTCTATCATTGAACGGGTGTTAAGTTAAATGGCGAAGTTCGGGATCGGAAAGGTTTAATTTATCGACGAAG